CTCTTTGTTGGTTGTGATCGATTTATTTTTGTTTTAGAAAGTCAGTTTAAAAATAACTCTTCCTCTTTTTGTTTTATTTAGTTTGATAAACCTGGATCTTTATTTCTCTCGTCACTGAGGAGTTACCTGTCACATCCGGTTTACGCTGTTTTCTTTTCCTCAAGAACGAGCTGCAACAACTGAAGTAAAAGCACCAATGCAACAATATAAAAATACTCCAATACAAAGTAAAAGTCCTGCATTAAAAACTCGCTTCTCCCACTGACGGACGGACAATAAACAATATGGCGGCTGCTCTGACTGTCGCCGGGCAGAAGATAAAAAAGAAAAGAAAACATCGACACCTAACACCCAGTTATTTCTGTTATGTTGTTATGTCACTTTCTTTGTCTTTGTCTTGCTTCACCAGAAAGTAAAGTACAAGTACCTCTGATGTGTACTTCAGTCCAGCACTTGGATTAAAGTACTTAGTTACTGACCCACATGTTCAGTGGAGACCTGTCTTGTACTCGCTCTTAAAGACTTGTCCAGGTTCTGAGTCTCAGACCTGGTGTGAAGCAGCTCGCTCAGTCTGTGACAAAAGGTGCTACGAAGAAGTTTGGGAGCAACTGAGTGAAAATATTCAGACGCAGCAGAGCCGCCGATGTGAAAACGTAGTTCGGGTTCATGTGAAGAGTCAGGAGAGGTGACGCAGTGTCAGGTAATGACAAACCTTATTCTTCTTGTTTCCTTTACTGGGGAGCGTGACTGTGGAAAGAGAAGCACAATGAACAATGAGCCGACGCGGAACAGATCACAGATATTCAGCTGTGAGGATCAGTGCGGCGGCGCCGTACCTGGCTCCTCCTCCTCGTCACTTGCTTGCACCGAGAGCTTTTTCAGCTTCATCATGACATCGTCGTCATCATCGCCCTCATCTGCATCTCCACCTTTTCCTTTCCGCCGGTCTTTCTTCTTCTTCTGAGGCTGAAGAACGAAAACAACATCTTCCCGTGAAAACAGAGCTTTGCTTCGGCACAGACCTGCAGTCACATTATCCAGTTCACTGCACAGAGTCAGAGTCGGTCCAGAGGGAAGGTTACCTGTTTGCCTTGCGTCTCTTTCACAGCCGCCTCTTGTGCCTTCTCAGGTTTGCTATCTGTGGCGAGTTCCTCAAAGAACTGGAGAAACACATTCACACAACAAATGAGACACGCTGTGCAACAGAGGTCGAACTTCAGCTCTGAAGCAGTTTGAATCTTAACAACGAGCCGCTGGAAGTACTCACACTCTTTTTCCCCTTTTTATCTTTCTTCCCCTTTTTCACAGTTTTTTCTGTTGGAAGAAAATGTCAGAGAGAACAGTCACAGCACCGTCAGACATCATTAGGTCACACTGCAGCTGAAATCAAACAACGACCTCGGGCCGGGCGATTAATCTAATTTTATTTTCAATTATGATTTTGGCTTCCAACGATTATGAAAACAAGATAATCAATATAAAACGATTATTGTGCCTCATTGATCTTGAGCGGTCAGGAGAGACTGTGTCGTGTTTGGCTGCTGTCACACACTCACATCTCTGTAACTTACACTCTTTTTACTCCTAAATGATCAGGTATAAGCAGTTTTCTTTTTGTAAAACGTGAGTAAACCTGCTAATAATAGCCGATTAAGCTCTTTTCCACGGTCACAGACGCAGTGGGGAGAGAGTGAGCTGCTAGCTGCCGAGCTAACTGGTAAAACAGATCTGTCACGTCTCAACCTCAGGTTGTTGCTCCTGTCGGTGTCAGAGCTTCAGAGTGAGACGCTTCCATCTGTGATTGTGTGTTTTTAAAACTTATTTCAGGGCTGCAGCTTCACTCTTTCATCCCTGTGCCACATGTGGCCGCATCTTCATCAATCTGACAACAGACGCAAATAAACAAACTTGCTGAACATTCAGTCCTACAACGACTTGCTGTTGAAAGCCCAATTGTGACTTTGGAAGTTTAAAGCACTGGATAACAAGTGCGTCCCAACAGGTTCAACAATTTTCATCTTTTTATGTTATTTTTTTCCTTAATTCTGATAGAGAGAGAAACAGAGAGAGAGAGAGAGAATGATGTGGCGCACAGGGTTGGACTCGAACCCGGGTGCCTTCATGCCCACGCTTGTGTCCCCTGGAGACGCTTCCTGTTGTGTTGTAGGACTGAATGTTCTGCGTGTTTGTTTATTTGCATGTGTTGTGATTTTTTTTTGTCAAATTGATGAAGATGTTTTCTGACATTTGCAGCGTGTTTGTGTCTTTGAATGCGTTTTCTTAAGATGCAGTGCGTTGAGCCCTCAGGGCCACCGTAGTTCACTACACCTGGACAATCTATGAGGAGGCCAGTGGTGGAGCGACACCGTACCAACACACACTCTCTCTCTCTGCTGTATAAAGAGCTGCTGGTTCAACTCCATTCACACAATAGGAAAGTCAACACTCCAGCACATTAACCTCAGTCAGCACTTCCATCCTCTTTGCTTCATTTCATTTGTTTCATGCAGGTAAAGAAAGTCAAAGCTAAAAAAAAAAGAAAGAAAAAGAAAATAGAAAAATAAAATAGGATCTGATTTTACTGTGAGAGGCTGATCCTTCACTCTCACATGTGTCAGTGCACACAGCAGCATTGCATCACTTTCACAAAAGGACCGACGCACAGTGGCTAGCTTTAGCTGAGCTGTGCTCTGTTCAGGTCATCCTTCACTTTTCCACTAATCAGTTTAAATTAGGTTTAATTTTAATCGTGAGGGTGATGCTGACGTGGACCCGTGTGTCCTTCTGTTACAACAAACTTTATTCATAAATATAGCCATTAAATACCGCCTTGTTTGTCCATACATTCCTGGCAGCAAATTATCTGATGAAATCAACCGCATGTAAACTGCACATACATCTCACAGCACCTGGTTAGATTAGATTTTTACATGACATGACATCATGTTAATGTTCTTATTAAAACGTTTAGGGCCCTGTCTATGTAGCTAATGAATTTACTTCAATTCTAACGTGAACAGTTGAGATGTTTTGCTTTATTTATTTATTTTTTAATTCAATCCGAATTGATCAGAAGATGATCACGAGTCAAGACAGAGTTAAAGTAGTGTGTGACTGGCACGTGCTGTTGTCAATAAGAAGATTAGGGTTAAAAACGGAAGATTTTCAGTGGAGTCCTGCACAGCTGACACCGCATCCCGTTCACTGCTAGATTAACGCTAGCTGTGCCGCTAGCCTGCTGCTAGCATTCACGTTAGCATAACATTCACGTTAGCTCACCAGCTGCCGGGGCGACTTCATCGTCCACCCACTCCGCTTCCTCTTTCGCCTTCCTGGGCATTTTGTCGCTTGAAATGTGACTTTGTGAAAACTGCGAAGCTAAAACTTTGTCCTCTTTCTATCCAGTGACGTTTATCAGCCACACACACATGTCATGCGGCCCAGTGACGTGATGATGCAGAAGCCGGGTCGCCGACAAAGTTTCTTCTTCTTCTCTTGGCGGATCGCAAACCAGCTTTACAGGTGCACAGCGCCACCTACTGTGTCAGAGTGCGTAATATCATGGGAGTGCCGTGAAAAGGTATAAATATGAAAAAGAATAAGAAAATAAATGTGGAAATATAAACAGGAATGAATGAAAGGATAAATAAGTAAATAATGTGGAAATATAAAGGGAAATAAATAAAACAATGAAAATATGCTTTTACCTATTGCTTTTGCTTTTTGTATTCAAAGGGCAGCGGTCTGTTTGCAGACTGCGAGAGGAGCGTAACTGCAAGTTGTCCAAATCACACAGAACCACACAAGATGTCAAAACAAGATAATGTCGGCAAGATGTCAGCTCTATGAAGACAACAGCAGCACGAGGACAAACATGACTGTTTTTAACTTGTTTCTGATTTCAAGAATAATTGCCACTACTGCACATTAACCCTAGAACTAAAGTTATAATCTGTAAATTTTCCACATTAAAATGTCTAAAAATGACTAGACCTGTGTTATATATTTTGAGTTTTGTACTTGCATTTTCCTAAATGTTTCTAGTAATTCAAACTGGGAGGAGCTTACGCTAATGGTGGTGAAAACAACAACTCCCATGATCCCATGGCATTTTATGACATCACCCAACATCTTTTGTTGTTGTTTTGATAGAGACCCCTAGAGCCAGAAGTTATACTGTGTGTTTCGTTCATCTTTATCAGTTGTGTCTTTATAAGACTTATAATAGAAAATGTTAATCCTGATTAGAGTCAGTCTGTTGACCATATCTTTTATTAATTTACAGTCACTCATTAGTATTTTAAGTTTCTTTTGATTATTAAACTGAATAGTTTTATTGAGACGAGGCTTTTATCCCTCAGATCCCAAGGTGCTTGTGAATCAACATCAGAGCTGCCTGAGTCGAGCGGTCACCTGCCAGCTGTTAGTTCAGCTCTTCTTCTACACAACACAGAGACTGTAACTGTCATCACCCTCAGTGTTATAAAGAGATTTAACGGGGCATTGTAAACTGTATATATAGATATTCAGGCGCAGACTGAACCCTGTTACATGAGCATGTTCTTCTTTTAAATACTGAAGTGACACTTTCCGACACTTTTCCGACATGTGAATGTGTGAATATCATCATCAAGAGAATCATGAAACTGCACAAATATTTCAACAGCTGCTGCAAGTTCCTGTCGGGACTAAACACACAAACTGCTACGAAACTAAAGCTGTGGAAAAGAAATGTAGAAGAAAAAGAGCCACGGACACAGATGCATTAACTGAAGCGTTTCTTCTGTTTAACACAGAACAGAACTGATACAGAAGAACAGTGAAGACCAGAACCAGACAAGAATCATCCTTCAACAGAAAACATACAGTGAACAATGAAGATTCAGTTTCAACAGAGACACTGACGAAGAACTAAAAACAGAGTACGACAGGCTCAGACAGGTGGGGTGGGGTGGGGGGGGTGAAGCAGTAAAAGGCTGAGTCTCGAAACCACAGCCGGACCGGGTGGTGGAACCTCAGGACGTTCAGCTGAAAACACAAGAAGAGACGGAGTTAACGAGTTTGTCTTAACCAACCAAAGACTCAGTGCAAACAACACAGGTGAGTGGACCTCCATCCAACAGGTGGTCCATCAACAGAGGTTTTTTGATTAATAAAATGTGTCATAACGAGAGAAAGGAGAGCCGATCTCCTGTTGGTGAACTGGACCTCAGTCTTCCAGGCTAATTATGTGATCAGCATTTGTCACTGCGTGAAACACGATAATCCAGCAAAACAGACTGATGTAAATGAGCTGTCATCATAATGGTACAGTATAAACTGTAGCGTGACAGACTGTACTCCTCCCTGTATGTTCCCATGTATTAACAACATTATCTGCAGGTATTCTGTCGCAGCAGTTACTCATCAGTACTTACATAGAGGTCATGTCATTGAGGGCGTGGTCCAGTTCCTCACTGATGGCTTTGTACTTGAGTTTCTGTGCATAGAGCTCATCTGGACAATGGACAAAATATATGCAATGTAAAATATATAACATATAGTTTATATAACATAGAGGCATATATGATGATAAAGACCAGAAAAATATAAATCCATGTAAATGTATCACAGTCCAACAGAACAGAGAGTTAAAGCTCCTCCAGTGTAAAGGTCTGTGTCCATGTGTAGTGTGATTATAGATCAGGTCTAGCTTCTATATTAATACTGTGAAAGTATCAAAGCCTCAGTCCACAGAGAAATGCACACAGCCTGTATTCAGAAACTGAGCCTTAAAACCAGCCGTCAGGACTTCTGGAACTTTGTGATGTCACAACAAAGCAGTCACCAAGCCCCGCCCACCTGGACCCACCATCCAAACCTTGCAGGATTTGGTTTCTCTGAGTGTTTTTACCTGAAATCTGCTTTATTTTTATTGGATCACTCAGAAAACAGTCAGCCAATCAGAAGAGAGGCTCAGAGCCTCCTCTCTTCTGATTGGCTCACCGACCTGTTGTTACTAGAGCTGCAGAGAGAAACCTGAGAGAGGAGATGTAAAACTACACTGAGATGGTTTTTATATCTTCTGATGGATCAAACACACAAGAAGAAGAAAACATGGAGCTTTAAACTCTGGTTCAACAGGTGGAGACATAGAGATCAGAATATAAGGTACGTCTGTCAGTACGATGCAATCCTGCGAGTTCACCTCCCTGACCAGGATCAACTTGTTTTTCATTTTCCTTCTCGTCACTTGTCACTTCTCTCTGAACCGATCCAAGTGTCAAAGCGTAAACCCTGACAGGTGATTAGTTGTGTGTCAGGTACAGGAGCACAATCAGACAAATCAGTGTCGTACCTTCCAGATCATCAATAGTCTTCTCCAGCTTGGCCACAGATCTCTCAGCAAACTCAGCTCTGGTCTCAGCCTGAGACGACACAAAATATAATGAACAGAATATGAAGAAGTGTGTAAATCTTTCTGCCAAAACATTATTTAAATTGAGTGTTTCCAGTTGTTAAAGGTCCCTCCCTCTCACCTCTTTCAGCTTGTCGGTCAGGATCTTGATCTCTTCCTCATACTTGTCCTCTTTTTGAGAGTACTGTGGCGAGACACAACATCCACATGTGACCGCATGTCAACTTCTCAAACTGAGACACATTTACATTGAAGTTCTGGTTAATGAACAGGAAATGAATCAGTGCAGCATCCTCACACCTCTGCAGAAATGTTCAATATGAATGTGACAGTGTGACAGTTCATGGTGGTGTGGTCCAGAGGTTAAAGGTTGGGCTTCACCACAGTTTTAGAGATGTAACATCAGGTGACTCATTCAGGCTAATTAGTGGATAATTAGTTCCTTTTTACAGTGAATGAGTTTCAATGCAGACTCAGTCTCCACAGCCTGTGTGGTCCAAGGCTGGAGCAGAACATCTGGTCGTACCTTCTCAGCCTGGGCCTCCAGAGACTTCAGGTTATTGGTGACGTTCTTCAGTTCCTCCTCCAGTTCAGCACATTTACTGGTTTAGTTTTATGTCAGAAGACGAAGGAGAGAACAGAGAAAACTGTGAACAGTGACTCCATACACACATAAGTGTGTTCATATTGACATGTACAAGGCAACATGCAGCGCACAAGTACCCATGATGCACTCAAACGGCCCCAACACGGAGTGTAAATGATGGACGCCTTTATAAATGAAGCAGAATCCTATTTTAGAACATGATCTACCTTCTAACAGAAGCTGCGAAAACCTCACATTTAAAACATGAATCTCATTTTTTATATATCTTTTTTAACTATATTTTTTCTATACAAATGTTTGTTATGAAATATCTTTGATTTTACTAGTGAGCGAAGCAGCCGGGCGACAACCGCCGTCACATGTTGTGATGGTCGTTTCTGTTGGTCGGTGCACAACGGCCGTGTTTGATTTGGTACGGCTCCACCCTGTCGAAATTCACATACTACATGAGAGTATACTGAGTACACAGAGTACTACATGAGAGTATACTGAGTACACAGAGTACTACATGAGAGTATACTGAGTACACAGAGTACTACATGAGAGTATACTGAGTACACAGAGTACTACATGTGAGTGTACTGACTGATGTATCTTTTAATTTATCCACTGCTGAGAAGGTGCACACTTCCACCAGCAGGAGGTGCTGCTGTGACAAAGGTTCCTGAGGAGCTTCCTGCTTTCACTCAGTTGGTCATGTTTGTGGACAGTTCTGATCTCGTCTACGAAGAAGAGGCTTGAGCCTGACAGTGTTCATGACCTCAGCAGATGATACAGGTACTCACGCCTCAGCCAGCTCCGCCCTCTCCTCCGTACGCTCCAGCTCTCCTTCTACAATCACCAGCTTACGAGCCACCTGGAGAAACGCATCGTACGACAGATGTTATTATCAGGGTTGACACGTCGCAGACCTGAGTCACTCCCTCCGCTCACGTCCGTCTCTCAGTGTGACGCTGCAGGAACTCACCTCCTCGTACTTGCGGTCGGCCTCCTCTGCGATGTGTTTCGCCTCCTTCAGCTGGATCTCCTGCAGCTCCATCTTCTCCTCATCCTTCAGAGCCCTGTTCTCAATCACCTTCATCCCTCTGCACACACAAACCATCATTTATTTCCTGCACATGATGTCCGTTAGCTAATTGTTCTGGTCCATCTGAAGCTATATATGATACAACAGTGAAGGTTTGTTAGTTTTACTCTTTTCATTTAAAGTTTTAGTCAAATTTAGTGATTTGATTTTTTGTCAGTTGTCTGTTTCAGTGATGCTGAGGTCAGAGATTCTTTAACTCGACTGTCCCAACATGACGCCGTGCACAGTGCGAGGCTTCCCTGAGGTACAGATCCCTCGTCTCATCAAGCACTGAACACAGGAAACAGGAAACAGGAAGACGTCACCTCTCGCTCTCGTCTGCAGCTTTCTCAGCCTCCTCCAGCTTCTGCAGAGCCGTCGCCAGTCTCTCCTGAGCTCGGTCCAGCTCCTCCTCCACCAGCTGGATACGTCTGTTCAGGGAAGCCACCTCTGCTTCAGCCTGAGCACAGATCAATCAATCAATCAATCAATCAATCAATCAATCAATCAATCAATCAATCAGTCTAACAGACTTCATTTTTATAGCACTTAAAATATTAAAACTCAGGACGTGTGTTGTGGTGAGTAAAACCAGAAATGAAAATGAAAGAGATTAAAAATCACATTAATGAAATTTAGACAAACTAGTAAAGATAAAATAATAAAATGAAGAGATGTTTGGAAGAGAATAAAACCAAAAATAAAAGTAGAAATAAAATAAATAAAAATAAATAACGGACTGATTCAGAGAAGCACAAACTCTCTTTTCCTGATTTTGTTTGTCAGTGCTAATGTAGCAGTTTGTTAAAAGGCTACGTGTCCCCGCGAACCTTTAGCTAATAAATGCGATCTTTTCTAACATTTATACTCTGTATATTGAGGTGATGCACCTTTCAGCCAGTAGGTGGTGCTCTGGTGCAGGTGTGCGGTTGCTAGAGGGATTTCAGCTTCTGGCTCTGTGCTGAAGTGAACGAGCTCTGGCCTGTTGAGGATGCTAACTTTGGTCCTGTCTCTACATCTACCCACAATTCAGTGCTCTGCAGCCCGTGTGCCGCTCGCTGCCGGTAACACTAACATCGATTACACCCTGACTCTGGAAGCAGTGTGGAAGACGCTGTTTCTTACAAACTGTAGCTGATGAGAAACATCATCAGTGTGTGTGTGTGTGTGTGTGACGCAGGATTGTGTTGATTTGAGTTGATAAACTGGAGTTTGAGGCGGCGCCCGCCCTGACACCATCTGCGCTTCACTGGTATTTTGTTCCCGGCGTTCTCTACAGACGGAACAATGCTGACAGCTGTTCCTTCTATATGTAGATGCTGAAATAAATTCTCCAGCAGTGACTCGGGTTAAGAGGCAGAAGAAGAAGAAACAGGCCGGAGTGTGTTTCTCTCTTTCCTCTGTGAGTGACGGTCAGCGAATATTTCCACATATGAAGTATAAGTACATGTAAAATAAAAACATAAATAAAAATAACATGAAACCTGTTAGAAATGGGAACAATTTCATATACTGATATATACAAGTATTTATGTTTATATTGTAGAACTCTGTTATATAAATATATATCCATATAACCAAGTAAATATCCTTATCATATAAATAATAGATATTTTTCTTTAAGTCGCTTCTTGAGACGTACTTTTATCTGAGACCTTTTCCTGGTTTGTGTTTTATTTCTTTGCTTTGAAATTCATTGATTTTATTGATTCTATATTTCTGTTGTTGTAAAGTACTTTGCTCTATAAATAACGATCAATATCATTATTATTATTATTATTATTATTATATAGGTGACGTGTATGGCAACATCACTCTTGATATGGGGACATATATGTTGTGTAATGTATTTTATTGTAAGTGAACTGTGACAACTATAAACTAAACTGAACACACTGATAAAATTCAGGAAGTCTCTCTCCCAAAGGGGGGGGGGGCTGACCTGGGAGGAATGGATGATGAACCTAAAATGGACTGGGACCATTGTTAAGCTCACAGTCAAGGTTGAGCGGCTGACATCATGGCCAAAATAGGGCTCTGAATCCCCCCGACAGCTGAGGAGTCCACGCCGGGCACGATGAGAATGGAATGTGAGGGAGAAGCAGTGAATCAGCCAGGGTTGGTTTACAGCGGTATTATCACAGCTTTTATCAGAGCCCGGGTCTCACACTGTCCGCCAGCAGCAGGAGGCTCCGGGCCCGGGGTATTCAGAGGCTCGCCATGTGCGGCAGGTCTTATAACTCACACCGAATGTATGTGCGGCGTTTGTATTCTGAGGGATGACTGTATCACTCACGTCAGCCGCCTTTTTATCGGCCACCTCCAGCTTCTCCTGAGCGTCCTTCAGGGCCTCCGAGTATTTATCCAGCTCGTCCTCCGTCCCCTTCAGCTTCTTCTGCATCTGCAGGAGCTCGTCTTCATGCTGGTGGAGGGAGAGATCAGACACCAGAGTTAACACATTCAGAGAATCTGCTTCACACGCCTCATAGTGATTTCAACAACTGTGTCCCAGTTCAGAGGCCGCATCCCTCTGATCTCATCCACCGCTGCTCCACTGAAGGCTCCCAACAACAGATGCAGCCTCTGTCAGTTACAGCCCAAAGCTGAGGAACACACGGCCTATAGATATGAGATATAATTATATATAGATATGAGATATCAGATATAAATATCTATATAGATATCAGACGTAGATATCTATAGATATCAGAGAGTATCTTTTAAAAGAAAGATAAAAACTTATTTCTTCACCTTAGCCTTTAACTAGCTCTGAAATTTTGCACTTTGCGCCACATTTATGTTCAGCACTTCTTTTAACTATCTCTTGATTTCATTATTTATTATCTTATTAATTATTCTATCTAATCTTAATGTTTTTCATTTTAGAGCGATGCTTCTAACATGTCTTTATGTCTTTTCATGTGAAGCAGCTCATTTCTTTGTGTTGCATTCACTTGTATGAAAGATGTAAATACAAATAAAGTTTATTATTACATCACTGCGGTGTGAGAGGACTGTCCTCTCCATAAGGTGGATCCTTCGTCGCCCAACATATCCCAAGATTCATTGCCCGCCGGAAATGAAAATAAAGAGAGAGTCTGAGCGTTACACAGATGTTCAGGTCTCTCCAGATGTTGGACTGTGCTCAAGTCAGCAGCTGCTTCCTCCTCATGGTCTCTGCTCTGATCGACGTCGTCAGCTGTGAGAACTGAGACAGGTGTGTGTCTTTACACATCAGGTCAGCTGAGTTTACCACAGGTGGACTCCAGTCAAGGTGTAGAAACATCTCAGAGACGATCCAGAGAAACGGAGGAAGCTGAGTCACAGTAAAGTGTCTGAATACTTTTGTCAATGCGATATTTCACTTTTTACCTTGAGTTCACAAATATTCAGTCATATTTCTTTTCTTTCTGTCATCTGACTTTACTATAGATATGTAATAATCATGGACTGGACATGCTCCAATCACAAGCTGTAAATATGTCATAATACTCCGCCTCCACCTCAACACTTTGTTCCTCTGCCTACAGTCACCTGACATCATCGAACTAGGACAGACCAATCAGAACCGCCCTCACACCTCAGCTCATCAGAGGACGTATTAATTATTCCTCTAAAATACGTTGGACATAAAAATACCTTGATCGTGTGACCTGAAGTCCACTCAGGGGTCGACCTGAAGCCGGTTTCACAGACAGACTCAGAACAAACAGTCAGACATTTAAACCGGACTATGGTGCAATGAATTCTGGGTAAATTAAGAATCAAGGAACTGCATCCAACCGCTCAGCTCCGTTTACCCTCAGCAGAAAATGTTTGTCTTTCAACAGTAACAAGGACGTTTAAATTCAGCAAAGAGAGAAACAATAAAAGAAAAATCTGAGTCTGAAACCACAAATTATGAGACATGTTGGTGCACAGGTTACCATGTCACCAAGGTAACACTGGTTAGGCCTGAGTTAGCCTCAAGGTAAGGTGTCTAATTTTTTTGTTTTAAGTCAGTCAGTCTTTATTTTTGTGAAACGGTCCGACTGACATCAGACATCAGGCCTGACATCTCTGTGAAACCGGCCCCTGGCCGAGGATTCGAGTTGGGCCAGGCTGAAATTGTTCTTAGTGTCTGGATCAGGTCTGTCACAGCAGGTCTCAGGTCGGTGTGTCAGTCTGTCTAAAGACAAGTGGACCGATGGATCCAAGTAGACTCCCTGACCCCGTCCACACCTGCATCAACGTGTGATCTGGATCAGGAAGTCCTGCACATCAATACCGACCGTCCTCCTGTAAGAAACGAGCCCACAGCTCGTCTGTGCAGCAGCTTATTATGACATCATAGTGAGGTTTTGTTGCTAGGCAACATCTAGTGGTCGTAGTAATGATGACAGGAGCGAAGGGAAAAGTGTCAGTGACATAGTATAAAGAGACAAAGTCCACTTCAGGAGGAGGAGTTGGACGGAGAGCGGTGTTCGATTCCCATATTGATTCTATCATCCATGACCGTTCGTTGTTATTGTTGTAACCATGACAACAAGGATCGTCTAACGTTGAGGAAGTACTTATTCTATTAACCCAAATCACAATCTTTTCCTAAACCTAACCAAGCCATGACCGTTACTATAGTAACCACGGCGACGAAGGTAGGTACGCCCCACTCGGTACAGTACGTGTGTTTATTAATGTAACCATGACAACCGAGGTCCGATTCGCTGCTTCAGGAGACGCTCTGGAGGGTCGTATCAGAGGGTTGAAACCAGCGACCTGAGTGGTTGTTGAGGTGCGATGGTTCAGATCTTCAGGTGTAAATCAGCCCAGAGAACTCAGCAGGTCCTCTGCCCGGTACAAACTACACGTCTTCAGTCTGGGGATCATCGGATAATCCATCGTTCATTTGTCATTTAAAAAGGAAAACAAACGTAATTCTGTTTTTTGTTTTAAAACCAAAAAAGAAAAAAACATTTTTGGTGTCAGAGTCAACAAATGAAAAAACGATCAAAAACAGTCCGTTTCCTTTTTGCTGATTCCTTTTATCATCATTTTGTTTTAAACCAAAAAAAAAACAATTTGATTTGATTTTTAATTCTAAAACAAAAAACAGGAAATGAAATCACATGGTCTCTTTGTTTTTTGTGTCCGAACAAAAAGACAGAAAACCAAATTCAAAAAAACGTTATGGAGACAGATGTGTATCACAGAAGATCACGATCATTAACTAACGAGTCGGTGTTCCACAGTAACGCAGTATTATCTACTGTAGAGTCCTCGGTTCACAGGTATTCAGGAAGTACTTACTGACAGCTCATTAATTATCAGGTCGTTCAGGTCCATTTTAATGGGTTATAATAAATGATTTAATATTACAACAGAATCAGAGGGGAACCTGACTTGACCCCAACAAAGCATCAGGTTTTGGGAGGGACGGGTTCAGTTTGTTGCTCAGGTTGCTGGGTTCAGGTTTGGTTGTATTGATTATTATTAAATGGATTTTATTGTATTAAATGTGAGTAGTTTTTCTCTCTGCTGCAGGATGACATCCGGTGGGAAGAGACATAAAAATATAACTCCAGTCTCTGGTTCTCACATTAGGCAGCGCAAGTTGGATTCAGTTGGTTCAGTTCTTTGTGACACAGATACAGACCAGGTCCAGGTCTTAGCTTTAGGTGTGAGGAGAAGCGTTTGTCAGACTGATCAGAGTGTCATCATCCAGAGTCTGAAGAAAACCTTCCAGAGGTGAGACGGCAGCATCCATTCACCCCGGTGTTAGACACCACCCCGCATTTATATCAGTCAGATTTCTGGCCACAGAAGAAATGAATACTGGGACAAATAATATTATAATTCTGTTGTTCTCTACTGAATCCCTTTGTCTCTCACCTGTTGGATGGGACTGTTGATGAAACACCTGTCTCACCGTGTGTTTGTAACCCACCTGCTTGCTTCGCTCTTCAGCTGCTTTCTTGTCTGCTTCAGCCTGTTCGGCCTGGTCCAGTGCGTTCTCCTTGTCCAACTTCAGCATAAGCATCTTCTTCTTGATGGCCTCCATTTTGGCTGAGGTTTAACGTGTCTTTGACGAGAGGGGAAGATGAACGGGTGCAGGAGAGACAGAGAGAGAGAGAGCCCGGCAAACTTGTGGAGACACGAAACTCTGACACAGATAGAGGCAGAGCATTTATATGACAGATGAGGAGACACTCCCACTCCTAAGCCTCTAAACCTGCCCACCCCACCACACCCTCCTCTGCCCCCACAGTCACAGCGCAAATGAAAAGTGAACCTGTAGGTTTCTACTATTAGAGACACAGTTCCTCAGATTTCTTCTATTTCATCTCCTGTCAGTTTGACTCTTACTTACTCAGTTTAACACAGTTTAACACAAATGAGTTTGACAAGAGCCTGAGTGAAGAAGACGTGACAAAGGAAAATGTTTTTGTCGTTTTCTGTCTGAGTCGCTGCTCAAACCAGACGAGGCTGGATGATGATCACAGATATTAAAGTTCCTGTCACTGTGACTCCAGAAACTTTCCAGGGCATTCGATTCCTCTAAATATCATCAGTCTTCAACTCTTTAAATAAGCATGTTGTTACAGGTTTCCATATTTAATTCTGCTTTTTGTTATGGCCACACTGCAGTTCAGCAACAGCTGCTGCTGCCAGTAAGTGACTCCTGTCCCTCTGACACCATTTAATTTACAGTGTCAGACATTAAAGCACCGTAACTGTTAATGCCTGTTAATAGGGGAGGGTAATATGAATCACATCATGTGTGTTACACTGGAGAAGATTCATGTAGTTCAGAATGTCATCTCACCGATGGATCCATTTAGTAGATGCTCTGGAGTCTTTCAATCATATCACCTGATCCTCATCATCAGGTCTGTCAAGTCCTTAAAATAAAGAAAATGCATGTGATTGGTGCATTGATGCCATCATTTTGAAATCATATGAAAACACATGAAATACAAATCAGATGCAACAGGACTGAGAGAGCTTTAACACACTTTAGTACGCTATTAATATATGATATATAAATACAATAGATGTGTCAGGGATTGTTTTAAATCTTAATAATTCATAAAGTACATCAAGTCTCTGCTCCAGTGTGTCGCACAGATACTGTAGGTAAATGTAATTAGCAGTAGTTAACTATCTAGCTTGTAAATAAACTTTACTTTCTTACCGTCAGAGTTTCTGAATCAGACTGTGTTAAGTACAGATGAACGCTAACGTTAGCTAGTTTCTCACTTTAGCTTTAAGTTACAGTTTAGCTAGTTTTTAACTAACGTTAGCTATCCTTTCATTTCCAATGTTGTCTTGTCATTTCATGACCAATATAAAATATCTAATATGATGACATAAATAAAGAGTAAATATTTATTATTTCATATTAATAGTCTTTGGTGTGTCTGTGGTCCTTTAGTTAGTCTTTTATCGTTTTGATATCAGCTTCTATAATAGTCACCTCCTTTGTTTTCACTCCAGAATTTATCCATTCAGATCCAAGCATGTATAGTGAGGCCCTAACATTAAACCTTGAGGGATGGCACCTTTGATGAGGGCAGGGGATAAACAGTTCCCTGTTCTAACTGGAAAGGTTTTGTCTCTCAGGTAAGATGAAAACCATTTCAACTCCGGGCCCTGTATACCGACTCCCCCCTCCAGGTGTTTTAAAAGAATGACATGGTCAACTGTGTCAAAAGCTGCTCTGAGATCAAGCTGAGCTAAAATGGCAGAAGAATCTGAGTTTTGGCCCACGGGCCGCCGGTTGCCGACCACTGGTCTAAAGGGATATGCTTGAATTCATGGCTAAAACCAACCTAAAGTCGATTTTCTACGAGCTGTCTTAACGATGGGGTGAGGGGTTGGGAGATAGAACACAATACAAACTGACACTGGGTAAGAATGTCTGTCCTGTAACCCTATTCCATCACCTGGCCTCCAGTGCCTATAATTGGATTTCTCCTGGGATGGATGGGGTACCGCGCCAGCGGGGTGATCATGTCAGTTATTCCCCTCTCTAGGCCCCAGTCGGGTTATTAATAAACATCTTTTGGCTGACATTGTCTAGAGGATTAGAATAAGATTGTGTGTCTGCAGCTATGCACACAAATACACAGGCAGACAAAAAGGAAGGACCAGGATCACTGCTGAAGTTTGTGACTGTTGAACATGTCAAGTTTAACTCTGGAAAACACATTTGTTTGTCGCAAACAAACAGATGAGAAGTTTGATATCAGTGTGAGTGTCTGCAGGTTGATGTGTTGGACAGTGACTTTTTGTGTTACAGGGTCTGAGTGTGTTCATACTGGCTCACCAGCAGCCTGATGGTGCATTTGTGACCCTTGTGAGATGTCTTCTGTCTAAATGAACTCACCTGAGCTGGTCAGGTGTGTGGTAACAGCAGGTTTATTCCTCATCAGCATTAACCTGCATTTATGACAGAACAATAGAGTAGAAGGGTCATCTCTTGTGGACACACTGCGTATGCTCTGTCTTGTGGCAAAACCTCCGTCACTTTTAGGATAACCACAATATTAACATCCCCAAAAATCTACATTCTGCACAATACAACTATATAGTGATCATATAGTGGGTTTTAATTTGTGTAAAAAAAAAAAAGAAAAAAAAAGAAATCAAATGACACAGGACAGAAATTGTCCCTATTCCGAATCCACAAAGAAACAGCACAAAAATATAAAATAATGTCACAAAACAATACAATAAAAATAATACAAAATATGAACAGATGTATAATCATAAATATTTCTCAAAGCAGTTACCTTTTTGTTTTTTTCATTCTATAACCATATGACTTTATTATATTATAAAACACAAAATATTACCACACTGTGTAGAGCAACTGTAACATACCTGCATTTATGACAACAATAGAGTAGAAGGGTCATCTCTTGTGGCCACACTGCGCATGCTCTGTCTGAAAAGACAGCGTCACGTTAACGTTAGCTAGCTTAACTGGAGGGATATTTACCGGCAATAAAACACACTTAAAAAATATAGTTAACTTAATAAAACCATGGCGAATTTGAGTATAAAACAAATGATATTCAAACCGACCAAGCCAGCTCAATGTTTATGTACTTTTTAAACTTATAAACATTATTTTGTCCAAAGCCATTTAGAGACTCATTAGCTCGCGGCAAATCCCCGTCGCTTTGAGGATTACCCACAATCCTTTGCCATTACTCCTTTGCTTCATGCAGCTGCAGATTTACGACAGTAGGTGGCATGGATGTTTGTTTTTGTTGTGTTTTTTGTAACCTCTATTGAAGTAAAACCACAGGGTAAAATGTTCCATCAGTGGAAGAGCAAGAGTACAGCGTCACAGTAGAAGTACTTCCTGTAGTTACAGTGTCAAAGAAGATATAGATATAGATGTATATCACACGGTGACAGTTGGAGGCCACTGTGCTCAGGCCTTTCGATCAAAATTTAAAACTCATCTTTTATGTCCACATACCTGCTGCTTTCATCCTTGTGGTGCGTTCATGAACCTAAGTGAGTTACAGTTTTTCTCAGTCACTTTGATCCAATTCTCACGTCAGAAGCGTCATCCTCACAGCTCTTCATGCAGTTCTCAGATCAGTTGTACAGTTGAACAGTCACCAGAACTTCAAGATTCAGACTCCTAATGTTTTGATATTTTGATAAAAACCGAACTGACTTTATAAAAAGAGAAAAATATAAGAGTAAGAAAGACATGTTCAGATATAACATTGTACTACAGGTACATCCATATCATTTAGGAAAAATGACTATATTCTGTTTCAACATTTTATTAGTGTTAACTGTGCTGTGAACAGCAGATTACTGTCCTGTCACTTTACAACACTGAATGGAAATGTATATACAAGCCTATGGACAGAAGAGCTTTAGATTTAGAACATGCTCACTCCAAAAAATAACTATAATGAAAATTGTTTGGCATTTGATGCAAATAGTTGATTTTTACATGTTTTAACTACATGATATTGGCAATGCAGAAAAAAAAAGAGACCTAGGTCTCTGGGCTGTGGGAGGAAACACACAGACACACAGAGAGATCCCAGCAGAGTCCCAACCAGATCCAGAACCAGAACCACTGCACCGCCCTGACTCTTCCACCTTTCAATCTCTCTGTGCACGTCACGGAGTGGTCACATGTCATCAGTCTTCTGTCTCAGCTGAGAGATAAAGTCTTTGAACACATCAACACGACACATTCTTTATTACAACTTTTATTTATTTTACATTCAGTCCACATGAATGACAAAAGGTTGTGCAAAAGTACAGTCCCTGTTTCAGTGCAGGCCTTACACTGACCTGCTGCATCTGCTGAACACATCACACCGCTCACACCATCTCATACATGTCATCATTATGTGGCTCTGATGCCGAAAATACATTCATGTCAGAGCAGGACACGTCCAGTCAGGTCAGTTCACAGGCCACACCAACATCAAACCACCAAACTCCACTGTAAAGATAGATAGATAGATAGATAGATAGATAGATAGATAGATAGATAGATAGATCTGACATTCAATGGATAAAAACACAATAAAGCTGAAAGCGTGTTTGTGTTGCAGCTGTCAGAGAGGTTCACAGATTTTGAAGTCCGGTTGAAAAACATGCAAAACCCCAAAAACCAAAACTGATTGACTGTAGAAATGTGAAGCCCCTGTAAATCTGCTATTGCTTCTGAGATGCTGGACGTGCTGCGTGAGGACACGCGTCCACTCATGGTCGTTCAGAGGAAGATACAGAAACAGAAACACAATCTAATCTCGTCTAGTTCAGAGTCAACTTCAGGTGAGAACGACGTCTCACTCCTCCTGTGTCCCGTCACTCATCAGGACGGTGAGGTCTGATGTCCGACGCTGCCCTCTAGTGGCCGTGTGAGCTGTGGCTCTGTGGTCCTCTGCACTTCAGTGAGTGTTCATGTCTCTCAGCCTGTTCTCTGCTCGTGATGAGTTCACTGGTCCATTTATCAACACAGATGAAGAAGTTGACATTTGAGAAATGCTGTATTATCATTTTATAACTATCATTAATGTCCAAACAGAGAATTATGGCCTGACTTCAGCAGACGATCATCACTGGACATAGAGAATAATATCACATTTTTAACACTGTCAACATAAATGTTAAAGATTATTAAGATCTTATTAATAATTTTGAGAAATGCATTCCCTATAATATTACTGAACAGGATAAAATCATGTTGTGTGTCATTGAGTACAGTAGACCTGCGTGCTTCTACCTGTAGATCTACTGGCTGTGATTACTTATTGATCGCTATGTAGAAGATGAATGAGAGCTGAAGTGAGTCATGCATTGGTTCCAGCAGCTGGGTGTGTTGTTATTCAACTTCTCTCTTTACACATACAGGAAGCGTGTCCACTTTATTCAGCTGAGATCACATTTCTGTAACAGTCATTTCTAATGGGTTTGGAAGGCACTGACCTCTGACCTCTGACCTCTGAGCTGGTTTTAGGTGAGGTGAGCTGATCAGAAAACAGCAGACAGCTGGAGGCCTTTCAATCGTTCAAGTGGAAACTAAAATGTTCATTTCTGCTCCACACGTCAAAGCTGCTAATGAAGCCCCCCCTCCCACAGAGGAGCCTGACTGACCCCCCCATGGACAGAGACCTGGAGACAGGGAGTCTGGTGGAGTCTTAGCCCCCCCCCCAGGCCTAAATCCTGAACCCTCACAGGCTTAACTGACGTCACCTGGTCAGTGATTTAGTGCGAGGGCTCAAAACAGAATAAAGAGGAACGGGATAGCACTTTGTGACATGTCACGTTACCATGACGACGCCGAAACATGTTGCTTGTTTGTGGCTTTTGATTTTTTTATTTACTACGTTTGTAAACAAAATAATAATGTTGGGTCACATTCATCATCAATCATCACAAGAGCCTTCAGGACTTTCAGAATAAAATCAGCCTTCCAGTCAGGACTTTCAGAATAAAATCAGCCTTCTGGTCAGGATTTTCAGAATAAAAGCAGCCTTCTGGTCAGGACTTTCAGAATAAAATCAGAGCAGAAACTTTGTGAGTTGGGCATCTGATTGAAGTGACAGGCTTTGTGTCCAGGCAACCACGTGCATCATGTCGTCATGTGATCCCTGGTGATCAACAGAAACAAAGTGTTTCCTTCTTGTTTTTGAGGAAGATCATTTTTTAGTTTTTATGAATTTTTAAAGAAAAACAAAAACACGAGCAGAAACTGTTTCATGCTGCATCACGACACGTCCCTCCGCTCACTCATGTCTGTGGTATAAACTCTATAAACTACAGAGGTTCAAATCAAATCTTCACCTGTATTTTTCTACTATTGTTGTTATTTTTAACAAATGATAAATTCCCTGATCTCTGGAGGAGGAGTTAGTGACGCCTGTGAAATGATGTGAAATGAGATTACAGACGCTCGGAGCCCTGACCATCAGTCCTAATGTTCATTCGGTCACATCGTCACGTCCGACAGACTCACGTCATCCAGCTGTTTCCAGATGAGTGATGATATTAAATCATGGAAATCCAAACTGAAAAATAAAAACAGCTCACTGTCACAAGCCAAAAGCAAAGCAGCTAAATAAATATGAAGACATTAAAACCAGTTAGAGCTGATCAGCAGCGTGAAACATGACGAGGTTCAGATCTCCTCTGGAATATCCTGAAGATCTGAAACAGGAAACAGATCCAGGGTCAGTCCCTGAGGAGACGCTTCAACACAGTATTCACAATGTACTGCGTCCTGGGACACGTTTAAAGACCTTCAGTCTGACCTTTGGAGCTGCTGACAGACGCCGTCCCATCGTCATCGTCTGACGTCACATCCACCTCCAGATCGCTGCCGTCCTGTAGACCGTCTGATTGGTGGACAGGCTCCTGCCGGGCCCGCGGGGCAGCGTCACTTCCTGGTCGCAGAGATGGAGGCTACAACAACGACAAGAGGACAGACATCTCCATGACATCACCATGACATCATCAGAGCGATCTCTGATTTTGGGATTGAGACTATAAATATTAACAAAGCTGGGGTGGAGTTTACAGTCACGGGTGATTACCAGGCGGGGGCGCCACTGAGCTGCATTTAGGGAAATATAAGTTCCAGTCCTCTGGAACCTGACCTGACGCTGGGGCTGACAGTCTGGATGTGGGTCCCCAACGTTGAGGAATTGCAGTTGTTCTTACCTGAGGATCCTGCTCCCCCAGCAGGTGGGGGGCAGGTGCAGTCCCGCCGCAGACCTTCATGTGTCGGACCTGCTTCTCCAGCTTGGCCCGCGCCCTCTCGCTGTCCTTGAACCGGCTCTCGGCGTCCCGCAGCCTCAGCAGCTCTTCCTGCAGCAGGCTGTGTTGTCTCTGTAAGAGAGCCAGCTCCCCGATGGTCGAGCCCACGCTGGCCTCCCGATTTCCACCGTCTCGCCAGTGAGGGCGCCACACGCCCCCTGCAGCTGGCACCATGGCGTCCTGAGGTTGTAGCAGCAGCTCCAAGATGGAGTCTTGTTTGATGACGGCGCCCTTCAGGAGACAACGAAGATTTCAGTTTCAAAGATTTTACAGGATGAAAACTGGACACACAAACTGAGGGGGGGTGGGAGTTGAAATAAGTTTTCAGGACAAAACAATATTTAGATTTTTCCATTAAAGTTTATTTGAGTCAGGTGAAGCTGCACATGAACCTGTTCAGCACCAGATCCCAAAGTGCAGACGACCAAAAAAGGGAGCAGGTACAAAATAAAGTTTAAAGACAAAACTGAAACTACAAAATAAAACTAGACAGGAACAAAAAAAACAGAACCAAACACTGGAGCACGATGATGGGGGAACAACAAGAGAACAATAGAACACAGTGACAACAGCAGACGACACAGACGGACACAGATGAAGACAGAGACTTACGTACCACAAGGGAGGGACAGGTGATAGAACACAGGTGGAACACATGAGGGCGGGGCAGACAATCAAGCAGGAGGGTTAAGTAAAGTAAACTTACATGAGACACACAAAGGAAGTGGTTACAAAATAATAACTGAACTTTCTCATCACACCACTTGTATTGATGGAGCAGTGATGACTGAGCGATTAAGTGACTGTGTCTCAAACTTCTTCTTATTCACATGATGAAGAGACGGATTCTCTTCATCTCCATCAACAAGAGAAAACAGGAAGCTACTCACCTGGAGAGCGTGGAGGTAAACACTGAGATTCACCAGCTTCTGACAGATCTCCTGTTACACACACACACACACACACACACACACACACACACACACACACACACACAGGTTCTTAAAACTACTGAGACCTTTAACCATAACTACTACTAATCTAACCCAACCATAACCTAACCACACACACCTGAAGAAACCTTTACCCCCTGATGACTCACCATGTGTGGCAGCTTGTCCTGACTCCTCATGCAGTCCTTCAGAGGATAAACACAGAGGAGAGTTATATATATGTATATGTATGTTTATATATTCCATGAGGCTGATATAGAGAATAACAGCACTGGGACTTTTAACTCCATGTATCACTCCGCTCCACAGCTGTTCTATTAACCGTTAATTAGCGTCACATTAACATCGTTATCGATCTCAGACTGTAACGAACAAAGATGAAAATATTTCAGAAATAACATTTGAATGAAACGATGTCGTCAGAGGAGGATGAAGGAAGAAGCCCGGACACTTCAGAAACACCTGAGGGAACGAGGAGACGAGGTCGCAGCTAGTGTCACTGTGCAGGTCAGGACAATGTTTATGTGTTGCTTAGCAACAGTCCAGTACCGGTCCAGTAACAGTAGCAGCTATTTGTGTTGGTGCAGACAAATAAATGAGAAATAAACAAACAAATCATAATGTGTTGTTGTTTATTGACATGGCCTCGTGGAACTGTTGTATAAAAGAAACATCACACTGAGGTCGTGATGTTCTGAATATTCACGGCTGTGATTGTCTTTGGTACTCAGCTGATATTCAGAACAACATCCCGACCTCAGTGTGATGTTTGTTTGTTTGTTTTGTTATTTTATCATTTATATATAAACTGTACGTTTAGTCTTTAGTTAAAAATTTACAAAAAAGCTGAGACAGTGAACCTGGGAGCTGCAGGTCTGGAGCTCAGGGACACTACAGCAGGGAGTGATATTCAGCCTTTCTTTGCATTGATCAAAGGGAATCGTCTGTAAACAGAAACTGATTTCCAACAACAACAACAACAACAACAACAACAGTAAGTGCTGTGGTCAGCTGGTCAGGGACATGAACATGGTGTGAGGACAGCTGGACCTGACAGAGCCGCTCACCTTTGCTGCACAGACATCATGGGCTCCATTGACCAACAGATCCTGATGACCTGAGCAGAGACACATCACATCACGACAGTCACTGACTCTGTTAGTGCGGCCAATCACACAGTGTGTCTGAGAGCTACCTCCGCATGCCCCGCCCACATGCCCCGCCCACATGTGTTTCTATATGTTTCTACTGGACGGTTGTTGTTTGTGACACAGTCGTGTTGCTGGGACTCACTGGTCTCCACCTCCATGTGGTTGTGATGACACAGCAGAGGGAGGTCCACACTGGAGCCCAGGAGCAGCTCACTCAGCCTGTCCACTGTGGACACACACGCACGCACGCACACACACACACACACACACACACACACACACACACACACACACACACACACACACACACACACACACACACAATAAATGTGGTTGAAGTTAAACAGTGAAAACATGAAGCTCTGACCTGAACCTGGTCTCTAACTGGTAACGCTGCGTTACCTTCAGCGGTGGCGTCCAGCAGGAGTTTCTCGGCCCGCGGAGCCTGGGGGGTGTCGGCCCTGAACAGGTATCGAGTGACGGGGGGCTGCAGGCCCTCCTGACCACAGGTCACCTCCGCCAGCTCGCAGAACAGAGTCACCCTCTCCTGCAGCAGCTCCAGCATCTCCCGGTCCTTCTGCTGGAGGTCGGCTGGGGGCGGGGCAGAAGGAATCAACCAATCATCTGATTTACAGTGTTTATCAATCACTTTGATGCAGTTTTTTAGTTCAGACACGTCAGAACACAGAGAGGCGACACGATGACCTTCTCCTGACCTTTGAGCCTCCTCTGATGAGCCCTGTGTTCAGTCTCGATGAGCGGGAACTCCTCTCGTGACGGACACCTGAACACACACACACACACACACACACACACACACACACACACACACACAAACACACACACACAATCCTTCGTCATTGATGTCAGTGAAGCGATCTTTAACGTTTAATCTGTTGGTGGTGTAAAAATATACTGACACATATCAGACTCATACAGAACACTTGGAAGGGTTGTGTGTGTGTGTGTGTGTGTGTGTGTGTGTGTGTGTGTGTGTGTGTGTGTGTGTGTGTGTGTTTGCTCACTTGCTGACGGTCCGCTGGATGTGGCGTATCCACATGTTCTTGTCCTCCTTGGAGGCAGCGTGGAACTCGTACATCTCAGGAGGAGAGGAGTCGCTGATGAGGAACATGCCTCGCTCCTGATTGGCTATGTCCCTCACTATCAGGTTCTGGAGGGACAGTACCGGAGGCTTGTCCTGGACCGCACACAGGTGGATGATGGGACAGAGGACAGGTGAGAGAACAGCAGGTGTTGTTCCAGTCATCTGTGTGTGTGTGAGAACGTTTTCTTACCATACTGGGAAAGATGTACCTCTGGTCCTTCTCCTGCAGGAACACCAGGATGTCTGTCATCAGCAAGACCTGTATATCTACACACACACACACACACACACACACACACACACACACACACACACACACACACACACACACACACACACACACACAATAAAAAAAATTTAAAAACTTTTTTCTTCTTTTTTTGTGAGTTTTCAATTTTATAAACCAGTAACACACACATATATATATATATCTATATCTATATCTATATATCTATATAGATATAGATATATAGATATATCTATATATATATATAAATTGTCCTGTGGATATAGAAAAAGGAGGAAAATGAACCACTGGATGGAGACATGTTGGATCCTGATCACTTTCATCTAAAAACAGATGAACCCAGAACAGAGACAGTCCTGCATGAGGAGGACATGTGTGTGATGAGGAGGCTGGTGAAATGTTTCCCTGACACTGAAGGACTTTAGTTTGTGACCAAAATCAAAAGAGAAACATTCACAGAGTCTGAAGCTCGAGCGAAAAGAAAACGCTGTCGTGTTCCGGCACTAAGGATCGTTATTGATCCGAGCAGAGCTTCAGCCCGTCGCTTCTCTGACGTCACACACAGACTCACGTCACAGCGTCCTGTACCTTTGAGCCGGGAGCCGGGAGTCTTCCAGAAAAGAGTCCCTTCATGGACGAGTCTCCGGCGGAGCAGCTCTCCGGGCCTGAAAAGCCCCCCGTCCCTCACTCTGGCCTCAGCCCGCGGGTCCAGCTTGGCCTGGATCTCTTGCATCCGTTGAGTTTTCTCCAGCTCCTCCATCTGCCGGAGGATAAAGTCCAACACGATGAGCAAATGTCAATTTATCTTCTTTTTTTTTTTTTCCTTTTTTATTGGTGACAAAATAAAAAACAAAGAAAGTGATAATATAACAAGACATAAGATAAGATAACAACACCAGACATAACGTGCTTTTTACTTTTTTTTGCCTGATTTTCCATCTTTTTGTTTTTTTTATTATTCATCAGACAGCTGTCCGGTACCTGCTGGTCTATTGAACTGAGCAGCTCTCTGACCAAGGTGAGAGCCTGGGCCAGACAAGACGCTTCGTCCTCGTCGTCTGGAAGAGAGACAGACATCCATCCATCATCACAGACGGCAACAGACCGTCATTTAGTCATCACAGTGTTTACAGACAGACCAAAGGGCAGCTACACACACTGCAGGAGGAAAATGGCCGCCCGGATGTTCATACTGNACAGCTACAGTCCCTCAGAGACAGAGTCAGCTGATTCTGATCATGACGCTGCAGCAACACAAAATTAAACAGATGAAACACTGCAGGAGGAAAATGGCCGCCCGGATGTTCATACTGCACGTGTGTGGTGCTGGACGTCATGTCGTGTGTGTGCCGACTGTGTTGTATTACATCACTAAGAGGAAGTGGGCAGATCATGAAGTGTGTTCACCGGTGCTGTTTTCCAGAATGCGCTGAATGAGGACGGGATACTTGGAGATCCGCTGAGTCACCAACAAGATGCACTCCTGAACGCCATGGCAACGTAGGAGGGGTCCTCGAGTCACCCGCTGCCCAGAGACAGACACACACACACACACACACACACACACACACACACACACACACACAGAGGATCTGTCATTTCTTCTTCAGTGTGTTTGAGAGGAGGATAAATATAAGCAGCAGAGAGATCAGTGAGACAGATGAACTGGGATTTAATGTTTCATCAGTGTAGAAAGAACTGAGTGGGATCAAGGTCACGTGACCTCACGTTCTTGTGAATGCAAGAAACACATTAGCAAAAGTTAGCATCTTCTCTGAACAGTTAGCTTAGTTAGCATCTTCTCTGAACAGTTAGCTTAGTTAGCATCTTTTCAGATCGGTTACTGTAGTTAGCATCTTCTCAGAACGGTTAGCTTAGTTAGCATCTTTTATTTGTTTATGCTGTTTGTTAGCTTGTAACTGGCAGTGGCTGACACAGTGTTAGTCGTTGTGCTAATGCTAACTCTCTCTCTCTGTACTGACAAGGTTTCAGGTGTATTTAGCCCCGCCCCCCCATCCCCACAAGCTGACAGGATTGGTTCCTGAGGTCTGTGACGTATGAGTCTCTGACTGTCTGAATCCTGAGCCTGTCATTGGTTCACTGCAGTTCAAGGTGGAAACACTCAGTCATGGTGTTGATGATATTTCATCATCATGTGTCTGTATTATATAAAAACATCATCTGGACGTTAATGAGGTTAAAATCTTGATTTTCATCAGAGGGGGTCGTTAAAACTCAGCTCAGTGAACAGCTGATCTGTTACTGAACAGCTGACTTCCTGTGTTGGGACTCACCCGTATGAAGCACTGGAACCTCTTGTCTCTGGACAGCAGCTCCTTGTACACTTTCACTGCCTTCAAGTGGCGGCTGCAGAACTCAGCGTAGGTCTTCCTCATGTCATCTGCACACTGGCCTGAGAACTGACACACACACAATAACAAAACAGAATTATTGTTTATTGATTATTGTGAGTAGCAGTGTCACAGAATATATATAACATGAAACACTGTCAGACTGATGTGACGATGCCGGACTGATGTGAGACAGATGTTTAACCTCTGGATGTCACTGTTAACGTAGTTATTCCCTGTGTGTGTGAAGCCACTCACCTGCTCCAGCAGTATGTCCCCCAGCTGGTGGATGGTGAAGTTGTAGCTGGATCCGGACTGCAGGCTGCTGTTGCGCCGCAGCAGCAGCTGCGCCAGGAAGTGAGAGTGTATCCGGATCAGCTGGTCCAGGCAGGGGAACATGGCGTGCACGGTGCTGAGCTCCAGCTGCAGCTCCTCCAGCATGCCCTGCCGAAACACCCTCTCCATGATGTGGAGAGTCCGCATGTGGTGCAGCTCCGTCTGAATCAGCTCTGAGACACACACACACACACACACACACACACACACACACACACACACACACACACACACACACAGATTTTTAATGAACTAGTATTGACTCTGTTTATCTGCTGGAGACGTGATGATGTTCTTCTCACCATAGATGACGTCCTGCCTCTTGATGACGTTCTTGCGATGCGCCTGCAGGTAGCTGCTGTCCACCGCCATGCTCCAGGAATCCGCTTTAAAGTCCTGGCCATCCAGCTCCATCTCCTCCAGCACTGAGGTGTAGTAGACGTCTCCTGGACCACAGAGAACCGCCAGCATGAAGAGCTAACCCAGGTCAGCAGATCAATGAATGGAGCGGTGTAATGAGACACCAATACACACCTGTAGCCTCAAGATGTTCTTTGATTTAATAGTTTAATCATCTGTTATTGTTAGCACCATATTTCTACCCCTCCTCTTTCCCTTTAAAAATAAAACCTGGCAACGTTTAATCAGAGAACATTTTTACATTTTTCATTTTTCTTCTACTGCAGTAAAACGTTCCTGTGCTCTGTCCACCCCTGAGAAAACTCTAACTGATTTAACATGGTGAAACACTGGCAGTCAGTTGCACAGTGTCAGTCTGTTATGTTGTAACTCTCAAACAATGCATGCTGGGAAGTCTGTTCATAAAATGCTGGTTTTGCTTCTGCAACTGTCTGAGGTCTGAGGGCATTTTCTCAATTTCTACATTATTTCTTAAATTCACCTTTTAAATGGTTCTTGCAGATAACATCACACTCAAGAGTTTTATATCAGAATCCTCAGAACAGACTCAGCTCTCTCTGTAACTCCGCTGAAGTCTGGTCTTTGATATTCTTCAAATCTCTTTACTCCTAATCACCTTTACTGACGTGGATGAATTGTTTTGGTGCTTGAAATGTCTATAGGTTCATGAAAATGGTGCAAAATGTGAGTAAAACAGTAGATAAATGCCTAAAAGTAAAATTTGAATGTGTGAGACCATATTTCTACACTGTATTATCACAAAGATATTAATAGAAACATCCATCGACCTCAGAGGGTTAAACACTTTCATTCAGCAGCTGAAGTGAGAGCAGCTCAGGTTTATAACGCTTCAGTCTGAAAATGAAAGCCGGACGTTTGAAGGTGAGAGTCAGAGTGACTCTAAAGACTGTGTGATGTCTGACAGTGTGAAAGCTCCGGTACCGTCGTCAGTCAGAGACTCCACTGACATCGCTCTGGTCCTGAAGCTCAGGGAGTCGGTGGACTGGGACAGGATCCTGCGCAGCCCCAGGGGAGAGTCGTCATTCAGGGTCCTACAGCACACACACACACACACACACACACACACACACACACACACACACACACACACACACACACACATTACAGACATGAGAAACCTGCTGCGACCGAGCTGCTGTCAGGGATCTACAGACAATATCTACTTTATCTTGAGGGAGAAGGAACAAAAACAATGTAACTTTAAACTAGAGCCACCTCCTCGTGGTCGTATCCCTCCGCCACTCAAACTAGTTCCAGGTCACATCCCTGTTTCTCCAGAGTCAGAGAAAATATGAACCATCTGTGTGAAGTCTTTGTTATGGCTAAAAGGTGTTTTCAGAGGTCACTGTGACCTTTGACCTACACCTGAGACGAGCCTCAGCTGCCTGTGAGGTGCGGCGGCGTGAGGCCGACGCTGAGCTGCAGCTGCTGCTCGGTGACAGCGAGGCTCACCCTGAGATGTTGTTGGTGGACACGCTCTTGGACAGGGAGAGGCCGGAGCGGCTGCGGCGGGATCCCAGCAGCGACTGTCTGAAGCTGTCGGACGGGTAGATGGCCGAAGTCGGACGTTCGCGCATTCCTGCAGCTGCAGGCAAAGTGACGAGGAGGAGAGATGGAGGAGGAGGAAGAGGAGAACGGGGATCAACAGGAGGAAGAAGAGGTTGAATATATTCAATCACTGTGTGTGTGCGTGTTCTCACTTTTTGTGCGCAGTGAGACGTTCTGCAGCGCTGAGTTGTTCCTCAGGAGGACTGTCTTCTGCTGCTGCGTTAACACAGGACAGAGTCAGACTCAGTGGTTTGCACATGGATGAGAGGGACATGTCCCACCAATATCTGAGTCCAGTCCTTCCCACTCTGTTTAGAGTGAAGTCATATTAAATCAGTCCAATGTGTCCTTTCTGTCGAAGAAGCCCATGAATGTTGCTATTTGGCCAATTAATCATTCAAAGCAGAAGTTGTGTTATTATTTCAAAGTGAGTGTTGTAAAAGACCAGGGCCAGGGCCAGGACCAGGACCAGGGCCAGGGCCAGGGCAAGGACCAGGGCCAGGACCAGGGCCAGGGCAAGGACCAGGACCAGGACCAGGGCCAGGGCAAGGACCAGGGCCAGGACCAGGGCCAGGGCCAGGACCAGGACCAGGACCAGGGCCAGGACCAGGGCCAGGACCAGGATCAGGACCAGGACCAGGACCAGGGCCAGGACCAGGACCAGGAGCTTCAGCTTCTTCCCAGAGTGAATGGGGGTTAGAGTCAAGTTAATAACGTCTAGTTTGGTAACAACCAAATAATTGACCATGATCCTCCACTGCAGAAGAACAACGTCATGACTGTTGAATAGTGTCAGAATATTAAAGTATAACTTCAATAAAAGTGACTCAGTCTGTAAAGAGTGGAAATAAAACAACAACATAAATCCCGATCATGTCAGGGTTGGTGTGTGTGTGTGTGTGTGTGTGTGTGTGTGTGTGTGTGTGTGTGTGTGTCCTGTGTCTTACCCTCTGCTTCATTTTGGCGCAGTTTGGCAGTGTGTCTCGACAGCGGTTGTGGATGGTGACATTGCATGCTGGGAAAAATAAAGACATGAGACATAAATGTTTGTCCGTGTGTATGTGTGTGTATGTGTGTCAGTATATATGTGTGTGTGTATATGTGTGTGTGTGTGTGTGTGTGTGTGTGTGTGTGTGTGTGTGTGTGTGTGTGTGTGTGTATGTGTGTGTGTGTGTGTGTGTGTGTGTGTGTGTGTGTGTGTGTGTGTGTGTGTGTGTGTGTGTATATATGTGTGTGTGTGTGTGTTACTCACTGGGGCAGCTGAGCGCCTCCTTGGCGGTGATGCTCTTGTTGCATGCGGTGCACAGCGTGGTTCCTGACACTGTGAGGGAGGTGAACAGGTGACCGTTGCTGTAACGGGCCTCCCTCTCCCTCGCCGCCTTCTCTCGCTCCCTCATACGCTCTCTCTCTTTATTCTGGAAAAGGAAGAAACAAAGTGTGAGAACGGATCAGCAGGAGCAGAGATGATGTCACAGGAGCAGAGATGATGTCACAGGTGCAGAGATATTACAGTGATAGTTCAGATAATGTGACGTGGGCTTGTGTGCAGTGTAATAGATTTTGGGGGTCAAAGGTCAAGGTCACGGTAACCTCACAAAACGTGAACGCAATATCTCTGTAACACGTTGAAGGAACTTCTTCAAATTTGGTCAATCCGTTCTATCAATTCTATTTATATTCATATTGTATTTATTATACCAATATTGTTATTGACATTATTTCTTTGATATTTTAATTCCATTGAATGATTGTAATTGTGCTTTGTCAAGAAAATAAAGTTTGTTGAATTGAAAAAGAAAAGTGAGCTGCTGAACGACTATTCAACTAAATAAATGATGCTTAGAACTTACACCTTTGTCACCTGCTGCAAGTGACGTGACACACGAGTGAATGTAATGACATCAGAGTCTAATCAGAGTCTAATCAGAGTCTAATCAGACTTGTTGAGCCACATGTTGACAGTCTGCTCTGTGATCCCTCTGAGCTCCTCACAGTAACCTCCTCACTCCCTGCCTCTCAGAAAAGGAGAAGCTCTAGTGATGATCACATGATCGCAGAAGTAAAAGCAGAAGTGAGAGAGGACAGATTCCTGCAGCCTCTGACTTAATGGTACCAATTTACTATAAGACTAACCTTATAAAGGATTTATAAATGGTTTATAAAGAGGTCATTCATTTGGTTGTTAACACTTTGGAAATCATAAATAAACAAGTTATAACACAGTTTCCATACATTGATGCAAGCTCGCTATTTTTTAAGTTTTATTTCAGTTTAAACTTTTTATTTGAGGTTACAATTAAGTCCCTCTGAACTTCTGCGGTTGGAAAGCCAAATCCACAGCACTACTCCAGCAGCGACATCAGACAGAAGCCGATAGAGAGAAGAGGGATCGGTGTGGCGAGATCTCGCGAGAGTGTGTTGCTGAGACAGAGACCGGTCTCGAATAAAGTTAATATTCTCCTGATCTGTTGGTCTAAAAACGCCATATTGCTGTCAGAATGTTCAGAGCATATGTGGCTTGTGAAAAAAAATAGATCCAATATTTATTTCGGTGACTGGGCGAAAGAATCTGTTATAATCTGTGATCACGTTCTGGTCTGCCGTTGGAATGAACAGACTCACTCCAGCTGCTGGTCTCATAAAGGGCGGGGAGGAGAAGAAACCCACGTGACACAGTTACAGGAAATAATTGAAAGCAAACCGTCTCCTTTCTCAACTGTGGTTATAACTATAGACTGTATATAAATAACAATAACATTATAACCAGTGCTTGAAGTGGGCCGGTACCCACCTGTACACAGTACCGACACTTCTCTATGTGACTCTTTAGCGTACCGCTCTTCTCACTAGCTGCCGTTCTTTTCTTTCCATTTCAGATTCTGGGCGATTCCTATTGGCCGCAGAGTTCGTTTTTTTGGCGGGAGATCTGACGGTAAACTCAACAAACTGTGTCGCGTTTCCCGCCCACAGCACCATCTGATTGGTTAGACGTCAAGAGTAATAACCTATCAACGCTGAAGGCCGCTGTGTTTACAGACGGTCACAGACAGACGGTAGTTCCGGAGAGGAGCCGTGTGTCGGAGGTAAGACAACAGACGCCATTTAACAAACATCACAATCCTCCACACTGAAGTTACAACAACAGCACACTCTGATGAACACGTTCACCTGCTGGTCCAAGACACACCGAGCGAGAGAGAGAAGCTAGCGCTAACCGCTAAGCTAAAGTAGCTAGCTCGTCTGAACAGCAGGTAAACAACTGCTGAATTAGTGAAAGTCGCTAAAAGGAGAGGAGGTCTACACACACACACACACACACACACACACACACACACACACACACACACACACACATTCTGTGTGTGAGTCGTTCCACTTTGAGGACAGCTGGAAGCCGCTGTGAGGACTAAAGTGCTTCATTAACCCAGATCGATTCCTCAGGGGAAGCACAGCACCCTGGGTAATTTAAGTTTAGCCGTCCTGACCGACATATCACTGACACGTTTACTGACACCAGGAACAGATGACTTTAAGTTTCTTTTATTTATTTATTCATTTATTTATTTATCTAAACTCAAGGATCATTGAGGGTGAAGCCCTCATTTACTATGATGTGGAGGAGATAAAACTCCAGTTAAGAAAAGAAAACAAACAAGAATCTTATTTAAACAGGTACAAACAGAAGAGATTAAAAATCTAAAATGACCAAAAGGTTCCAACGAATTCATTTTAAAATGATTTGTAGTGAGTTCCAGGTGGACGGTGCAAAAAAGCCCAAAGCAGATCTTCCAAGCTCAGTGTGAACTAGAGGGACATGGAGCGTGAGCCGGTCGTAAATCCTGGTCTAATGTGGTCCGCTAACATGGAAGTAAGATATGATATGACGTTTTTCAAGAAGGACTACCACTGATAAAAATCCTCAAAAAGAGATTTTCTACAGTGTGATGAGAAGCAGGATTTATTCCTATAGAAAAACATATTTTGCCTTAATTTACTCACCAGATTTAAGACATGATTTTTGAAGAATAACTTTTCATCAATCCAGATGCCAAAGTGTTTATGAAGCATAACTCTTTCAGTACTGGCGCCACTTTGAGTGGTGATGATGAGGTTATTAAAATCAATATTTCTGGCTCTGGAGAAAAAGTATAAATTGAGATTCGTCTGCATTTAAAGTAATTTATGGTTCAGACACAGACACATACGGGCTGTGATGATTGACATGTAGGATGTGTCGTGTCACTGTGTCGTAGTGCAAAGCTTTTTCATTTTATATGTATATACTATATGTAATTAAGTCCTGTATATATTTCATCTGCAGGTAGGTTGATCCAGATGTGCAACAGGTCCTGACCCGGCACAGCTGGAAGTTATCTGGAGCACCAGGACTTTTCCCAGTAGAGGAAACACTGAGTCTGGAGTCGCTCCACATCCTCGTCTCCGGCAAGAACCGAGTCCATGACTCAAACAGACTTTGTGACGTACTCACGAACATATGGGACCTGTGATCGGACCTCCTCCTGAAGCTGATCCGGGGTCAGCTCTCTGACCAAATAACAGGTAACTCCTGCTCTAAGTAAACCTGGTGTCTGAGCCCATTACATCTCCACCAGGTGTGCAGTCTGCGGTCATGGAGGGTTAGTGATGACTCTTCCTCTGCATGGAGGAGGAGGCTCTGACTGGACCGGCTTTAATAAACTGGACTATTTTTAATGTTTGCTCACCGGTCGATGGATCCTGCAGTGAAACAGTGTGCAGCAGCAGGACGCCTTCAAATGGCTCAGGCCTTTATTCCTCCATCTGTGCAGCTAAAGTGTTGGAGTGATCATGTGCTGTGAAGTCACAGTTTCATCTGACATTAGTTTTAGTGTTTGTATTAGTGCGTTCTCACGGTTCCTGCTGTTGTGTGCTTCAGTCTGAAGCCTCCCTGGGTTCAACTCAGCATGTTTAGAGGTCGGTGTCAGTTCAGTCAGGAACACTGTCTTCATGCCTCTTTCATCCACAGTCCTCTCACCCTCTCTCTCCCTCTCTCACCCTCTCTCTCCCTCTCTCACCCCACTGTCTTGTGCTCTGCTGACTTCAGGTGTTTTTCGTAACCAATCAGATTTCGCCACAGTCACGTTGTTGCTCAAACTTTAAAATCTGTTCTCCTGCTGTCAGCTCATTTCACTGTATTGCTGTGACACCACCCCCCCCCCCCCCCCCCCCCCCCCCCACCTCCAGCACCAGGTCCCCTATACACAAATGTAATATATGTACATATATAGAATTTCCATATATGAAATATACATTTTTATTTTATAGCCTATGTATGTATATGTAAAAATTATATGTGAAACCTATTAGAAACTGGAACGATTTCATATATTGACATATATATCTAGACTATACAAATAAATACATTTATGTATGTATGCTTATATTTTATACATATGTTATATAATGTATATCATCCCACAGCCTGTCAGTATACGCAGCATGATGCGAGCATGTTTTAGATGTAAAAATTCATCATATAGATTTTTAAATATATTTTGATTAGGCTATATGTACATATTTTATATATTGTATTTATATATTTTCATTTATGTTATAAACTTATATCTTCATATATCCAGAGGATGTATATATGTGATAATAATATAGATGACATATATGTCCTATATTACATTTGTGTACGGGTCAGCTGATCAGAGTCCACATCACATCCACGGGCCAGTTGCACAAAATATCTTAAGTTAGGATTTTCCTTAAATTCCTTTTTTTCCTTAAATTCACCATAAGTTAAAGTTTCAATGAAATAAAACAGTTGCACAAAACACCCATAAGAATTCTCCTTCAGGTTTCCTCAAAGAGTTTTCTCCTTATTCTAACCCTACACTTCAGGAATCACTTAAAGTCAGTTACGCCGTTGCACTGAAGACGTAGCTGTGTCTCTGTCTTCACTGTCACATGAGCTGAGTTTAATGTGATAAATGGAGAAAATGAGACGTCACAGATTTGACTGGCAGCAAATTTACGACTTGTCCGACCGTCTAGAGTCGGATGGATCTACTTTCCACAGCTGTGCTCCTCCAGCTGCTGCGGTCAGGTATAGTGGAGGTGCTTCACGTCCACAGGTGAACAGTGTGTGTCACTTTAAACTCTCTGACCATCTGCTGAACAAGGTGCTGAAGGAGGGAGATCTCAGCTTCTTTAATGTCACCGGCTTCCCAAAAGTGATCACAGGTATCACAGGCTAATGCCAGAAAACAAACAGTCTCCATGGAAACAGCAGAATTTTACTGCTGTAAATGACTTTTTTCCTCCAAGGGAAGGTAAATTAAACCTTAAGTGTCATAGTTAAGTAGAAAACTTAAGGTGTTTGGAGAAACAGGCCCCAGATCTCCAGCATTCTCATTTTCATTTTCATTCAGCGTCTACACCCCGGATGGTGGGGGGTTTCCTGTACTTAACACAGCCTCACCCTCTTCTCACCCTCTTTTTCATGTATGGTGACATCACGATGAGGTCTAACCGCCAAAGACTCACATCTCTCTCTCTCTTCATCTCCGTTTTACTCATGGCAGTAAAAGTTTATTTGTCGACTCTCTCCTGAACATCAGCAGAAAGCTCCATGAACACGTCGGCTCTGTGTTTCTATCTTTGTATAAATCAGTGGGGACGGGGGTCAGATCCAGCAGAGGGGGGGGGTAGCTGATCATATGAAATGCAAATTGCATGACCCATATTAAATATTAAATCCAGCAGATTACATAATCAACACGAGTGAACAGTAGAAACATTTTTGAGGCCGACAACAGTCTCAAAGAAGGCAGTAATATCACATACACACACCCACTGCCATTTCTATGGCAACAGTTGCTATTCTCAAATATCCAGTGAGAGCACACTGTGTACAAACACACACACACACACACACACACACACACACACACACACACACCACCACCACCTACATTTACAGATACACGCAGCATCATCCCGGAGGCTACATCCTGATTAAAAGCAGTGCAGCTGTTTCAGGGCCTTTCGTTTCAGGGCTCCTGTCGTAGAGAGCGGCCCCGTGTCACACTGACAGGGGCCCACACAGTGACAGAGAGAGTGGGGAAGTGACAAAAACAGAGACAGGAAGTGAAACAATAGAGCTGGTATGACTTGGCAGTGATCGGGTGGGTGGTGGTTGTGCCATGAGGCCGACTCACCCGCAGGTTGATCTCCCTCATTCTCTCCTGACGCAGTTTGGACAGATTGGTGACTCTTGACATTGTGGCAGCTGAATCTTCTCGCGGTGGCAGATTCAAACGGCGGCAGCGAGTCAGGAAATAAAATATCCAGCATCAAGGTCTGAACGCGTCTGTGTGGCTCCGTCAGACCACAACTAAAAATCTGTCCTCACCAGCCAACTGCAATGTGCTTCTGCTTCTAGTGAAGAGGCTGTTCCTGTGAGAAATCTGACTTCTGAATCATCACCGCCCCCTCACACACACACGCACGCACACACGCACGCACACACGCACACACAGTGTTGAGCTGTCTGAACGCCTGGTATAGACTATTATTTGCTCTTTCTACATCCTAATATGAAGCCATTTACAGAATCCTCTAATCTCCACTCACTGTTCACATGGAGACAGTTGAGGCTCGTGTCACCTGACCGTTTGTCTTATTTCTGTGTGACAGCTTGTTGTCCCGTAACCATGACGAAGCTCAGACTGAAACACCAGCATCTGAAGCTCCTGTGGCAGGTGAACAGGTGAGTTCAGCCGTCAGTGTTGGTGCGTCTATGATCCAGTGAGGGTGTGTGAATGATCATGTGTGTTGGTGTGTTTCCCCAGTGAGGAAGGACTGCGCCATTACAGGAAGAAATGTTTCAACACAGTGTCATGCAGCCTCAGTGTTGACCGGTGTTGACAAACAATCAGAGGAAACACACACACACACACACACACACACACTGAGCGGCCTAACTCTAGGGTCTGAAGGTCCACTGTAGAGACACATGGTCTCCAGAGGATGAACGCCACTGACTTGTCCTCTAGCGACACCGTCAGGTCATCCATGTGTTCAGTGTAAATAATTAAATGTTAGCATGCTACATGCTAAACTAACATGGTGCACATCACACCAGTTAGCAATGTCTTTGTTTCCACTGTAGCCTTAGCATTTCATCCTGGACCACAGCCTCCAGGTTATCACCCAGACTGTCTCTCACATGAATGAGAGGTGGACCTTGGTCCAGGTCTGGACCCAGTCTTAGCCGGACCTGGTCTTGTAACCTATAGATTGAGAATTATTACATTTTGACGGAATGTTTCTATTTTAACAACTTTCTGTCTTCTAGGTCAGAGGTCACATGATGCTACTCAGCCAACACTCGCAGAAATAAGTGGACAAAGAGAGAGAGGAGGAGGTAAAGCTGCTCAGTTGTTGAAGGATCTACCTGTACGTTTTCTCTGCTGAACGTGGTTTCTTCTGGAGCAGGTGTTGGTGATTGTGTGGTAGATAAAAAATGATCAGTAATTGACTTAGTAATACAGATGAAAGATATAGACCAGAATCAGAATCGGGTTTATTGCCAAGTAGGTTTTTAACATACGAGAAATTTGCTTTGGTGTTTTGGTTCATATCAATAAACATAGTAAGAAGAAAAGAAATAAAGAAACAAAGATGAAACAAGCAAGTACTGCAGGTCAGAGAGCTTAAATATAAATAGAAAATTTTAACAATAAGATAAAATATTTACAATAAAATGTGAAGAAATATTAAGAAATATAAAAATACAAATATATGTACAGTACATTACTGTACAGTACAGTGTTTTCATTTCTGTCAGTCATGCATTAGTATTCATTGTGTTTCACTTTTACAGGTTCATTGTTCTGGCTGTGCTTCTTAAAGGATTTATTTTGATAGTCTGTGATTAGAGTTGAACATTGTAGATCTGTCATCCAGATTGATGTCTGTGTTGATTGTGATCGATTGTGCGGTGATGTACCAGTAACGCCTCAGGGCTCCGGTAGAGACGAACCGCGCTTTGCTCTTTAGTTCTAGATAGATGAGTGAACGAGAAAGCTGCGTGTCGCTTCACTCCTCAGTATTTCCCTTTTAAGATAAAAATACTGAACACAAATCACTGTAGATTTGACAATACGTGTTCCTGATAACTGTTGCCTAGTTACTGTTGTTCAATGTTTGATAAATGGCTGAGTTTTGTATTTTAACCGTCGACGTGTAAGCTAGGCTAGCGTTAGCTACTGCCCGACTGTTGTGGCGCCATTTACATGTTGACAGACTTCTGGATGCACTGGTTATAAAGTCACTGAAGATAGATGAGTGAACATGAAAGCTGGTTTTCATTCCTGCTATTTCACTTAGTTAGTTAGCTGACAAGTCTGAGTGGAGTGGTTTTTGATCTAGACCTGATCCAACGTGGTCTATATGCAGAGATAGAATAAAGGTTTCACAATTTTTGTTTTTTAAGGGGGGGGGGGCAGAACAGAGGATTCAGCGCTCAGCTGTGCAAGTTAATTTTACCTTAACTTTCCCCTTAACTGCTGAATCAGAAGCTGTCTCCAGCGTCGTTGCTATTTCCCTGTTCAAGAGCACAACAATTGGCACCTGACAAGAGCTTCAGTCATTGTTGTCTAATAACACAATAATATACTGCCCTCTGGTTGTCTTTGAGTTTTTATTTAACCGTTTCCTCCAGTTTTCCTGTTCGGATTTCAGGTTAAACATTTTATTTTGTGAGGTAAGATTAGGATTTGGGTGTTAGACTGAAGCTTTAAAAAAATTAAAAACTGCTAATTTATGATCTTTGATTCCCTGAAACCGGGGGCATAATAAACGAGAGTTAACATTGGTGTGTCTTTCCACCCCTGCAGACAGCTGTTAGTAAAGGAATGAAGTTTGATGCTGAACTCACAACATTTCTCCTAGACTGGTAAGTAAACACCTGTTGATGCTAATGTTAGCTTTGTAGCAATAACAAAACTTCCATATAGCTGCTTTGTGATGTGTTGAGACACATAGTATTAAGTATCAGGGTGTTAAAACCTAAGAAACCCAAGACTCTTTAAAATCAACTTTACTAAAAGTCTGAACAAGTTAGAAGATAACACAGAACTTTACCTCTCTCCCTGAGCGGCCGTGTGATGTTCAGATGGTTTCCCTGCTGAGATTCTTGTATTTATTTCAGAAATGTCCCAATTTTTATTCCTAAGTCCTTATTCCTGATTTTAAGTCAATTAAAACATTCACCTATACAAGCTCAAAAACCCACCTACATAGGTCAAGGGAACATGGTGCTAATGGGCAGCTAATGTTAAAAAGAGTTTAACCTCTACGATTTCTCTCCCTGCTCTCCTTTCCTCATCTTCTAGACCTCCTGCCGTTCTTAAAGACGACTACGTCACTCTGTCCAACGCTCAGGCAGTCTGGAACAAAATCAGGAAATCCTGTGAGCTCCTGAACACATCAGTGCACGCCTTCTCTCCGTCTCTAACAGACACTGCATTCAGAGAGTGGAGGCAGACAGGAATAGTTTCTGTAAAAGATCTTGACATAAACTGACTCACTTTGCTTCATTTCTTCTGCCCAAAACTCATTTCTTCAGGTGTCTGCAGATGAGAAACTGTGTTCAAGCTAATCTCATCCCTTGTGTGAATCTTTTCAAACGAGTCAGACTCTAAAATAAAAGCAGGGAAGAGGATCTGAACATTGAAATTGATGTTTTCTGGAAGGAAGCACTAAAAAGAATAAAATTCTGTTAATCCAATTCAAAGTTACTGTTGCATTGTGTGACATCCCTGTCAATGTTAAAGGGATTTTAGATTTAGCATTTTAAATACAGAAACGTCATGTTATAATTTTTCCACGGGACATAATGAAAATGCTGAGAACGAGCTGTTAGTCCAGTTTTCATGATGAGGTGGAACAGTGAGGAACAGTGTTCTCAGCTGACGGTGGAACCTGCTGTGTGTTCCAGCTCAGGCCTGAACAGTCACATGATTTCTGTTTCCTGTACAGAGACACCAGACGCTCTGATGCATTCACTTTAATGTTGACAGCATTAACAGTCTCCTCTGTGGGAGGAGCACATGTGCATAATATATGAAGGTATATATACAGGACAGCACTGTACAGAGTCAGACTGCTGGAGAAGCACCATTGGAAGAGGCACGACGGAGGCGGGGCTTTTTAAGTGCAAGTGGTTTCCTGTGACGGTCACCATCAGACAGGAAGTCACATGACTCCTGCAAACAAGTGTTTACTTTAGATGTTTGTCCTAAACAACAGTTTGTAAAAAGGTGACAGTAAAACTGACAGCAGCAGGAAGCGGGGTCATGTGACCGGTCACCTGACTTCTCTGAGCCAGTGACAGCAGAGGGAGGCGGACACATGGAGATCAGGTCCCAGGCTTCATCAACATAGAATAAACACAAATAAATAGTCTTTATGTGGGTCAACAACATCTGCACAGACAGAGTGAGAGCGCAGAGAGACTGTCATCTACTAACCCTGGGTCACTGCTAGTTAACTGCTAATTAACTAGTCTGCTGCTAGTTAACAAAACACGATGTAAAAGTGGAACAGAATATTAAAACCTGAACACAGACCTTGGTACACAGATTAACTGTGTGTGTGTGTGTTGATCTGTTGAACTTGTCAATCATTGGTTAATTCTGATAATCAATAATCGTGAGGATCGTTTTCTGTTACTTTGAACTGAAAATCTTTGGTTCTGGAACCAGACCACAAATAAACGAACAGATCAATGATGAAAATAATTGATCAGTTACTTGCTGCAGCTCTAACACCGTCTGACTTCAGACTTGTTAACAGAATGAAAATAAATCCTTTATATTGAGACGTAAACTCAGATGAACTCCGGTCAGACTGTTGTCAGCGAGTTGAAGACGATCACTCACTTTCCCATAATTCCACCATCACAGTGCCGAGGTGACGTCCAGTGAAGCTGATGAACGCAGGAGAGAACCAGACACTCCAAGCTGGATCATGTGAATCCTGAACCTGGACCAGGCTCCTTCACTGACAAACAACTTTTCAACTTAGTGCAACTTCACATTTGTTGACATCAGACTTCAGACGACCAATCACAGCACTGATTTCTGGATCTGACGGGGGTTTGTCCACAGACCTGGTCCAGCACAACTGAAGCTCATGACTTCGCCTGCGCTCAGCGTCCAGCGTCTGCATCAGAAGTGTCAAACATACAAAAATAGACCAAGCAGAGACTTTAATAAAACTCTTTCAGCTTTAATATGAGAGAAAACCAGCTGATCTCCTGCACAGTCCAGGTGTAGTGAGGGGGACAGGTGGACGGACGTCTGTCCTCTGTCAGCTGTTTAAGTCACTGGAGGCTTCAGCTGTGCTCTCCGGTCGCCTGCTGCCGGCGTGGAACACCGTCTGTGAGCGGTCACGTCCTGACCTGCCGTCTGTGGGTGGTGCGTTATTGCTGTACTGGCTGTAGCGGGCTGTGGACCCAGCGTAGTCCCCCATCACCTTGCTGTAGGAGGGTGGGGAGCCCTCCATCCTGGCCCTGGCAGCATCGAGTCCAGTGTTACTGCTGGGGGCCCGTGGGCTCTTGCTGTGTGTATAAATATCTATGCGGTCTCTATCAAAGACGGTCCGGTTGGGCGGAGCGCGCACCGCGGCTCGGCTCAGCTCCAGCTGCTGCTCCGGGGGGCGGAGCTGCAACCTGCAGGGACCCTTGTAGGGCAGCAGCTCCTCCCCGTCTGACAGGCAGATGAGAGGGGGGAGGTTGATGAGCTCCTGCTGCAGGTAAGGGTAGGTGGGCTGCAGGCGACACAGCTGCTGCTGCTGCATGAAGGGTGGCAGGCTGTTGGTCAGATGACCACGCGTCACCTGAACACACACAGAGAAAAAGACCCATTAAAGTCACACACAGGACGTTAGAGAAGGTGATAACACGCGGTCGTTAGTTCCTGGAACTATTTAATCTGATGGAGCAGAGCAGACGTTTTTTTTAACAAGTAGTTCCAAGAACTGAGGAACTACCCTGGTCTACCAGGGGTCAGGACTACAGCTGTATGTTCTCTCCTGATCCAGCAGGGGGAGTCAGACTCTCAGTCAGGTTCAGGCCCAAAGCACAGCACAGATACAACCACCACAGCTGGACTGAGTCACATCAACACAAACAGCTCTGTGTGTGAGCAGGTGTAAAGACCTGAACCACTTTGACAAGGACCAGATCTGTTCTGGATCAGAAGGTGAAGCTTCTCTGAAACACATCAGCTGTAACTCACCTCAGCATTTCTCTGCTGAGTCAGCACACTGTCTCTCCACACAGCGCCATCCTAAAGAGAGAGAGGGAGAAAGGGGAAGGGGGTTACAGAGGACATGATTTGTCACCTGAATATGATGTTGCTGTTATGTAATGCTGTATATCAGTGGTGGCTTCAGATAAATGTCTACAAATGGAGATTATTTTCTTTGTACTTGAGGGTAGATACCCAGCCCGAGCCCCATAGGACCCGCCGGGATCCAAAAAACTGTAAGATGATGTTCGGATCAGGTCGGGTTTGGTCATCTCGGCCTTTTGACGGTCGTTTAGAAGCTGCCCACACATGTAATCAGGGTAAACAGGTAATCAGCTGTGTGGCAGAGTAAGTGCTCCAGCTTACATTAACTGTGTGCTTGGTTACTACTCTCTCGGACTATGATTGGTTTAGGGTTGGGCTTGGTTTACTACTCTGAGACTAAGGTTGGGAAGAGAGAGAACGCCGAAAAGGAAACTTTATTTTTTGCTAGTTAACGTGTCGGTAGAGTCTTTTTATCTGTGTTGGGAAAATATGTGCATTAGTCACTCTTATGAAAATCAGGCAGATCCTTCATCATAGCACTCTGATTGGTCTGAACCGCTGGGGTTATGACCAATCAGCCAACATCTTGGAGCCTGGAGAGATGGATTCTCACTTGAGAGAAATCCAGCTGCATCGTAAGGTTTTGTATTTACCACCAACATGGAAAAATAACATTCAGAGAGCAGATTCACTGAATAGACGCTGCTACATAACAACATACTATAAATATTCATACACTGTGTTATCAAATTAATGTGTAATTAATATGGACCCATTAACAGGATTATGATCTTTGGTTCGTGTCTGTCTTTCTGTTAATGGAACAGCCTCCCAGTAATCCCAGCCTCTCTCGTGCGTCACCTACCAGTTGTGTGGCCTGGTGTCTCTGGGCGTGGCCGAGCCTGCTGAGGAAGGTCAGGGCCGGCAGCCAGTAGTGGCTGAGCAGGCAGACGATCAGGACTACCATGAGGGTCATCACCAGGAGGATTATTATTATCTGAACAAACTCCAGTTCAGCTGCAGGAACACAGAGAGAAACAAAACGTAAGTATGGGTCATAATCACCTGCTGCACAGACGACCTGTGGGCTCGTGTCTCACAGGACGACGGTCCTGTTAGTGGATCCACTGCTGTAGACATGAATGACTTCTGTCCTCGTCTGAACTGGAAGCTGTTGTATGCGGATCAGACTGAAACTGACTTGTGATTTCAGGCCATAATTAGATAATATAATAAAACTGATGCGACTTTAGAAGGATGGGTGAACATATTTCAGGTCTGATTGATTTAACCACAGTCACTGCTCCTGGAAGAGAAATGTCTTCTGAAGTCAAAGCTGCAAAACAAACCTGAAGCAAATGCAACAATGGAAACGAGCTGCAGGAAGTCGAAACAAAAACATGAACAAACGCTGCAAATACAGAAACGATGCAACAACAAAAACACATGAACCTCCAAAACAAATGCAACAGAAAAAAACAAAACGCTTCATATTCAGACAACAACACAGAAGAGCTCCAGGCCTGTAGGGGGAGCTCTCACTGGAACAACTTGAACCCTCTGACCTGAGAGATCAGACACACGACCTTTGACCTGGACCAAACGAGAGAGTATGAGGATAGAAAGATTTTGGCTGTAGTTTTTACAATATTACAAGAGAGCAACAAATAACATAGCTAGCGTTAGCATTAGCTTATATACAGTCTATGGGTGTTCCACTTAGAGCTCCCCCTAGAGGCCTGGAGCTGCTCTGCTGTGTTTTCTGGATGTGCAGCGTGTTTGTTGTTCATGTTTTTGTTTTTACTTCCTGCAGCTTGTTTCCGTTCTTGTATTTAATTTGTATTAATTTGTGTTTTTGAATCTGTTTCGTTTCTGAACTTGCAGCTCGTTTAAGTGTTTTGAGCCGCTGCAGCAAGTTTGTCCTCGTCGGCCACCGTACAGAGCTGATAGGAGGATATTTTACACAGAGCAGAAAGGACAAACACTAACTGTTCAACATACATATGACATGTGTTGTATTAACACACACCTGAAAATAAGAATCTTTTCCTTCATTCATTAATAGACTCGTCGCAGTGTTACACAAACATAAAAAACATCTTTTGTTTCCTTGTTGCTGGGACCAACAATCACAAACATGTCTGCAGTTTCTTCATGTAAACAGAAGTAAACATTAGTAAATATGGCCGCTCACATTCTGACTGAGTCCACCCCCGCTTCTCTACATGACAGCTACACGTCTGCTTTTATTTCAACTCCAGCAGCAGCACTAAAACATGTCTGACAGCCGCTGCGTGAACAAAGAGAGGAGACAAAGGCTCAGACACAGCGACTGACAGGCCTTCACCTTTCACCTTTGACCCCGGGGAGGAGCGAGCCGGGACGGCAGCCGGCTGTAATGAAGAGTCTGGTGCATTGCTAATAAACCCGGTGTGTGTGTGTGTGTGTGTGTGTGTGTGTGTGTGTGTGTGTGTGTGTGTGTGTGTGTGTGTGTGTGTGTGTTTCATTTAGTGGTCTCATCAGCCCTTCACTGACGCCCCCACTGAGTTCCTCCTGTGGTCATGAAGACAAAGCAGTACGTGAAGGTGAGTCAGCAACAAACAGCCCGACTCGTCTCTGATCCTCTGTGTGCTGCAGGTACGGCAGGTAAGGCCCCAAACCACACTGTTAACATACAGAACACACCCAGGACTGAGAGCAGGTGGACCCAGAACACCCAGAACCACACTCACTGAACTGAAAACATGAGGCAGAAAAAACTGTGGCTCTGGTTACTCTCAGCAGCTTCAGGAGAACTGAACTCCAGACCTGCAGATACAGACCTGCAGAGCAGAACTGCAGATGCAGAACTGGACCTGCCCAACAGAACTGGGCCTGTCCTGTTTGTATGGAGGTCTGGGAACACCAGGTTCCTTCACACATCCACTCTACAGACTGAAACAATAAGAGGCTGTCAGAGACGGTGCTGGGACCAAGACTTCCACTGATACTGGTTCCTGTGAGTTCAGAACTGCAGGTTCTGGTGCTGCACTCTGTCTGGTTTGTCCACGAGTGATGATGCGTTCATGAGAGACACGGTCTGGTTACAGTAGACAGGTGCACTCTCTTACCATTTTGGACTCAAGGTGAGAATGTGACCGACACATGAGGGAATTACCCAAAGTTCATAGCGTTGTGACATTAAACAAGGGGTTAGCGTGGTTATCAGGAGACGCCCTGATGTGTAAAAAACAGAATACAACGGCCATAAAACGCAAGAAATAATAAGATAGAAGAAGAACAGTTAACAAACATGCAGGGAAAGGAGCTAACGCTAACGTTAGCATTAGAAGGAAACAGACAGTATAAACACAGTCACTGTGACTCAGACTGAACTGTGGAGTCATCTGTCCTGTGATGATGTGATGATGAAATCCAAATATCCAAACTGGATCAGATCTGATCCAATGTTTGTTTGTTTTTTGTTTACAAACAGGAAGTGAAAGGAGGGAATAAAACAATTGTGTGCAAATGTTTTAGCATTTGATAAGTGCTGTCTCATTCCTCTTTACACCTTCTGAGCCCTGCAGCCTCTCTCTCTCGCTCTCTCTCTCTCTCTCACCAGGTGAAGTCAGTTAGGTCTGTGGGGGTTCAGGTATTAAGGTTTGGGGGGGGGCACTGGGATTGGACCCATCACTCCATGTCACTGGGGTTTCTGTCCCCTCTTCACATGCAGCTCTCTGGTAGACCAGGTAGACTGAGTCCTGGTCTTCCTGATAAACTTGACTCACTGCTGTTCTCACTGTCTTAACATGTTTCAGTCAGTGAATCACGTTTTAACCTCCTGCAGCTTTAAATGTCACCGTGTGTCTGACTCGTTTCCAGACCGTCTTTGTGCTGCAGGGACTCGGCTGTCTGACAGCAGACTGCCGGGGGGGGGGGTGATATGGGGGAGGGTGGCCGCCTCATCAAGCGGCCTGTCCACACACACACACACACGCACACACACGCCAACCAGCACCAAGACCCTGCCGCAGCACAGTGTCCCCCGGCCCCTCTCTCTCTCTCTCTCTCACTCCCGCTGAAATAAAAACCACTGAGTCAGAAGTTGGAGCCATGAGCAGCATCCAACCTCCTCCATCACTCAGCCGTCTCACCTCGGCCGGAAATGCGTTCAGTTGTCTCACTTACATATATCCATGCCCTGGTTCTGGGGTCTGGCGCAGCTGCAGGAGTAAAAACCATTGGCCCTTGTGTCGCTGGATCTTCCCGGGACTGCTGTGTTTTCCGAACGGCGGGGAGCACCGAGACGCCGGGGAGCGGAGCCGCCAGCCGGCTGCCGAGGGGCGGAGAGGAGCGACCGGTCCCGCAGCCTGTCAGCGCCCAGCCCGAGCACACAGCCTACATCACGACCCTGGAGCTCCGTGTGGTTCATGGACCGTCCTCTGAGTGTGGTGTCCCCGTCTCTGCCCCACGGCTCCGTCAGCTGAGCGGCAGATTGCTGGGTGTGTGTGTGTGTGTGTGTTGTTGGATTTGGAGCCCGCCTCCTCTCTGTGTTCCGCGGGGGAGGGGGGAGCTGGTGACAATGGAGGACGGCGGTCAGACGGTGAGGGGGGGGGGCCGGAGGCAAGGCTCACACTGGGGGCAGCGGTCCAGACCCAGACAGACAGTCTCAGAAGAGGCTCTCCTCCATTGACCGTGGCCGCTGGCAGACTGTGTCCCAGACACAAGGCAGCTGGTTACAACTATAGTCCGGGGACAGAGACCCTCAGGGTGGGGGTCCAGGTTTAGTCTGGGTGGTGAAAATTAAATCATTCATTTATTTTAATTTAAACTAATTTATTTCCAGCAGTGGAGTTTTTTTGTTTTAAAACAATATCTTTATTTTCCTTTTCAACACATAGACACTGGAAAATGTGCAGATGGATTAATGACACGTCACATGAGCTGATATCAGTTTATAATAATAATAATAATAATAATAATAAACTTTATTTGTATAACACCTTTCATACAAGAAATGTAGCACAAAGTGCTTTACAACAAAGAAATGACTAAGACATTGACTCATATGACTCACATGAAGAAGAAAGACATGAAATGAACATGAAAATATGTTAAAAGCATTGATCTAAAAGGAAAAACATGAAAAACATGATGTAAAATGAGATAAAATAATGAATAAAATAATAAATCATTAAATAGGCAGACATGTAAAAGAAGTGCTGAGCAGTGTATAAACGTGTGCTAAATGTCAGAGCTAGTTGAAACATAAAACAGGTTTAAATTTTATGGTTAAACAGGTTAAATTTCTTCCAACTGTCAGAATCCTGAAGAAACCTCACTGATGAGAACTTTAATATAAATACTGAGTCAACAACGGTGTTTCTCCACCACATGGTACCAACTCTACTCTACTCTACTCAAGTCTAGTGTGGATCCAGTCAACACGAGTTGGTGTCAAGCTGCTTAAAGACCTCTGTGAAAATCAAGTGTTTCACCTCGTTAACATCCATATAATGTTTTTTATAATACAGATACATGATGATGAAATAATCATCAACACCATGACTGAGTGTTTCCACCTTAAACTGCAGTGAACCAATCACAGTCTCATAAACACAGATTCAGACAGTCAGAGACTCATATGTCACAGACCTCAGGAACCAATCCTGTCAACTTGTGGGGATGGGGGGCGGGGCTAAATACACCTGAAACCTTGTCAGTACAAAGAGAGAGAGTTTACATTAGCACAACTGCTAACACTGTGTCAGCCACTGCCAGTTACAAGCTAACAAACAACATAAACAAATAAAAGATGCTAACTATGCTAACAGTTCTGAAAAGATGCTAACTACGCTAACCGTTCTAAAAGGTGCTAACTGCGCTAACTGTTCTGATCCGTCTGCTAGTCTTTGGTTCTGATCTCAACAGACTCCTTTACTTAGTCTGGTTCTGACTGAGGCTCAAACATGTGGCTGAGTCTCTGATGTTTCTAACTTTGATTTAATTATGTTCTTCAAAAGAACTCAAGACACGAGTCTTATCCAATCAGATTAAATTTTCAATTCAATTCAACAGGCTTTATTGACATGACATTTTCAATGTGTTGCCAAAGCACAATTACAATCACTGTATTCAACATTAAATTGTCAAAGAAATAAAAATGTCAACAAAAATATTAATATAATAAAATGCAATATAATTATTAATTGAATTAATGTAATAAATTCAATATTTTAAAAAATCTTTTAATAAATATTTTCTATGAATTAGATTATTAAATTTAAATGTATTATTATATGTAATTAAAATGATTAATTCCTTTCTCTCATTGAGGTGAGCTAAGATTGTAAATATTGGAGCGATCCACACTCCTGACCAGTTGGTGGCGGTAATGCGCCAATTCATTGTTTGTCAACCGCCAATAAACCTCAAAGAAGAAGAAGAAAGCGGTGAAGAAGAAGAAGAGGAGGAGGAGGAAGAGGAAAGGAGGAAGAAGGTGGGTGAAGAAAAATGAGCCATCTTCGTGAGGTCGAAGCTGCAGTGTAGCGGTAATATTTTCAGTATTAATAAACCATCGTGTTCTCTGTATCGTTGGCACCGGGTTAGCTTGTGACGTGACTTGACTGACGTGGTAACGTTAGCATTAGCGGGAAAACGTCGTGACAGACGCAGAGTTCATTTTGTCTGAGGCGCCTTCACCTCAGCGGTTAACGGTCCCTCTCTAAAGTCCTGCCGACGAGCCTGGCGTGAATCACGGCCGGCGGGAAGTCCGCTGCAGCAACCTTTATTTACGTCCGGTGTGTTTCCGAGCCGCTCTCCCGCGCCTGAACGCACCACGGTGTGCAGGGGAGATTTAAGGACGCAGTAAAATGTCCACCTTAACTGCACTACAGGAGTCAAAGAGCAGCTGCACAGAGACCAGCAGTAACAGCGACACCGTGTGGTGACACAGAAGAAGGGGGTGGTGGTGGGGGGGTGATCAATATGAGATAAATATGGATTAACATCTTATTTAATCAGGATGAGATAGTGGACACATAATGTAAAATACAATTAATGATAAAGACAGGAGATCAGTGGTTCCCAAACTGTGGGCTGGTGAGTCAAATCATTTGCCAAACAGTGACTGTAATTTTGGTGAAAGGATGTAATTCTATATATATATATATATATAATGTTTCTAATGCATTAGAATTAAATAATCTTTAAAAACAGTAAATATGTTTAAAAACTGATCACTGTGATAAGACAATGATAGGAACTTTTATGTTGTCACCGGACCACATCACATACTTGTTTGGATTTCATCCACGGTGAAAACTGCAGGACCAAAATGGATAGCTGCTTAGCAACAGGAAGAATTAAGAGACAGAGGATGAATCAACAAGTGATCTCTCCCCCATCAAACAACAAAGAAAAATGTTCCATCATTACCATTAAAATGGAAAGTGTTGAGAGAACATATTTTTGGCGTCCATATTGTCACGGAATCGGATGTGGGTCGCTAACATCTTTTCTCAAAGATGTTTGAATTGGGTCTGTAGTTGCTTCATGACGCTTCCTGTTTGGACAGCTCTGAATGTTGAAGTGCAGGAAGTGACGGGGCCTGAAGACTTTGTGAATAAAGTGTGCAGCTGAATCGATGCCTCAGAGGGAAGTGACCATTAAACTTTATAAAGGAATAACACGTGTCAGTGCTGCTGCTCTGGATTGCATTGCTCTACTCAACACTCTGAGGTCGACGGGTGTTTCTATTAATATCTTTGCGATAATACAGCGCAGAAATATGGTTTAAATGTTGTTAGAATCTGTCGACTCTCCACTTTCCCTTTAATATTCGTGTGGGATCGTACGTGACTCGGAGCTGGAGCTACAAGGCCTCTGAGCAGGCCTCTAAAGTGTGGTGAAAGTAGAGGGACAGACAACACTTTCATTTTAGGCATTTATTATACATTTATCTACTATTTTACTCACATACTACACTATTTCTATGAACCTAAGACTTTGATAAACTAATTTCAAGCACCAAAACAATTCATCCACATCAGTAAAAGTTTGTTTTCACAAGAGAAAAAAAAAAACTGGGCTTCAGTTTTTCAGCATTTGGGACAAACGATGTCTTTGCACAGTTTAACAGGGTCAACAGGGCGTCATTATAGAAAGAGCTGAGATTGTTCTGAATATTATGATATAAAACACTTGGGTATAATCTCATATGCAAGTACCTTAAGAAATAAATAGAAGTTACCCTCCGACCTCAGAGGGTTGATAGAGTGACCATTGCAGCATTGATGACACGACGTGTAACTTGAATCTGTTGTGACTGAATCCTCCTCACAGCTGAATGAACCTCAGAGGTGACGACGGTTCTTTCTCTGTGTCTCTTCCAGATGCCGAGACACTGCTCGGCTGGAGGCTGCAAATCTCGGGACAACCGCGAGACTCGTAACGCTGGTATCACCTTTCACAAGTGAGCGTTTCACACACGTGGTCGAGCTTCAGGCCAGAGGCAGAAAACTCTGTAGATTCACGACTGAGACTGAGTGAACGCACAAAACCAGAAATATACGTACACATTCTTTACATCACAATTATAAAGCCGTGTGTTCGCATTGGTTCAACTTTATAGATCTCACTCATTTCCACTCCCGCAATTATCCATAAATGGATGAAGACGCTCCCGGAAGAACAATTTCACTGAGTCAAACCTCTGATCTTGGTTTATTGGGACTAGAGAGTCTGAACGAGGCTCCAGACTCTCACTGTGATTAGTCAATATTTAAAATGTATAAAACAGTTACAGAACGACGAGCTGTTGTTGCTCCTGATGACGATTTAAAGAGAAGAAATCTGTTTTTATCGTTGATCAGACACAGATTTCCATCATTTTTAGATCGTGTCACAAACATAAAACAGCTGTTCTGTTGTTAATTTTATTTATTTTAAAAAAATTTTTGATTAAATTTTTTATTACTTTTCATAATTCCACATCACAAAAACACAACAGTCTTCAACCAGCGTTAAACAGAGACGAAACATGAGCAACAAATATATCAACTCCACACAAACAGACCAAAAATAATATAATGATAATAATAAATAAAAGAATAGAACGTGTCCACAGCACCACCGTCTCATGAACAATCATACACCTTGTAGAATAGACATTAAAGTCGTTTCCACGTGAGCTCTGTTGTTCCTACATTTACGTGGTTCAACTACAACAGTGCGTGGCTTTAAATGTTGCTGTAGCAAGGGATTGTGGGACGGCATTTTCTCCTTTCCTTTCAGAAGGAGGTGAGGTAGGAAGCACTGAAGCTCCTTTCCTCAGCAGCTGGAGGAGTGGACCGGCTCTGATACTTCAGCTCATTTCACTCAGTTTGAACCTTCGTAAGAAGAGCAGACCGTGGTCGATATCCTCGGGCTTTGAGAGGAACGGTGGAGGAAGGATCAGATCAACGGCAGCAGAAGATTTCAGCCGTCTCAGACACCGCTCTGCTCTGTTGGATCCAGTACAACCAGATCATCCTCCCAGTCTGACCCAGTCTCCTCTGGAATCCACAGAACTTTTTCTGCACCTTAATGTGAAAAGACAGAGTGTTCTGACAAACAGCTTCCTGTCCCGTCTTCACCTCACGGAGAGCGACCGGGGTCAGTTGTGTCTCGCAGTGAGAGCTGGTGACACGAACCTTTCCTGTCGGCTGCACAGGGTTCAGTAACCTACACATAAACCACGCTGCTCCCTCCCCTCCACAGCCACACTTGGTACAGTCCACCCTGTGAACAGCAGGTGGCGCAGTGGGCACCATCCTCTACCAGGAAGTAGACTTCAGAGAAAACTGTGGTCAGAAATCAAAGCCGACAAGAAGGAAAACTAAATCAACCAAATAGAGTCGACTCACTTTACATGTTACATGTTACACAACCAAACTAACCACTAACCTGGTGAATTAAACCTAGTGATGGTTAAAGTGAGAGAAGCTCCCTGTGATCCACACTAGTGAAGCTGAGAGTGTCTGTGAGAGAGAGAGAGTTGGGCGAGTTACTCAGGAAGATAATACTAATGTAATAATGTAATTAGATACATTACTTTTATATTATATATATTATATTTATATTATTGTTATTTTATTCATTTAAGTACGTTTTATTGAATAAATAAGAATTGTATGACGTAGGACTCAGTCTACATTTTCATTAGAAAAAAAAACAACAAATAATGTCCAACATAAATAACCACAAAAGAAAAATACACTCTTAATAATAATTTGTTATTTCAGCCCCAACATTTAAAACAATGTTCAGAAGTGAAATAATATTGATGAACAGCAGCTTCTGATTTGATCAGACGTACGGCCGTAGATCACCGTGCTGAGGTCGTCACACCGACTTAATTGATTTTAAACGGTTAATGTTTTGAAGGCTGTTCGTGGTCGGACACCTGAGCGTCTCTCTGACAGACCTGTGAGGTGTGAAGCAGTCCAACGCCTCAGATCAGCTGGAACCTGCTGCCTGATCATATCAGAGGAGCCGCTTCACTGTCGTCTCTTCAATCTGAGCTGAAAACATTTATTTGTCTAATTATTATTATTTGACTGAATCATATTTTATTCTTATTTTTCAATAGTTTTGATTTACATATCTTATTCATCTTTACTGATTGGTTGTTGGTCTTAATTATTTAATTAATGGTTTTAATTCAGACGTGTCAGTTATGTTTTAATTATTAAAAAACAGTTGTTGTGGTTGTAACTTCCTTTCTGCAGCACTTTGTTCTTCCACCTGGAATGAAAGGTGCTGTGTAAATGAAGCGCTGCGTGTAACTCAAGTATTGATGTGATGATCAAATGTTGTTGCATGGATCAATAGTGATCAGTTATTGTCGTGGTCAGATTACCAAAGGGAGCCACTCGGAGGAACCTGTGGATCACCAACTCCCACCGTGCGGACTCCTGGGACCCTCAGACGGACTTCGTCTACTTCTGTTCCAAACACTTCACCCCAGAGAGCTTCGAGCTGACCGGCTGCAGGTGTGTCACATGTCAGCGCTTTAGCTCTGTCTCTGTTACTGACACTGGCTCCAAACATCTGAGTCCGGCCGACAGCGTTACAGTGTCTTTGGCCTTTTCACAGTGGCATCAGGCGGCTGAAGGAAGACGCTTTTCCTACAGTGTTTGACTCGACCTCAACGACCAAATGCAAACGAGCAGGAACACCACAGAGACAGGAAGTCCCTCCTGTCAGGTAAACACTCCCTCACTCACTCACTCACTACAGTGTGAGTGTTTTATCTCTTTTTCTCTCCCCTAATGTTGTAATTTCTAAACTTTTTATCATTAATTTTTATTTTATTTCTTCTTCTTCTTATTGTTATACCACCAAAGGGAAACTGATTGACAACGTTACCACAGTACTACAGTGATTGCTCAGCTGCAACATACGAGCTAAAGCACGAAGCTAATGCTAGCATTGGTGCAGAAGTACACAGTACTGTGCAGCATTAGCCGCAGTGCTAATGACTCTGTTGTTTGACCATCTGTGTGTGGAAGGAAAAACTAATGGAACTGAGTGTTTGTCATGTTTCCTGCAGGAAGAGACTCTGCTCAGGCGACCAGGAGCCCAGTCAGCAGGAAGCAGAGCGGCGGGGTCAGACCTCAGAGGATCCCACAGGTCAGAGGTCAGCGGCGTCTGAGCAGACTCATGAAAACAAACCTGCATCTGCTCACGAACCCTCAGAGCTCACAGAGCGAGAACACGCCGCCTCACCGCCGCCGCAGGCTCGTCCCCTCTCCCCGTCACAGTACATGAGGCGCCTGCCCCCTCCTCCGGGCTTCTACCTGTCGAAGGAGCACAGCTACGCTCAGCTCTGCCCCCTGCTGTGGAGGAGACGCTACGACCAGGCTATCGACTGCCTGGAGAAGGCCTTAAGACAGCTGCATGCCGCCCGGCGGAGGGAGAACCGGCTGCGCAGCACCGTGCTGAGGCTGCGTGATAAACGGCTGAAACACACTGTGCTCGTGTCACAAGACGGTTGTAAGAGCAGGGGGAGCTGGACGCCAGGGGGGGAGCGGAGACGAGGTAGAGGAGGCTCTCACCAGGAGGAGAGTGAGACTGATGCTAAATGTGAGGACACGGGGCTGTTTGAGGACAGATGTGTGGATCACATGGAGCTGGGCTGGTCTGAGGAGGAGAAGGGATTCTGCTTTTACTGCGGGAGGGGGCAGGTCCAGGCGGGTCAGGTCGCACACACACTTTCAAAGACTGAGAAAAATGTCCAGCCCACAGAGCATGAGGACTCGGACAGGACTCAGAGAGAGGAACATACCAAAGACACACAGAGAGTCCGGCTGGAACCACCGCCGGGAAAAAAAGTAGAAATCAACGACTCAGATGTTGCACAGTCCCAGGTCCTGCTCCAGACCCCCCGTCTCCACCATGTGATCCCTGCCGCAGCGCCTCCGCCTGATAGTCTACAGCTCTCCGACACGTGTGAGGGGGAGTCTGACGCCGCGGCTCAGGAGCATCACCTGGACCTGCAGCAGCAGCTGTTCTGGATCCAGGACGGCGCCGAGGGTCAGGTCATCCTGGTGCCTGTCCCCGCTGAGGACGGATCACCAGGCTTTCTCAGGATGGAGGGGGTCGTTGACGAAGCACAAACCATACTGGTGTCACAACTGGATCTCAAAGGAGACCCGAGTGGAGGTCTGGCCTGTGATGACGACCACGAGCCGCTGACTGTCATCAACAGAGAAGATGTGAGGGAGAAACTGAAGGAACACCTGGAGGGATTCCACCTTCAGCTGAGCACAGAGTTCATAAACTGACACCACGCCATCTGAGCATTCCACGCCATCCAACACGCTGACTGTTGTTGCTGAGGGACCCGGGCCGCTGGGACACGCCTCCGCCTCAGACGCCATGTTGTTGTGGAGCCACGGAGACAGACTCGGTGCTTAGTCACGTGTTTTTCTGGGTGTTTGTGCGTGTGGAGACAAACCGGCAGTGAATGTCTCATCCTCAGAGGTGTGTGATGTCTGAGTCACACACACACACACACTGTAGTTTATCTTGACCCAGTTCCACACACACCGTCCTGCTGCCCCAGATACTCACCACATGTGGATCAATCCGCCGCTGAAAATAGTCCCCAACAAATGCACCGTTTCCTCCTGTTTGATAAAAACTGCAGCTGTTTGAGGAAATTAATCACTTGTGAGGAGTTTTTAAAGGTTTGTGTCTTCAGCAGGAAACAGTGAGTTTGTTGGTTTGTTAACAATAAGAAAAATGTAGAATAACACCAGAATGTACGGAAGACCAGGGACGTCAGAAAAATAATAAAGCATTTCCTTACTTTCATATTTTAATAGTCTCTTAACTCAATTTGGTCATAAAGTGTATAAATGTTTTAACCTGTGGAGTAACGACTAACAGAAAGATGATAAAGTTCCTCTCTGTGTTTTAAACTCTGTAAAAATCCTCTGCTGTCACTCATATTTTGTTTAACATGATTTTCACACATAAAAAATCACATTTACTCTGACATCCTGATTACTGTAGTTAGCATCATTTCAGAACGATTAGCGTAGTTAGCATCTGTCAGAATGATTAGCGTAGTTAGCATCTTTCAGAACGATTAGCGTAGGTAGCATCTTTCAGAACGATTAGCGTAGTTAGCATCATTTGAGAACGATTAGCGTAGTTAGCATCTTTCAGAACGCTTAGCGTAGTTAGCATTTTTCAGAACGATTAGCGTAGTTAGCATCTTTCAGAACGATTAGCATAGTTAGCATCTTTAGAATGATAAGCGTAGTTAGCATCTTTCAGAACGATTAGCGTAGTTAGCATCTTTAGAATGATAAGCGTAGTTAACATCTTTCAGAACGATTAGCGTAGTTAGCATCTTTCAGAACGATTAGCGTAGTTAGCATCATTTGAGAACGATTAGCGTAGTTAGCATCTTTCAGAACGCTTAGCGTAGTTAGCATTTTTCAGAACGATTAGCGTAGTTAGCATCTTTCAGAATGATTAGTTTAGTTAGCATCATTTCAGAATGATAAGCGTAGTTAGCATCTTTCAGAACGATTAGCGTAGGTAGCATCTTTCAGAATGATTAGCAGAGTTATTAGTATGTTTTCAGAGTGGTCAGCAAGGTTAGCATCTTTTCAGCAGTTAGCATAGTTAGCATCTTTTCAGAGCGGTTAGCATAGTTAACATCTTTTATTTGTTTATGCTGTTTGTTAGCTTGTAACTGGCAGTGGCCGACACAGTGTTAGCAGTGTTGTGCTAATGCTAACCATCTCTCTGTACTGACAAGGTTTCAGGTGTATTTAGCCCCGCCCCCCGTCCCCACAAGTGATCAGGATTGGTTCATTAGGTTTGTGAGGTATGAAACTCTGGCTGTCTGAATCTGTGTTTATGAGACTGTCATTGGTTCACTGCAGTTCAAGGTGGAAACACTGAGTCATGGTGTTGATGATTATTTTATCATCATATATCTGTATTATATAAAAACATCATATGGACATTAACGAGGTTAAAATCTTGATTTTCATCAGAGGGATCTGTAAGAAAAACCTCCTTTGAGGAGGTTCAGTGGATTTGTGCTTAGCTCAGATGGTAAATATTATAATATATATATATATATATAATTATAATATAAACTCCACTGGACATTAATGACATCAATAACATGTCACTCCACTGATATCAGTCTGGTTTCTGCTCCTGGTTCATCCCACTCTCTGTCTCTGGAGGAGCTGCGAGAATAACCCTGATGATGTCATAGTGATGTCATCAGAGGTATCCCAGCCTGGGCTTGCAGACTTCCAATGAAAAAAAATGGAAAGGTAGAGTTACAAACTGGAGATGTGTGTGTTCACAACAGAAACACACCTAACTAGTTTCCAGAGGTTCCCAGACTGTTGGAAGTGAGTCGCTGTTCGATCATCTGCAGAGACTTGTATGAAGCAGTGTGTAATATCAGAGGAATGTTTGCTGAGTTTAGTGTGTGTGTGTGTGTGTGTGTGTGTGTGTGTGTGTGTGTGTGTGTGTGTGTGTGTGTGTTAATGCAAAGCATCTGGGGGCAGCTCAGCGCAGTAACACTGAGGATGAAACAGTGGGAGAGGATGATGGTCTCATACTGAAACAATTCACTGTGGCTTCTTTGATTGGGTGTGGCATTAGCCCCTCCCACTCACATATTCAAGTTCCTGAAGGAGGGGGGGGGGGGGCTCTACAGTATCTAATCCTGCCTGGAAGAAGCTCTCTCTCTCTTTCTTTCGACCCCCCCCCCCTCTGAAGAAGGAATGTGGTCGTGCCTGTTTCCCTCCTTTTTATTTAAAAACTCCACAAACAGAACTTCAGGGCTTTTCCCACAGTCTGACAGTCTCACACCAGACCCGGTCCGGTTCATAGATCTGGGCTAGTTCATGTGTACCTGGTCCAGTTTATAGACCTGGTCCGGTTCATTGACCTGGTCCGGTTTATAGATCCGGTTCGGTTCATTGACCTGGTCCGGTTTATAAACCTGGTCGGGTTCCTGTGGAGCTGCAGCACCAGGCTGCTGGCGGTGAAGAGGTTAACACAGTGACAGTCTGGAACACCAGCCTGAACTTGAAGGCAGTTATTGCGTAAAACAACAGTGTCCAACTTTTACTAAAGGCTTCCAGATGTGGAATGAGTCTCTGCTGAGACGAGGATCCAAACTCTGCACACAGTCTTATACACAACCACTGATCCGGGTCCTGGAGCTGGACCGGTCCAGAGACTCTGCAGTGATACAGAGAGTCAACATGTGACCACTTCATATCTGATGAGTCTGAATCATTTCTGTCCTGTGGGTTTTTTGGTTGGGGGGGGGGGGGGTCCTGTAAAACCACTATGAATGTGTGTGTGTGTGTGTGTGTGTGTGTGTGTGTGTGTGTGTGTGGACTGGGGCTGGGTCGTGCTGCTCCCTCGGCTCTCGGCTCCTGGTTCCTGGTTCCTGGCTGTGGGCTCCGGGCTCCGGGCTGTGGGAGGATCCAGGATCAGTGCCAGCTGGTGACAGAGGCTCCACTGACACACAACAGCAGCAGCAGCAGCCGCGAGACACGCAGGAAGAAAAGTAACACACTCCAACTGTCTTCGACATGCCTCAGGTAAGAGTCCGCACGCTGGTCTTTACAGAACCGGACCGAAAGCGGATCTGAGTTCAGCAACGACGAGCTTTTAAAGTCCCATCGAGTTTTCTGGGGGAAAAAAAAGTGTTTTTTCTTCTGCGGAGTGATTCGGCTCCAGACCGAACAACTTCCTCAATTATTCTTTAGAGCGGGACAAGTCGGGCGGCGGTTTCCCAACGACCAGAGAAAGTTTTCTGAGCGGGACCTGAGACCCGGAGAGGTCCACATGAACCGCGGGAGTTCCTCTCAGCAGACGCGGGAGCCGTTCGCGGCCCAGCCTCGGCGCTCAGGTCTGTCGTGCTGCCAGCGGCCCCTCCCTGAGAACCAGTAACTGTGGTAGTCAGTCCTGACACACCTTTACAGGTCTCCTGGTGCTACCTGAGCCCACCACTTACCTGTCACAGGATCACATTATTACAGCTTTAATGTGGCTGTAATATATGAACAGAGTCAGTGACCCGGGGCAGGTCCAGTCCTGTGTGAGGGGCCCAGCTGGAGCGGGGACAGAGGTCCACCTGAGTGACTCTTTATTTCAGGGCCTTTCTCATCGTGCTGCGTTCAAGCTCCTATCCTGTTTAGAATCTGGAGGGAGGGGGGCTCACTGTGGGCTGCCAGCAGGGGCCTGTGCCACCTCTGGTCCCCACGTTATCTGGTCTCTGTCCTCACAGGACGAGTCCACACCAGTACGCCACGGTCCTGCAGAGACAACTGGGCTCCTGTGCAGCCGGCCGTCCTCTCTGTCCCTCTGTGGGACCGTCCCGGACCGAACTGTAGAGGTTCAGACTGACAGAGCTGGATCTGGGTGTGGTGCTGGCCTCTGGCTTTAACTGTTTACACTGAAACTAGAGCACTGCTTCTGTAATAAAGGTAAAGAAGCTCATATACAGACATACACAGAACAAGTAATAAAGTGAAGCCTCAGTGTTTTAATGGGACGTCAGTTTTTCAAGCACAATATTATCTGTGTAACACATTCGTTAACATAACGAGGTGTAACTCCAGGACTCGGTCTGCTCGCTGTGGGAGGGTTGTAGTCGAGGTGACGAGGGCCTGCAGCAGCTTGTGGTGCATCAGTCAGAGAGGGTGTGGTTTTGACAAAGCCGTTGGTCCACATGTATTGAATAACTGTAGCAAGACCGGAGTGAGTTCCTGTGTGAAGCCGCTCTGATCCACATCACAGGTGGACGGCTTCTGTCAGACACAGTTCTGCAATCAAACCTGACATTCAACAAGTTTTGCTGAAGAACTAAAAAGTGTTTGACCGTCTGTGAACGAGCCACATGATGACGCCACAGGAACAGTCCTCTGCTGTTTCCGTGGTTGTTGTCAAAGTGTTGGCCCCTAGGGGGCGTCGGTCAATAACAGCATGGACAGAGAAGAGAGAAATCCTTTTGTAACCTCAGTGGAAAGTTCATGTTGAAGCTGTTTGTGTTTTGAATGAACAGACTGTGTATTTGTATTTCTTATATTTGTTTCAATAAATCAAATCAGTGTTGACAGGAGCTGATCAAAGATGGCGGCTAGGTTATCAATACAACATAAAGGCGCATTAACACGCGGTTTTTCTTTTTTATAATGTTGTTTATATTGTGTTTTAACTAAAAAATACATTGATGCTTTACATAAGTTTTTTGTTTTTAATCTCACTATTTCATCTCTTTAACATCCAAACTGAATAAATCACTGTGTGATGAACTCGCTCTGCACTGACCTTTAGTCCTCAGCTGTTGTTTCCGTCTCCTCGTCATCGTTCCCAGCTGCAGCGAAGCGTCTGTCCTCCACCTGCTCATCAGTCTCACACCGAACACACTGGAGCATTTAGCAGCTAAAGAGCCGGATATTTCCCTCAGTAGCTGGTGGAGACCAAACACGGAGCTCAAAGACATGAATCATCGTGTTGCTCTGTAGCTGCTGGGAGTTTGAATATCCAACTGTTTGCTGACAGGTTCATAATAAACTTCATAATGTGATGCCATGGTCACAGGTTGTCGTGTTGCTCCTACAGCTGTAACACTGAATCCTGAGCACGACTAAACAGCAGTTAAAGAATTAGGCATTCAACATGAGATTTAAAGGTCATTCTTAATCTTGACTAAAACTAATCTCATCAGAGCTTTTGATCGTATCACATGGTCTTCCTCAGCAGCTGGAGGTTGAACTGTTCAATTTTTAGAAGCACTTTCTTTACGACTTATCCCTTTAGGCTAATAGATCAGAAACATCTACCACAAGATCTGACTGGATCCATTTTGTGATCCGTGATTGAAAGCTCCACATCGGTTACTAAATGGCCCTTGTGGTAGATTGTCATCTCAGCTCTAAAACTTGTAAACAACAGTTTTTACAGGCTTTAAAAAGCCCAGGGCCAAATGGTGAAGGGCAGATCACGGCTGGGTCTCCAGACATCAGCTGCTGCGGAGCTGAAGCTAAAGGGGATGTTCACAAACAAAAAAACATTCACACCTTATTCAAACAGAACTTACCTGCCATTGATCTAACAGCCTGCAGCTGTGAGACTTCACTAAATGTGAGGGATAACTTCAGTCTAACTTCATCCTCTCTGTGGTTTCAGGGCTCTGAAGTTACATAAACATCAACAGTCCACCTCTTCCCTCCTCTCTCACACCTGTGACGATGCAGGTGATGAGTCACCTCACAGGAAGCCCTGAAAACACTGAGGGTCAGCTCTCTGACCTTAAAGCTGTAATAACTGATTCCACCTCAAGCTAATGTTAGCCTAAACAAGCTAATGTTAACTTAAACAAAATAAAGCTAGCCTAAACAAGCTAATGTTAACTTAAACTAAATAATGTTAGCCTAAACAAGCTAACGTTAACCTAAACACAATAACGTTAGCCTAAACAACCTAATCTTAACTAAACAAGCTAATGTTAGCCTAAACAACCTAGCGTTAACCTAAACAAAATAACGTTAGCCTAAACAAGCTAACATTAACCTAAACAAAATAACGTTAGCCAAAACAAGCTAACGTTAACCTAACCAAAATAACGTTAGCCTAAACAACCTAATCTTAACTAAACAAGCTAATGTTAGCCTAAACAACCTAGCGTTAACTTAAACAAAATAATGTTAGCCTAAACAAGCTAATGTTAACCTAAACAAAATAATGTTAGCCTAAACAAGCTAACGTTAGCCTCTGTGACTGTTGTGTGTGGAGCGTTGCTACAACAGATGTTTCTGTCACAGTTCACAAACTGTAACAGAAACATCTCAGGACGTGAACGTGGCTTCCTCCAGCGAGTCCCTGATGACCCGCGTCGAATACTAAAAATCTCCACTCGCCAGTCTGAGGGTGTTTTTTTTTGTTTGTTTTTTTGCCAATTAACATAAAAACCTTTTCTGCTCACATGGCAAACTCCAGTGTTTCCTCTCTTTCAGCTCTGTGTTTGGTCTCCACCAGCTCCTGAGGGAAATATCTGCCTCTTTACATTATAATTATAAAATATTTTTGTATTTTTCCCTGCTCATTGGCCAAAAGCTGCATTTGTTGTCTCTGCAGAGGCAGAGGTGGAGCTTTGGGCTGAAGAGCCAATAGCAAAGGCTGATAGAGATGAAAGTGGTATTAGATATTGGTCTGATCATGTGTTTCCTCCTGTCTTTTTTCCTTTCTTGCTCCATCTTCACCTTCCTCGTCCTTTCCCCAGTATTCAGACCTGGAGACGGCCATTAACACACTGGTCACCCAGTTCCACTCTGCTTCAGCTGACAATGGTCCAACGCTGAAGACTGATGAATTCAAAGGCCTTCTGTCCTCCCAGATGCCTAACCTGGTCAAGGTAAAACTGCCTCCATGTGCTTCACCCCTGCTGACTGCAGCAGCTTGGTGTGACAGCACACCTCACCTCATACAGACAGTCAGAAACATGCTCTCTCTCTCTCTCTCTCTCTATATATATATATATATATATATATATGTGTGTGTGTGTGTGTGTATATATCAGTCCCTCCAGGATTTCACTGGCTTTTTTGGGGATTGTTGCAACTAAAATACCTGATTTTGCGGCAGCATTTCCTAAAGATTTGTGATGCAAGTTGCAATGTTTTTAGATGGGTTTTTTTGTAATTAAATACCAGCTCTACACCTGTGGTTCAGTGTTGTAGGGGTACAAAACAATTTAATCCACTTTCGTGCAAAACATTGTTGAATGTCTTTGTCTTTAACAGTGATGTTTGTTGGTAAATGTGAGACGTTCATGTCACATGTCTCAAGCTTCAAAACCTGAAACAAGGAAGTGAGTTTGGTGACGTACATCAAGGTTCTGTGCAGGGACTGGTGTGATTGGTTCAACTCGAGGGAAACTATGATGATTTTTTATCAAATTTATGGAAAAATTTGTGGAAAATTTGCAAAAGTTGCAGTGATTGGATAAAAATGCAAAGACGCGGAGAATTCACAGGGATTGGTTGAATTTTCGTTAATTATTGCGATCGCAACATCACAACTTTCTGGAGGGACTGATATTATATATACTGATACCACTTTCCCATTCACAGGAATAACTCACTGTATATATATATATACATAAAATATACACTTGTCAGTTTATTAGGGACACCCAACTAAATCTACAGAAATGGATTTGGTATTTCTGCACCAGATCACATTCCTGTACATGTGGATTGTGGATTATATAGAAAGGTCAAAGGTCACGCTGCTGGTGTGAAAACTGTCTTCTTCTGTGTCTGTCGTCTGAATGCTGTCTCTCTCTTTGTCTTCGTTTGGTCAGCGTCACTGTGTCCCCCTCTTTGCAGAGTACTGTGTCATAACTTCCTGAAAAACAAGAACTTCATTTTCATCTTCCACGTGTTGTGCTGTTGTGTTCCCGCAGGGGATCGGAACAGACCAGGGGCTGGGTGAGATCATGAGGAAGATGGGTGTTGGCGACGGGGAGGGCATCTCTTTCAAGCATTTCTGGAACCTGATCCAGTCAGTAGCCACCTCGCAGCACAGCCTCCTCAGCAGCAACAAGGGCTCCTCATGCAACTGCATCCTCCTGTGAAGAGGAGGCTCTCGGCCCAACACATCAGCGAGCTCTGAGTTTCCACCCAAACAGGGTGAAAGTATGTACATCACTCTCCTATCCAGGTGTCAGACAGAATACAAAGGTGCACACAGCAAGCTGTTCCCCACATTTAAGACTGAAACATTACAGGTGTAAACGCTGCCGTCTCATCTGCCTGTGTCCTGTCCAGCATCCTCTGCACCAGTTAAACTTCAGGCCAGTTTGCATCTCTCACATTGTCCAGGTCGACACACAGTTTGAAAACTCCATTTAGAACCAGCTCACAATAAAAATATTCAAACATCTGTTGGTAGCATCTACTGATCATGAATGAAGTTATTTTATAAGTTCCTGTCCCTGGACCGGACGGTCTGTGGCCGGCATGTTATTACCCACGCTAAGCTAAGGTTAGCTGTCCGTTCTGCTGTTAGTTAGAAACACCCTGATTTTGGTCTGTCACCCTCAGCTCCTCAAACGTCCTCCCCGACGTACAGTGAGGTTTCAACCCTCAGCTGTGAGCTGGGAGGAGGTACGAGGAGGGGAGGTGCTATCAACAAAATCAGGAGGGGGGGGGGCAGCAAGTCTCTGTGACGCAGCCAAACAAAGACACAGCTTCAGCATCAAACTGACACGACTTCACACTCTGAAGGCTCCAGGTCTCACGGCGTCAGTCTGTTTGTCTGAGGCCTGAATTTAACTGGTGCTGAAGGTCGCTGGACGTTTTTCACAGTCAGAGTCATTCACACAGTCACTCTCCATTATTTGCTCTGATGTGGTCTCATATTTGTTCATCTCATTTAGTTTAGTTTGCGTCAGCGGGATAAACGACCCGCTGTCGCTCGAAGCTTCACAGGACGTGATGCGATACAACATCAGTCACTGGTTTAGAAAGAGCAGGCTGCCAGGGCGTCCATGTCTTCCTCACAGAGGTCATCTCACTAGTTAACCACTTCAATGCAAAGCCTATCGTTTATATACAGTAATAGCGTGTATGTGCTCTGATGATACAAAGTGATGTGCCTTCAACAAAACAACTGCAGCTCGAACATGAACGATTTCTTCTCTCATCGGTGCAGAACTGACCGCAGGATAAATTCTCTGTACGACAGTTTACACAGTAACTTCCACTAAAAAAACCTCGTCTGAATATTCACCTATATGATACTAATCATCTCCTTTTGACTTCACGTGCATCAGTAACAAAACACACAATTATAGTTTGGATTTTTCTAAATGTTTAATCAGTTTCTTCTGGAGACAGAAACATCCGTGTGCTTTATAGCCCCTTTATATGTTTGTACTAGTGATGCTTCATCCTCAGTGATTCTGCATTTTCTATGTATTTATATTTTGTAATTCTCTGTATTCTGACCTTTGTGACACCATAAGAAAAATGATGTAATAAACATAAAAAAAAAAATCACCAACACTGCATGTGTTATGGTTTAATCATTTATTAGGTTAATAGGAAAAAAGTGTGAATTATCTGCTGTTTTATTGCTTTCATTTAGGACTTTATCGAGATCATGAAGCAGTAGAATGAACTATGCAGCATTTTATTGCAGCTTTATATCAGCGTAAGGTAGAACACATCATCTGTGTGACGACATCTCATTACACCGACATTATGGATTCAAATCCTCGTGGAGAGATGGCGTACATCCTCTCTTGAGTTTCTTTCCCTCAGGCGTACCTCGAAAGAACTCCAGATAGGACGAGAACACGTACTTATTCATGATTTTGACCCTCCCAAAGATGTCCAGCTCCGTTTGCTCGTCGTGGTCGACTCCGTTCATCATCTGCTTCGATTTGATGTACAGGGCGTTTTCCTTCGCAATAACCTGATCTAACCAGATCTGTCTCTCCTGCGGAGCCATCTCGTAGTTGTCGACGGTGCAGCCGTAGAATCCTCGCCGAAGACGTTCGGGCCAGGGTTGGTTGGTAACCATGGGGTGGTCATCTCCGACGAACGCCGTGCACAGTGAACTGTCGGTCCCCCGTGAGCGGCCTACCTCACAGCCGATGACGCTCATGAGAAAAAGCGAGAAGGTTCTGAAGTTGCGCACAGATGCTGAAAACACGGCGGCCATGAAGTATTGACCCCACCTCTCACAGTTGTAATTACACTCCTGGAACTGGAAGGTCTGTCGACAAAAGTCATTGAATTTGGACGGTTTGAGACCCTGGCTCAGGTCCTGCAGGGAGGACTCGCCCCACTGCTCCACGAAGCTCTGACGGAAATGTTCGACCTCAGCTTGGTTTTCAGTGCTCATGAACTTCCCCATCAGACTTACACTAAGATTTGCCCGGTGCACTTTGTAGATGCATTCATTGAGAACGTAGTAAAGGTCTGATACGACTTCCTCTCTGGCGTTGTATCGTATCTCCACAAGTAGATCCTGAATGTTCACAATATGCTTGAAGACAATGTTGTCTCCTCCTGGTCCTGGTTCTGTGAGCCAAACTGCTTTCACGTGTCTTTGGTCGCTGTCGTAATCAGGAGCACGTCTTCTTTCGTTCTCCTCAAAGAACAGGCTCCACGTCAGCCCCTCCAGGCAGTCTATAGACGGGTACTTCTTACGCAGCTCCATCGGAACAAACATTTGTGGGTGACTTGGCCAATCCAGTGTCTGAAGATACAGAGCTTTTCCTTTATAACCAGGGAGCTCTGGCCCTGCGCAGCCAAGTCCCTCTTTGGTGCGCAGGTCCCCTGTTTGGTCCAGTTCAGCAGTGATTCTTCTTCTGTGGTCATGGGCCGTCCAGACTCCATCAGCTCCGGTCATCATCGCTCCATCAGAGCTGACGGACAGGAAGGAGGTGTACAGGTGCAGCTTTGTCTCCACGCCGACGGACCGGAGACCTCGTAGCAGCTGCAGCATAAAGTGAGGGTCATTCCCAAGGTTGCAACTGATGAGGCTGATGGAGCCGAGAGGACCGGAGGAGAGTTCGGTTTCTAAGGTTGACACCAGTCTGACAAGTTCCTCCGGGCCGAGTCCCGCCAGCTGGACTGTTCCATCAGTGCCTGTGCCGCCGTGACCAACCAGCACGACATCATGACCTCTAGTAGAGAAGAAACGCCTTCCTCTGAGAAGATGCAGCGCCCCCTTCTGGTACCTCAGCAGAGTGGATACGCTGGGATGCCTCTCATACAGGTGCGTGGCTGACTCAGTCACAGCAGGGTCCTCTTCCATTATAACTATAGTCTCGTGGCTGGATGCAGCGTCACGTTCTCTAAGGGTCATGTGCTGTTGGTTGGACATCGTCTCTGTCTCAGCTGTGTCATCATGGCTGACTCTAAAACCATCTGAAAGAGTCAAATAAACTGGAAAGACGTCCTCAATGAGACCAGTACCTCTGACACAACCCGTCTGATTCTCAGGACCCGGGGAATCAAACACAGAACTCCAGCGGTCAGAGATTCTCTGACACGGCGTCTTCAACGTGGAAATCAGAGGTCGTGTAAACGACAGATCTACAGTGTCACTGACTGCATCTCCAGCATCAAGGAGGGAGGGGTCAGACCTCGGTGGAGTCATCTGGAGACGGATCCTGGAAACAGAAAAGAGGCGGGAGAGTCACGAGTCACGGTTCATTAAAGTAGAATGAACTGTGTGTGCAGGACAATGTACAACATGGCTTCTCCTTTCCCACTTATTTTCAAAATAATAGTAATTTTACTAGAAATAAGTCAGAAAATTTGCAATATTAAGAGCTAAATGCTAATGTCAGCATGCTAACAGATGATCACAGTGTGTCAGGACTGTTTCATTACAACCATCCAGTGGTTGGTGAGACGTGTCGGTGTCGACCAGTGGGACGACGTTCCCTGTCCATGTGTTTATCTCGATGAGACTCGGTCTTGAACGTCGTCTCAGTCTGGAACCGGTGACACACATTCACAGAGCAGATGGTCCGTGTCTGACTTTACAGTTGTTGTTCTTTATAGTTATATTGATAGTCAGAGCTCATCAGACATGATGAGGCGTCTCACCTGTTTCCTACATCAGAGCTGAGTGGAGTCGGCCCGACACTCCAGTCTGTAATAAAACACACAACATGCTGATAATCATTAGCTCTGATCATGTGCTCCTGTGATGAGGTCACAGCAGCCACCGTCATAAACGACACTAACTAGGTTTGAACAGGTGAATTAGTGTAGCTTTGTTTTGAATGTCTTCTTAATTAATGATTTATTATTTAAATCATTATTTTATCTCATTTTACATCAATGTTTTTTATATTTTTCACTTTAGATCAATGATTTTAACATGTTTTATGTTCATTTAATGTCTTTTCTTTTCATGTGAAGCACTTGGTGCTAAATTTACCAAGTATGAAAGGTGCTATACAAATAAAGTTTATTTGTATTATTATTATTATTATTATTATTATTGTTATGTCTTGTCAGGGTTCTGAGTGTAAATAAATCAAGTGCTCCTTGCTCTTCCCCTCAAGTCCCCCCCCCCCCCTTTACCCCAAAACAGTGACAGAAAGTTGAAAGTGAAAACTTTCTGTCAAAATAGTAACAGCGTAAAAACTTAAAAAAGACATGAAGAAGAAATCTGCAGATTGACATTGAAAAACATCATAATACAAAACGATCAGAATGTGATGTCGCTGTTTGAGCCCAATGGGTTCCACTGTTTCATGTCTGATGGAGACGACCCAGCACAGTGACGGAGCTAAAGTCTTATTCTTCATCAAACACATTAAAACAGTGTCGGAGCTCTTTAAAAAGTGTGGAGGTCTCACCTGTGTCGACTCCTGCCGCCACACACACCTGAACGAACACATAAAATCCACAGACTGTCAACATGGCTGCGAGCTGCTGCGAGGACGTGAAGGTGTCTGTGAGTTCAGCCGAGCCGCTTCACATCTCAACACACATTTGTTTAGATAAGAATGAAAATGACGCGTTGGTCGTTATGAAGCAACCGGCTGTGAACATGATGTCTGTGGTTAAACGTGTAGATTAACCTGCTCTCTGAGGGCCTGTCACACTGCTCCACCTCTGTTACTACACCTGTGCAGTCTAATGCAGGTGAGGATACGCTTCATGTTCTTGACTGTGGTTCAACTTTCTCCTCAAGTAAATAAATAATAACGATTTAAAAAAGAATCATTAAATGTTCTTGTTTAAACTGAATCTAAATGTCTGAGGCCAGTTCCACAAAAACGCCTTAAGTTAAGATTTTCCTTGAAATAAAAACAGTTGCTCAAAACAACCTTAAGACTTTTCCTCAAGCTTTCCTGAAAAAGTCACTTAAGTATTTAAGGTTTTCTCCTGATCTTATTCTTACACTTAAGGAATCACTTTGAGTCACTTGCACTGATGCACTAAAGACCTTAGTGACCAAACTAAGGAAGAAACTAAAGGCACCTGCGACTGTCTTCACTGTAACATGAGTGTTCCTAGTAGCAGCAAATCAACAGTCTCCATGGAAACAGTAGAATTTTACTGCTGTAAAATGTCCTCCACTGCTGCAAATACCTCAATATTTTTATCAATATTTTTTTTTTTCAACCAACTTAAAGTTTTAATTATTTGGACAGTATTTCAATTATATTTAACAAACTAAAACAACACACTAAGGTTCCAACAACAACAGCTTCCTGGAATTAAACTCTTGGGTTGTTATTGAGCAATATTTCCCTTTTGGGTAAAGGTGGAAATAGTGGGAAATTGAAGTTGACTTCCCTTAAATTTAAGTTACATTAATGTAAATTAGGGATTTGAAAGCGATCCGATTGTGTTAATCTAACTTGTTAAATTTATTTGAGGAAACTTAATTAATTTGTATTTTACCAATTGAAGCAATTTTTTAAAGTTGGTCCAACACTTCTCTTTTGTCAGTGGACTGGGACCGTGGTGAAGCTGTAGCAGAGCCAGGCTTCACTCTGTGGGGTACCGACCCAGACCCAGCAGTGGGCCGGTCTGAGCCGGTTTCTACTGGAGCCTGTGGTCTGACAAAGACTCATAATGTCACCTGACGCCTGCTGCTGATGTCATGTGTCTCCAGGTGATGATGGTCTTGTGCAGCCACCATGAAGCAAGCGACAGACGGCGTCATTCTTCTCTCGGGATACAATCAGTGCTCAACACCAACCTTCATGTTTGACGCTGGGCGGCGTGTGGCCCGTTAGCACACGGCTGTTTCCAGGTCACTGCTAATCCTCTCCAATCTTCTTTTCTCCTCATTAGCCATCTTACCCACTCCTTTCCCTGCTGCGCTCACCATGAAGCTGCCTACGACTAATTCTGTACTCGTCTAATTTTACATGCCACAGGTCGGACCTGAGCTTCGGTGGCTGGTGAAATTACTGCAGAAGTCTAAAGTGTTTGGACGTGACAGGCAGGCAGACGCTTTGATTCACAGAAGACCTGTGGGATGAAGCTGGATGGAGAATAAATAGAGGTGATTTTAAGAAGAGCCAAGAATGGACTGAGTCAGCCAGTAAAATCCTCTGTGTGCCCAAAGTTAATGAGTGTGGTTGGACTTGACTCTGCAGCAACAGCTGGTTCAGACGTGGAGCGGCAAGAACGGACGAGATCACCTCAGAAGATTCTTCATATCAGCGCAGAGATCAAGGACAACATCAGGACACCAACAGGTAAACACACAGATCACACACTGAGGACTAAAGAGCAGACGTCGCCTCCCTCCTCATGTATGACAGTATCACACATGCTCAGACCTGAGACTTCATATTTTCACAACAGAGTCAAAGAACCGAGAGGAAATGTTGTGCTGGTGTTGAGCTGAAGTGTGAGCAGGTTTTTAAACCTTCTGTGGTTTACAGTGAACGTGTAATCAGAGCCACGGTTGGCTCAGAGAGGCTGAGGAGATTAAACAGAACTGCAGGTTCATTCTTGTTTTATTAGTGATGTACACAACATGTAATTCAGGATTATAGTCACATGAAGATGATGTATAACACAGATTTAATTCAGATATATGACAGATATTATACAGATAAGTTACATACACCTGGGCCAAATACATTTAACCCTCACATCCTGTTGATATTTCTGCCTTCACAGTAAGAGCTCCCTCTTAATCAGTGTCTTTAGTGAATCCTGTAGAAAGTATAAACGTGACATTCATACAGCGAGAGAGTATTCTTTAGGTTTTCATCACAGGTCTGTCTGCTGCCATGACCTCAGCTCAGGTAGCTTCACGAATTCATCTTCACTCAAGGTCCACTTACTAACACCTTCCAGATGTCTCGACCACGTCTCATGATGACAAACTTCTGACAGGTTAAAGCTGTGCATCAGATATACGTCATCATCCCTGACAGGTGAACTGCTGAAAAATGGTATGTAGCCTGTAAAACGGGAAGCATTGCATTGTGGGATATTATTAGCACATAGCACGAAACGTGTTACAAAGTATCAAGGTGAGACTGGTCTGTGGTTCGGGGTCAGTCCACCTCGGGCCGGGCTGTAATGCGCGGGTCCCGCCTGTAGGTGGAGCCTGGAGCCCTGGAGCCTCAGAGGGGAGGAGGCTCCCGGGCTTTGTTGTTACAGCAGAGGCTCACCCTCGGTCAGCGTTTTCTCCTCACCGGCTCACGTTTCTTCTGTCCAGGTTTCACCGGAGCACGGTCCGGACCTCAGAGCTCAGCCCGGGAAAACAAGAGGAGAAGCAGCCGAGAGGACGCGCGGCGGGAAAGCAGCAACACGTAAGACCGTAAGCTTTTAACCGTCTGACTTTTTCTGTGCGAGCTGGAGGAGTGTTGGTGGACGGCTCGGTTCAGTTTGACGGCGTCCTGTTGCACAAAGGAGGGCGAGCAGAACCCACGACCCCAGACCCAGACCCGGACCCGGACCCGGGACCACCGAGGAGGTCCGAGGGTCCGAGGAGCCGGACTTCACAGCCACCACGTGTCTCATCAGGCGGACTGTTACCTGCCCCTGACCTGCAACCTGATGTTACCTCCACACACACACACACACACACACACACACACACACACACACACACACACACACACACACACACACACACACAGATGATTCAAACATGTCTGTGTAACAGTGGCTGCAGGTCCCTCCGTTAAACTGAGAACATTTATTAAAAAGTGCTGCACAATAACAATAAAGAATGAAACTAGAACTAAACTAGAGTCACCTCCTCGTGGTCGTATCCCTCCTCCACTCAGACTAGTTCCAGGTCACATCCCTGTCTATCCAGAGCCAGAGAAAATTTTGTCATAATTGCTGTGTAAAAGTCTTGAGTTATGGCTTTCTGAGGTCACCATGACCTTTGACCTTTGACCACCAAAGTCTAATCAGTTCATCCTTGAGTCCAAATGGACATTTGTGCAAAATTTGAAGGGATTCCCTCGAAGAGTTCTGGAGATATTGTGTTCACAAGGCCAAAAATCATGTTTCCTGAAGTCACTGTGACTTTGACCTTTGACCTTTAGCCACCAAAATCTAATCAGGTTGTTCTTGAGTTCAAGTGAACGTTTGCACCAAATTTGGAGAGGTTCCTTCAAGTCGTTACTGAGATATTACATTCACAAGGCCAAAACTGTTTTTGTGAGGTCACCACGCCCCTTGACCTTTGACCCCCAAAATCTAATCAGTTCATCCTTGAGTCCAAGTGAATGTTTGTGACAAATTTGAAGAAGTTCCGTCAAGGCGTTACTGAGATATCGTGTCCACGAGACGGACGGACGGACAACATGAAAACAACATGGCGTGGAGGCATAAAAACCATGGCAGCAACCAAAGGTAACACTTAATGACACTGTGTGTGTGTGTGTGTGTGTGTGTGTGTGTGTGTGTCTCAGATCCAGTGATGGTCTGCTGTAGGAACCAGAATATGTGGCTGCAGCTACAATCACCGACCGTCCCACCACGTCTCTGACACTCTGATGATCACCAGACTCCATCGTTCCTGTTGCCATGGAGAACCGCGGCCTGCTGTCCTTCACCGTGGCCTTTGTGGGTCTCCTGTGCCCGTGTCTGACGAGACTGACTCCCAGAGTCTCCTTCCCTTCGGGTGAGTACAGACTGAGGCAGTGAAAGATGAGGAGAAGAAGACCACGACCCTGGGGATGGGGTCTGATGCATGTTGACTCGTTAAGGACTAAGAGGGGTATCTGGGCGGAGCTCCAGGTGGGTGGAGCCTGAAATAAGATGGTTAAGATCAGTTTGGTGAATGTTTGGTTTCTCTTATAGAAACATCTGGAAACTAATTTAGCGACTCTGATAAACTTTCCCTTGAGGAGACGCACCGATGTTTGTCAGTGACGTGACCGTGCACTCTGTGTTAGACCTGATATTCTCCAGGAGGTCACTAAAGTGCGACGTCCTTAAATTGCAAAAACGGCGCCAAAATTCCAGATTAAATTCAAAATGGCTTCCAGTTGGGTTTAGGATATGGGTGCAAGAGGCTTTTTTGTAAGTCTTGGCGTGTATTATGTGCTGACTGATTTTCGTACATGTAGGTTAAAGTGCGGGGATAGGAACGGCCTGATTAAGCAGCTCGCATCTCTTTAACTGTGTGTGGTGACTGAGTGACACCTGATGCCAGTGTTAACTGCTGTGAAACCGCAGGGAGTCCCGGGAGACATCTCACCCGCTTCAGTAGCCACGACGTCAGCAACACCACCACTCTGCTTCTCAGCGAGGGTGGAGACATGCTGTACGTCGGCGCCCGGGATGCTGTGTTAGCCCTGGACGTTAGCCGCGAGGACGCCATCATCCTGAGGAACAAGGTGAGCAAGCGACTGTGACTCCTCCTGCAGAGCTGAGGTCACTCTCGACATCTCTGCAGGTTCAAGGCGAAATAGAACAAGATAAACTATCGTATGAAAGTCTTGTACCTGTTTACCTGAGAAGGTGGGAACACTGTGATGTCGTGAAGTGGTGATGTCATGAAGTGGTGATGTGATGTAGTTTTGGCTTTAACCATCGGCTCTCTGATGAAGGTGTGATGTCATGTGATGACTGTGACTCTCTCCCTCAGCTGGACTGGAGCCCTTCAGACAGAGATGTCGAACAATGCTCCATGAAAGGAAAGAAAATGGTAAAGTATCTGATGCACCTGTGCAGACACAGTGAAGTGAACCACTTCCTGTTTCCTCTGGACGCTGTGTCAGTGGGCGGTGTCTCTGTGTGGTTGTTGTAGGCCGACTGTCCCAACTTCATCCGTGTGCTGCAGTTCCTGAACTCCTCCCACATCTACGCCTGTGGAACCTTCGCCTTCAGTCCTCGCTGCACCTACGTCGTGAGTCTGTTGCACAAACATCTGAACCGACTGGTTTGTTCACGGTGACGCTCACGGTTAGATTTGATTTCTCCGTTCATCTTTATTCAGACCTCTTTCCTCTTTTCTGTCCAGAACTCGGAGACATTAACGATGAGCATGAAGCCTGATGAGGGCAGAGGTCGCTGCCCCTACGACCCTTACCAGCGCAACACCGCCATCATCGTGGGTAAGCCAATCACACTGCAGCCGCTGGAGTAGATGTTGTCTGAGGCCGTGAAGAAGAACTGGGCTGATGAGGATTTATAGCTGAATCCAAACATACAGCGAACTAGAACCAGCTCCTCGTGGTCGTACCCCTCCGCCACTCAGACTAGTTCCACGTCACATCCCTGTTTATCCAGAGTCAGAGAGAATATGAAGCATGCGTGTGAAGTTTTATTATAGTTGCTGTGAAGTCTTGAGTAATGGCAAAAAAGTGTTTTGAGGTCACACTGACCTTTGACCTTTAGCCACTAAATTCTAATCAGTTCATCCTTGAGTCTAGATGAACGTTTGTGCCCTACGGAGATATTGCATTGACAAGGCCAAAACTGTGTTTTGTGAGGTCACCACGCCCGTGACCTTTGACCTTTGGCCCCCAAAATCTAATCAGTTCATCCTTGAGTCCTGGTGAATGTTTGTGCCAGATTTACTGAGATATCGTGTCTATGAGAATGGGATGAGAATTTGAGCCAGTCAGTCCACCGGGTCAGAACATAATCAAAGGCTAATTTAAGATATCGATAAAACAGCAGATACGCTGTCGCCCCGTCCTCTGTTGGACACTCCCTCAACCTTTCCACCAGCCTGAGACAACGATTGGCCTGAAGTCACATGACCATAGGCCCAGCCCATCTCTGTAGACGTCCTCTGTCCCGTCACGGTCCAGAGTCCCGCTCCTGTAACCTTGTAGTTTTCATGTAAGACCCCAGTGATTGTTCATGTAGGAGGGATCCGGTCTGTTCCTGTGTTCCTCAGACGGAGAGCTTTACACCGGGACGGTGGCAGACTACAGGGGGAACCGGCCCGTCATCTCTCGCCACCTCAGTGAGGGACGGCGTGTGGACCTGAAGCTGGATGACACGCTGGGATGGCTGGAGGGTGAGTGCGACATGGACGTCACGGAAAACAATAACAAAAGTCGCCGTTGGGTGACGTCATGCAATAGCGGGGGATCATGGGAGTTGTTGTGTTCAGCACTGTTACTGTAAGCTCCTCCCGGTTTGGATTCCTTCAGTGTGAGTGGGTCAGGAAATCAAACAGACCCGCTGATTCTAACCGTTAAAAACACTGAATGAAGCAGTTTCACATTTAAAGACAGTGTTTCAGTGTTTGACTGGCTGACTGACTGTTTGACTGACTGGTTTGAGAGTTGATGGAAACATTTGTGATGATGTAGGAATTCAACAACCTGTAGAACGTAGATCTGGTTGTTTTCAGACGTTTTAATGTGAAAAGCTCCAGATTTTAACTTTAAAGAGCGACACGTCTTTAATGTGATGAACTTTGAAATCCTCCGCTGAGCTCAGATGACAGGAAACACTGATGAGCTCGAACACGTCCTCTCAACACTCCCGCTGCAGATCCGACCTTCATCAGCTCCAGTTTCGTCCCCGATGAGGAGAAGATCTACTTCTTCTTCAGCGAGGTCGGCCGAGAGTACGACTTCATCGACAAGTTCGTCGTCTCTCGTGTTTCTCAGATCTGCATGGTAAGAGTCAAACTCTTCTTCTGTTATTTCTACACAGGCACACGGGGAGGAACGTACACGACACACTGCACCACATCCATTCGCATCAACATATCTCTTAATATTCATTCATTGCTACTCCTGTAGGCACATAGTTACTCTCATATTAATATGTTTGAGTCAGACGTTTAAGATTAGAGAGGATAAACACTCACTATCCACTTTATTAGGTACACCTGTGCAGTCATACAGTTACTGTGTCATAAGTAAAGCATCATTTATATGGGGATAAAGTAAAGGGAAGGTGTGTGTGTGCTGATCAAATTTATTGTGCCATGATTAACGTGCATTAAAGGATTTTTCAGGTTTGTTGCAGCTTTTCTTGAAAATTGCAATGAAAGTTGCAATATTTGGTTAAACTAGCGGGAAACTATGATGATTGGTCACATTTGTGGAAATTTTGTGAAAATTTCGCGGAAAAGTTGCACAAAATTCCCATGGCTTGATTGAATTTGCGCTAATTTTTTGCAATCACGACTTTCTGGAGGGATGGATTAAAGGATTGTCTAAAGGAAGTTTTTCAAGTCCACCTTAAATCTGTCTGCGGATCATAAGAACAGTGAGTTCACCTGCAGGTTACTCAGTGTCTTATCCTCCTGTGTCAGAGTGACGTCGGGGGCCAGCGGACTCTGCAGCGACGCTGGACCACGTTTGCCAAAGCTCAGCTGTTGTGCCAGGCCGACAGCGAGCTGCCCTACAACGTGATCCAGGACGTAGACACCCTCCCACCAGCAGAGGGAGCTCCTGCAGACGACACTCTGTTCTACGGCATCTTCACCTCTCAGTGGTGAGACTGCAGCCGTTTCTCAATACAGAGCTCGTTACTCGTTGTCATAGCAACAGAACCAGACACAGTGAGAAATGACTGTCAGAACAAAACAGTGCTCAGGTTTGTCACTGTGTGAAAAGCACTTGTTGTGAATCAGCAGGACAGTGTCAGACATGTAAGAGACACCTGGACACAGAACACCTGTTTTTATCTGCCATCCTTATAGATCTGCAGGATCAGAAGCATCATGTGGACTCGTTAACGTCTGTCTGTCTGTCTGTCTGTCTGTCTGTCTGTCTGTCTGTCTGTCTGTCTGTCTGTCTGTCTGTCATTAAACCAGGTCGGTGAACTCCGGACGCTCGGCCGTGTGCTCGTTCCGCCTGAGTGACATCAAATCAGTTTTCTCTGGAAACTACAAAGTCCTGAACCGGGACACGTTACAGTGGAGCACACGGGTTCAGGAGAAGGTCGCAAATCCAGGAGAGGTAAGTCATGTGATGCTGCCTTTAACTCTGACAAGCTCCAGAGTTTCAGTGTTGAATGGAGTAACCATAGAAACTGCCTCTTCTCCACGGTTGTGTGAGGGGGCTGCAGCATGAGCAGGATGTTAGTTCTCCTTCACTCTCTTCATGATGATAGATGAGGAGACTGACGCCGTCTGAGAACATGTATGTGCTGTTTGTCACGTATGTGCTGTTTGTCACGTTACCACTGTTTGATCTGACGTAGTGCGGTCTGCACAACGCCTCAGACAACGCCCTGCGCTTCGTCAAAGAGAACTTCCTGGCAGACGACAGCGTGCGGCCGGAGGGGAGGAGTCTGACCATGGTGTCAGCTGAGCGCTACAGTCACCTGACGGTCCAGAGAGTCCAGGCTGCCAACAACAGAGACTACACCGTCCTGTTCCTGCTGACAGGTGACCGACTGACTGACTGACTGACTGACTGACTGACTGACTGATTATCACACATAGTGTATCAGAGATTTGTCAAGCAATAGAGTCTTTGGAACTTCCTTTCAGAACTTTTCAGAATAAAAGCTCACAATAGCTTTAAATAAAACGTTGCTGCAATAAATAAACAGATTTTCTCGTGCTTTTATTTTATAGGCAAAATTGCTAAAACTGTTGCTGCTCAGTCGGAGATCTACTTTTATATATTAAAAAAATCATATCAAATAAAAGATATTACTGTTGATGGGCCGGGTTCGGCCCGCGGGCCGCCGGTTGCCGACCACTGATATATTTAGATCAGTGAGGTTGAAGAGGTAAAACATTAGATATATTGTGTGTGAGACTCTGACTGAGGAACCCGCCTGCTGCTCCTGTCAGCTGTGTTAACATGAACCGTACGGACTTTGTTTCAGAGTCTGGTTACCTACACAAAGCGGTGCTGCTGCAGACCGGGGCCCACATCGTCGAGGAGGTCCAGGTGTTTGAGCAGCCGCAGCCCGTCAAGAGCCTGAAGCTGTCCGTACCCAAGGTAAACGCTGAGACGACATGTAGTGTCAGATGCAGCTTTGTAGGTCCGTCCATCCGTTTCCTGTTGAGGGCGGAGCTGTGCTGGATCAAGACACTCATCCACCCACTGACTTGTCTTGTTTTACACCGGTGCCTCCCTCCATCTGTTCCGCTGCAGGGTGTGATCTATGTCGGCACATCGGAGGGCGTGGTCAGGGTCCCCATAGCGAACTGTTCCTTTTACTGGACCTGTGCTCAGTGTGTTCTGGCCCGAGACCCCTTCTGTGGTTGGGACGCTGCCGGCAGAGCCTGCGTGAAGACCCCCAACACTCAGAGCAGTCTGTGAGTACTGAGGGATTTATGTTGACAGGGTGGAAGTGATGGTGATTAGAGACGGACTGATCTGACTGTAGCTTTGAATGTGCGGCAGGTGAGTCAAAACCATCAATACTGATACACACTGATAGATCCTGCTGATAGACACTAAGTCTTCAGTAAGTCTTTAGTTAACCCTGACCAGCCAGGAACTGTGAGAACGTCACTGTTCCCTGAAGTAGTTTAGTTCAGTCTCTGACCTCAATGAACTGAAACCGGCCAAGCTCCATGTGCGGTTGGAGACACGGGACCAGGTCGGTAACTGTGAGATCGTCACTGAGTACTGCTGGTTGGAGACACGGGACCGGGCCGACCTGCCGCAGACAGCAGTAAAGAAACAGGAAACTGTGAGAAGACGATGGTCTGTGACAGCTGTATCAGGTGACTGTGGTCTTCCCTCCTCAGAGCTCAGGACGTGGACAGAGGGAACGTGGAGGAGGCGTGCTACAGCGTGACGCTGACACACAGAGCCCGGTTTGGACCCAACAGTCTGCCTGCAGGTAAGTGTCCCTGAACGCAGCTGCTGCGCTTTGAGGCTGGTCACATACTCCACATACACGACGTGAGCGTGACGTTTTCTGACGACGATCCGTTGACACGTTGTTTTAAAGGATTAAGACTCAGATGTGAAACAAGCATCTCAGTGGAGAGAGGCGTTGTTCTGTTCCCCATGACCCCAAGCCTGCTCCTGACTGGCTACATCAGGTGTTGGCACACCTGAACTCACCTGACGAAGCGGGGCTCGGGTCCTCAGGAGCGGGACTGAGAAAACCCTGCGTCACCGTTCACTACTTTTATCAACCTGGTACTTTAACGGTTCTGTTTGTAGTTTTGTAGGAGATTAAAAAGAAATTAAGAACAGAATTAACGTCATTATTTTCTCATATGCACTTGATTAACTGTGCAGAGAGAGAGAGAGAGAGAGAGAGAGAGATCTAGGATTAGGAACAGTGAAAATGCATCATTCATAGACAAAAGTCCACAGAAATTAAATGTTTTATGTTGCAATGATAAACAGGAAATCTATTTTCTTAATTTCTCAACCGCTGAGAGCAGAACCGATGACGTCAGAGTTTATCGATACTCTGCTTTTTAAAGAAGGAACCCCCCGGGTCCCGTTCAGTACCGGATACGGCACAGTGTCCGGTACTGAACATGTCAGATGAGAGTCACAGTGTGGAGTGTGTAATGAGCCAGTGAAGAGCATTAGTGTCTTTAGTGTCTCTAACACATAGACAGGTGTAGATCGCTGCTGATACCTGATGACGCTCTGCAGAGGGGAGGGGGGGGGGGTCCAGGTGTATTCAGGTTTTGGTGAGGTGTAATCTGTATGTCAGCCTCTTGTCCTGCAGGTGAGCTGGTGTCAGTGTCTCTGAATGAAGTGGTGCGGCTGCAGTGTCCCGCGGCGTCCCGGCTGTCCCGGCAGCTGTGGGAGCGTCCCAACAGCCGGCTGTCCTCAGACCTGTACCTGCACCTGGGAGACGGGAGTCTGAGCTTCGTGGCCACCCCCGCCACCCTGGGCCACTACCTGTGCCTGTCCACTGAGAACGGCTACCAGCAGCCTATGGCCATCTACCACGTCAAACAGAAGAGCAGCCCCGTGGCTCAAACCACGACCAGCAACACCCGGCCTCAGACACGCCCCGTCCCCACCACCCAGGCTGAGGCCAGGCCCGGACCCGGGCCGCACACCTCTGTGGGGCCGAAAAGAAAAGACACGAGACGAGGAGAGACCGAGCCCACGCTGTCCAGCAGGGACCCTCAGGTCATCACCAGACAGCTGGACAGGAACTTCACCCTGTGGACACTGGAGTCCAGACCGAAAGACGCGGCCCCTCGGGACGGGGAGCCGCTGCAGTCGGCCCCGGGGCCCAGCTATCTGAAGGAGCTGGTGGTGGTGTCGGTTCTGCTGGTGCTGTGCCTCAGTTTACTGATCACCATCCTCCTGTACGTGGTCAGACAGCGCTGCCGCCGCCAGACGGTCCCGCAGGCAGGAACGCCAACCCGAGACTCTGACAGAAGGACCCCTGTGGAGCAGGAGGCCCCCAGGGGGAACCAGTTTCTGAGTAAACGCAACGGACAAAGTCCACACGGCGGACAGGCCAGTGGCTTCGGCCGCAACGGGGCCCTCACAGGCTCCAATGGGCATTTACCCAACACCCCCATCTGAACGGTCCCACACATTCAACTGTGACAGATGAGAGCGGAGGTGAGAGGGGGGGGCCCCCAGGTACCAGAGTCATCATGGAGACTGTCAGTCAGCCCAGAGGTTCTGTTGGACTCCTGTGATCCTGACCGGCCACATTTGGATCTAATAGGCTGAGAGACGGTGTTCTGCGGTTCTGAGGCCGGAACACGAGCTGATCCGGTTCACCTGGTTCTGTCAGTGTTTTTATAGAATAGTCAGTGTTTTGATGCCACAGTTCCACACCTGTTGTTACGGGGTCATTTTTCAAGAGTTCATCCTGAGCAGAGCTGTCGGGTTGTAGATGTGTCTCCTCGCTCTTTAGCGGCGTGAGAATATATATTCTGCCAAACACACGTTGGAGGGAAGTTGTCCCCGACAGGAAGCCGGGCGCGTCACATTTGCCTTATTTCACGTCTCCTGGGGGCCCAGACATGGATCTGGTCCACCACGATGAAGGAAGTCTCAGTTCCCTCATTTCCTGTCGGAGCAGCGAGGAGGCGGCCGGGCGATGCAACACTCCACTCTTCACTGAAGTCTTCATCCAATCGTCAGCCTCTTCGTTAGTCAGTTAGTGACGCTGCAGCTGATTGGATCTGATGCTGAGAAACTGAACAGATTGAACCCGGGTTTACCATCAGCACCAGGTTTAGATTTTCTTTGTGTTTCTGTCTTTATCACGTGCGTCACTGTGAGGCCGAACGTCCTGAACTAAAGAACTCATCATGTTTTCTACCAGATCCTCTGATCAGAACCTGGATCCTCACACTAACACTTCACCAATAGAACATAGACTGACTGACTGACTGACTGACTGTGTGACTGACTGTGTGACTGACTGACTGACTCACTGACTGACTGTGTGACTGACTGTGTGACTGACTGACTGACTGACTGTGTGACTGACTGACTGACTGACTGTGTGACTGACTGTGTGACTGACTGACTGTCATCAAAGTTACAACAGTCAGTCAGTCAGTCAGTCACTGACTGATAAAACTAGCTGCTCGTCTCACTGTGTTTGAGAGACGTCTCACCTTCAGTCCGTCACGTCTAAGGTCGACAGAGCTGCTCACTGTTAGAACGTAGAAGTTAGAACGTCACTTTGAGAACATCACTATTAAAATGTCACTGTTAGAACGTCACTGTTAGAACATCTGTTACGTTAACTGAGAACATGTGAGGACAGATGTTTGACTGATGCTCTGTGAGTAAAGATGTTGTTAATATTTGTCGTCTTCTTCGATGTGTATTTTTTAACGACGTCACTCTGATGATGAAACTAAGCTGATTTTCCTCTTTGAAGCGATAACAGATCAGCCATGATTTAATGAGACAGAAACCTGGTGTGGTCCTTTGAAGGTGTGTTGATCCTCTGATAGATAAATCAGATGTTAGGTCCAGGTGTCTGGAGCTGATGTCACGAAGCCCCGCCTCCTGCCGGGCCAGGGTTGAAGACAGTGACTGTGGGATTGAAGGCAGGTCTCTGTTGGACTGAGGGTTTCCTCTCAGCTCTGTGTCACATGGTGTTTGACTCCTCTTTAAAAAATCGGTTCAGCTGAAACAGCTGCAGCTCATGTCGAGACACTTAAAGAGACAGTCCAACATTTGGGAAATTAGCTTGTTGCTGATTCAGGTTGTGGGTCGATGTGTCCAGAACTCTGTCTGTGTCTTACAACAAACAGACTTCAGACGGACTCTGAATTCATCTGTTGCACAAATCAGTTTAGTTCTGGACTATTTTAAACCAGACTGTGGCTAAATGAATTCTGGGTAAATTAAGCCCGAGGAACAGCCCCGTTTACCCTCAGCAGAACGTGTTTGTCTTTAGGAAGAAATCTACAGTTACAAAGACGTTTTATTGAAACAATAAAAAGACAAAACGGATTTTAAATAAAAACCTTGCTGCTCTCTCTTTAACGATGTCGGCAAACTCCAAATTATGATCCATGTTTTCCTGTTTTTTGTTGTTGGGTGCCGCTGGTCAGGTGTCATTGATTGTTACCATGGTAACATTGGTCTTAGGCCTGAGTTAGCCTCAGGGTAAGGTTTCTAATGTTTTTGGCTTAAAAGGCGTCGGTCTTTATTTTTGTGAAATGGTCAGACTTGCATCAGACTGGACCGACATCTCGGACCAGTCTGACATGAAACTGGCCCCTGTTCACACCAGACAAACCAGCAGGAGGCTGCTGTGGATGTGAAGAGGAAAACAAACATCCTGAGTGTTTGGTAGCTGGACTCAGGGTGTACGAGCCGCACTGATCTTAGAAAACTGTGTGTCCTCTCAGAAAGCAGCCAAAGAAATAAAACTACAACTTTCACATGTAAGAGACACGAAACTGGGACTTTATCTTCTCACCGGTCTGTCGTTACGACACGAGGATTTCCTCCCGATGTCGAGCCGGTCCTTTAAAATGTGTGATGATGTAGTTCTCTCCGTCCATCCAGCTGTTTCTGTCACCACATGTTCGCTGAGGAAACCTAACATGTCTCCATTGTAATAATTCACAGTTAAACTTTACTGAGGCAGAAGAAGAGGAACTGTCGGTCCCACAAGAATATGAAGTCATCAGTGACACAGGATCAGGTCCTGGTTGGAGTAAAGACCTCCACCATGATCTAATCTTTATTTGTATGATACTTTTCATTCAGGTCAGTGCAGTTCAAAGAGCTTCACAGACTGATGAGCTAAAAAGAAAAGGACAAATCAAGTGACAATAAAAAGTTTAAAAAAGAAGAAAAACAATTGTAATAGAACTTATAAAATAAAACAAACTACAATAATTAAAGAATAGGTAAAATAGAATAAAATACAATTTAGAACATAATCATAATAAAGTAAGTAAATAAATAAAGTGACAAATAGCTAAAATATTTATTGAAAAGCCAGGCTGAAGAGGTCTGTTGAGTTAGGGGTTAAGGTTAAAAATGTCAACACTTCCTGCTGCTCTCAGGTTGTCATGGAGACGGTTCCATCGGCTCGGAGCATTAAAGCTGAACGCCTCCTCGCCCGAGGTTCTGGTCCTGCACTTTGGGACAACAGACTTGTGTCATGAGACCTGAGAGGCCGAACTGGTTCGTAAGCTGTGAGCGTGAAACAAGTCACAGAGTTTTAAAATCAATATGGAAACTGATCGGTAATCAATTATCAGAGTCTGGATCTGAGTTCCACAACATGACGCTGAGCACAGCTGTCACAACAGAGGAGCTGCTGACTGCTGGGTCAGCACACAGAGCTCAGTAAGAGGGTTCTGGCTGAAAAGATAGGCCTATTGTTATTATGACACCCCCTCCCTCCCCCTCCCCCCTCCCCCACCTGTAAGGAATCAAAAACAGACTGGAGAGGGGGGGTGGGGCACTGCATGTCCATCAAATCCAAAACCAGGAACCAGGCCAGTCCCTGTGGCCTGCTGAGACCATGTGACCTCAGTGTGGGGCAGTGTGCAGACTGCAGGTGCAGCTCCTCCTACAGGTACAAACACAGCGATCAGCACCTCCACTATCCTGAAACACTGCGCAGCAGCTCAGAGGCTCCTCTCCTCTCTGAGTCAGGCTGACGCAGCCGGAGAGGAGCTGCTTGTCTTCTGGCGCCATCTTGTGTTCCTGAACTGTAACACGTCAGCTCACTGACACGTTATTTTCATGAAGATTATAACAGGAATATTTCTGGTAACAGGTTAGAGTGATGTCGCAGTCTGGGTCAGGGTTCAGTGTAACTCAATAAGTTCACTTTCCTTTGACGTGTTCATATGTGACGTATATTACAGACACACTACATGTGTATCTAGTGCTGGTAAATGTAAAAACACATTTCTTGAAAACTTGTGACTATTTATTCTCAGATTTCTCCCTCAGCACCAGCAGACGCATGTTCTTCTGCGCTGAGAGGAGGAAAACTTCTGACTGTAATGACTGTGAGGGTAAAGGTGTCAGGACAGTGACATGTCAGAGATCCTGTTTATCATTTTATTTCTAACATTAGGCAGAAAGCAGGAATAAAATAGATGCATATAATGAGACCTGCCTGTAGTGTTGCATCATCCTGACTGGTAGTGAGGCAGGTCGGCAGAACAACTGCATGTTATGACTAAAGTGTGAAAGTTTCAGCAGATAATCTTCACACCCTGAGGTTTGTGTTTATCTGACCTCTGGTGACCTTGAGAGGTCAATGACCTCAGCATTGCATTTCTACCCCATTCCTCCATTATATATATATGATCGTGTTTATCTTTGACCAAATTGCATAAAGATCTTTATTTGCTGCTCTGGTCGTGTAACATCATTTTGCTTAGAGCACCAGTTGCTGCAGACCCATGTCTGTCCGTCCTGACGGAGGGACGTGTCCTCTGCTGTCCAGGGTCAAAGGACAGAGACGGCTGTAAAACCCCCAGAGACAGAAAATAAAAATAAAATCAAACTGTCATGTTGTCTCCACCATCACCAGTAGGGGGCATCATAGAGGACAAATTCTAAAAGTCTCCCTTTAATATAGTTTATTTAAGTGACATCATCTGTTCATGTGAAGGAGAAGGATTAAACTGGTGTCTTTAAGTCATTAATGATCAAAGACACATGAACAGTTTGGATCAAAGTGACGTGTTAAAATCTGTGATTAGGACATAAAGACACATTATGTCCAGCCTTGTCCCCTCCGTCCTCCCTGGGACAGACCACAGTCCTCTCTTGTATGAAGCATCACTGTGTGTTAAGACTTTCTGTGGAGGTACAGTGTTATGTAACGGGAGCTCAGCCTGCAGCAGCCTGCAGTCATGCCTGTGCGCTGCATCACATCACTCAGCTCTCTGTGCTAAACTCTGCTCCAGAAAGTCGCAGCATCAGTTTGCTGCAGTGAGAGCGGCTCCTGAACACACCCTGCTGCAGCCTGCAGAGCGGACACACACACACACACACACACACACTGAAGGCACGATCAGCTGAGCGGGACAGAGAAGACACGGAGAGACAAAGCTGCACCGCCGCCGAGGTAAGATCACCTGCATGTTGTCCCGCAGCACAGACCGGGACAGGTGGGCTGGGACAGGACACTTAAAACAGCGAAGCGTCAGTTCATCTGGGGTGGGGGTTCTTACACTGTCACTGTTTGTCCATCAAAGCCGCGTGGGACATTTCATACTGACTTCTTATGTGGTGTCAACTCCTGGGGCTGAGCCAGGCCCCACTGCGGGTCTCTGCTGCAGAGGACTGAATGCTCCTCTCCATGTCTCTGCACTGAGCTCATTGGGCTCGTGGCTGCTGTCATCACATGTCGGATGTAATGTCTTTAGTTGAATATTTGACTGTTGAACAGCCCATGATGAAAATGAGAGGGGAGGCAGTTCTGTGCTGTAGCAGCCTCCTGTAGCAGCTGAAGTCCTTGGCTCAAGGTTGTTTCTGAACCGGATCCTGCAGCTGTGGCCCGGACAGAGGAGAGAGAACACATCAGGACAACTGGACAGATGCTAACTTAGCTAACACTGTGTTCAGAGCATTGGCTTCAATTTAAATGTGGATACAAGCAGCTAAATTGGTATGTTTATACCTCTGGGGCCATTAATTTGAAGAATCCGATTAGCCACTTGAAATTTCTAAATTTCTAAATCATTTTCCAAGATGGCCGCCATTTCAGTCATATGAAACACGTATTTTACCCACGGGGCAACGATTTTGTAATTTTGACTTTAAGGACGTCAAAGTCGCAACTCTTTAATTTTTTTAATTGCTTTATTTTTTTTTACTATTTTTTAATGATGTGAAAAAAATAGGCACAAAACAGTGTAATTGTTATTGTTATATTCATTTATTATGAATGATGAACCAAAAGTTCTGTACTTTATTCAACTCTTAAGTCAGCATTAGTAGCCAACATTAGCACGCTAGCTAGATATGCTAACTCGCTAGCGCGCTGGGCTAGCCGGCGAGCAAGCTAACAAGTTAACAAACAAACCCAGTGAACTGTCAACTGAATTACACCTTTTGACATTTGAAAGGTAAATCCTTAAATCACTTTACCTTAAAACTTGGACTTCAGTTACCTCTATTTGCGCTTTAGCTGATATAAGCTAACTAGTTTGCTCGTAGTGTGATGGTAGACTTATTACAAAAAAATGGCATTTCCTTGCCAAAAATGTCGGCCATCTTGGAATTGGCAGACATCTTGAATTTTCCTAACGTGTTTTATGGAAAGAGTAATACCCAAGGTGGATTTGTGTTTGTTTAGTGTTTTCATGCTCATTTGAAAGATTTCCCTGAAATCTGCAGTTATCCGCTGCAGTGACGGGGCAGCAGCCATCTTGTTTGTGTCTGTTAATCACAAAGTTGTGTGACTTGTGAAACATTAAGAATGTGAAGTTACACACATTTATGACTGGGGTAAACTGTAAACTGTTTCCCTGAGCTGTCAGCTGCGTCTCACAGTCTTCTTCAGTGAGGGTTATTCACTTTTACCCATGATTATTTATGGATATTCACAACATCTCATTAAAATGCATTGATGTGTTATTTTGTCCGTGTGTGTTTATTTGTTCTTGTTCTTGTGTGTTCACTCAGTCCTGTCCAGACGTTGCCCTCTTGAAACTGTTGTTTCTCCATCTGCAGCAGGATGGCTCATGATGATAAAGACCCCATGCCTGTGGAGAGGGGGACCCTCTCCCCGGGCCAACTGCAGTCCCACCTCAAGATGGAGCCCAAGACTCTGGGGGTAAACACACCACATAGCATGTACCTGTGTCCCTCACATATAGATGAAGGTTTCTGATTGAAAGGGATACACGTCCTAACGCTCTGTTTACCATATCTGGAGTGTATCTGTAGAAGCAGATGTGCTGATCACCTCTCCTCCACCCCCATCACAGGCAATCCAGATTGTTATTGGGGCTTTGATCCTTTGTCTGAGCGCCTCTGTGCTGCAGATCCACGAGGTCCACTTCACGGGGGACGTGGCCCTCTTCCTGATCGTCGTCATACAGGTCAGTCGGTTTTGATGGATCCTGATTCAGGCGCGTCTCAGCGTCTCTTTGTACCTTCAGACAGAACTGATGGACCTGAATTTCCTCCACATGCTGTGTCTAACTGAGCTGTGCTGTGACCCACCAGGTGACCCTGTCTGGTTCGGTGCTGGTCCACAGTGGGAGGAGACCTACTCTGTTCTGGGTGAGTCTCGCTTCTACAGAGCTAACCAGACAGAGAGACAGACAGGCAGACTGAGAGACAGACAGACAGACAGACAGACAGGCAGACTGAGAGACAGAGACAGACAGAGAAAGAGACAGAGAGACAGACAGGTGTGTGTGTGTGTCTCTGTTGGACTGTGTGTTGACATGACTGTACGTCCTCGCTGCTGTTGTCCATCGCAGGTGAAATGCGTCCTCGTGCTGCACCTCATCAGCGCTGCGTTCGCCACCGCCGCCCTGGGTCTGATGTCCAAACACCTCCCGTACCGCCAGGACTCGTACCACTGTGAACACTGCCGCAGGCTGGAGCTGCACGCCGTGGTACGGTGTTTAAACCCCACACAGAGAGGCCAGAGCGCCGCCGCACTCAGTCCGTCACATTGACACGTAGCAGCTGGTCCTGGAGCTGCTCATGTTTACACCTGAAACACGTCACTCACTTCAGCCTGCAACAGTCACTGTAACTGAATCTGAGCTAAACTACATCACAAAACACGTTCAGTTCAGCGATCAGGATCCACACGTAGGAGTCTTGCCTGGTGCAAGACTGAAACAATGTTGGCAGGACAGAAAATCTTGTTTTAATCAAACTAGAAACAAGTTTAAACTTTTTATTCACATGTTCAAACCAAAGTGTTTGATGGTCACCATGATGAGTTGACAGCTTCTGGATATTCAGCCTATTAGAAGTTTATATTAACACAGTTTGCAGTGAGGATGGGGGATCTTCAATGTGGCTCTTTGCCTGGGCCCCAGAGCAAAGGATCCCCACTGTAAACAGCCTGTCTGTGCTGGTGAACGGCTCCCAGGCCTCTACTTCATTTGCACATTCAGACATGAAGGAATCAGACATTTAATGCAATCAATCAATCATTCAATCATTCAATCAATCAATCAATCAATCAATTTCTGAAAGATAATTATCTCAGAATTCTGAAAAAAGTTTTCTTTTTAAATCCTTAAAAAAAGAAAACATTAAAAAAAATAATTTTATTTTTATTTTTTTAAGAAAACTGTTCTCTAAAAAAAATTCAGTTTTTCTGAATTAACGAGATAATTATCTCAGAATTCTGAGATAATTAATTAATCAAGTTAATTGAGAAAAACAGAGCAGAATTGTTTTTTCTGTAGTGAATGCCTCGTGCTTCTGAAGAATATGATGTTTTATGAATATGGCCCCAGGTTTCAACATGTTGATGATGTCATAATCACTGGACTTTTCTGTACAGAGGCTTTTTGATCACAGCTGCAGCTCTACAGAGAATTTAAAACTCTCAGTGGTTAATGACGGAGCTGTTGATACATTCTTGACCCACATTATGAATCTGCACAAACTGATTTAAACAATCTTTAATCTGTGATTGGATCCACACATGGAGGTGTTGTTGGTGCAGCAGAGGAGGCAGGTGATGGAGCGTCACTGATGTATGACTGTGCGTTTACAATCACATGAATTCATAGTCGACACTACATGTTGTGAAAGAACAGACTCCATGTTTCTCTGTCTTTACTGTCCACTGCAGCAACATTGTTTCAGGAAATGCACCGGGCTGATCGAGCAAAAGTGTAAAGTAAGTGACAGACTACTGTTCAACTCATACTTTGGTCAGATCCTGTTGTTGTTATGTCCTGTACGCTGCATGTAGAAGACAGACGTGTCCTGAGACTTTCACATTTCTGGAATTTGTGTGTGTCACAGTCTGAAACGCACTTCCTTGTTTTCTGACCGAACTCTGTGTGTTCCTGGGTCTCTCTGCTCAGCTGTTGATTGACGGGATCCTGGGGACCCTGGTGATCTTCATGGTGCTGGAGCTGTTGATCTGTATCACTGCCATGCTGTTCGGACTCAGTGTCCTCGCTGCTGGTGGAAGCCAGGTGAGAAACCAGGTGATATTTGACCTGTAGGGGGCAGAAAGCTCCAGGACACAGTGGTGAACGGGGTAGGTCAGCTGAGGTCAATTCAATAAATTAAAAGTTAAAAATCTTATCAGGGACATTTGAGTTGATTTAACCCAGATAAATTATAGTTTCTACAGTCCAGACTGAGCATCATTTAGTTTGTTTTACTACTGGAAACACATGAATTTAAAGCTCCTCCAGTGTAAAGGTCTGTGTCCATGTGTAGTGTGATTATAGATCAGCTCTAGCTTCTATATTAATACTGTGAAAGTATCAAAGCCTCAGTCCACAGAGAAATGCACACAGCCTGTATTCAGAAACTGAGCCTTAAAACCAGCCGTCAGGACTTCTGGAACTTTGTGATGTCACAACAAAGCAGTCACCAAGCCCCGCCCACCTGGACCCACCATCCAAACCTTGCAGGATTTGGTTTCTCTGAGTGTTTTTACCTGAAATCTGCTATATTTTTATTGGATCACTCAGAAAACAGTCAGCCAATCAGAAGAGAGGCTCATATATCATAAATCTTCTAATGGATCAACTCTTCAAGTAAAACTATGATAAATTATGGATCTTTTAATAAAGATCATAGTGTTGATGATTCACACATGTATTACATTATATTCATGTCACTGTGTGTGTCCTGCAGACTCCCAGCCAGAGGCCTGTCTATCCACAGAGTCGGCCCCCACCTGTTCCAGCTGCTGTGCCGGCTGCTCCAGCTGCAGCTGAGCCAACTCAGGTAGCTGTTCCCTCCATGATTATACCACAGTGAATGGTACCACTTTACAATAACATAAAGGATTTATGAATGTTTTTTTTTTTTTGTTGTTGTTTAGTTTTTTTATTTTTATTTATTTTTTTATTTAATAAACTTACAAAACATAATATTACACAACACAACGTGATGTTAGAGAACTGCACCCGCTGCTTCATCACGTTTGTTAAGTTACTAACAATTTATAACTGGTCATTTATTAATGAGTCACCAGTTATAAATAATAGTAACTCATTAATAAATGGTGATGTGTTTCACACTTTACTGTAAGGCTCTTTTTTTACCACTTATAACTCATTAGTAAGATTAATAAGTAATAAGCAACTTGATCTTGCCAAATAGTGAGCTGCATCAATGTATGAAAACTGGGTTATAGCTTGTTTATAATTGTTTATTCATGATTTATAAAGTGTTAACAACCAAATTAATAACCTATTGTAAACTATTTATTTATCCTTTATAAGGGTAGTGTTATTGTAAAGTGGTGCCCAGTGAATAGAGAGGGGGGGGTGGTGATTGGTCTGACCACACCCTGGTCTTCTCTGTCGGCAGGTGGCTGTGGTGGTGACTGAACCAGACTCAGAGCAGATGGAGGACATCTCCACCCCACCCACTGAACCCCAGGTGGAGCCGATCGAGGCGGTGACCACGGAGCCCTGAACTCAGCACGCACTGCTCCCTGTGGTGTCATGTCATGTCAGACGCAGCGCGGACACGGGCGGAGTTATCTCCCGTTCACCTCGATGAGTCATGTGACTTGGGTGACGACACAGATTCAACAGGTTGTCGTTGTCCTGTCCTCTCTCTTCTGGCATGACATGAACACAGCATCAGTGTTAGCTCGGCTGGACCCACAGCACACTGTGTCGTGGTTCTGACTTGGATCAGTGTTATTAGTAATGTTGATTTATTCTACAGATACTAAGATAACAGAGAAATAATAACAGAGACAGCGAGGGGAAACAAAGAGTGTGTAGCAGCTACTCACTTCACCAACAGCGTGTGCACACTTTGTGTTAATTAGACTGAAGGTAGATTTAATATGTAACCCGGTACAGGTCTGCCTTTCTTAAAACATATTTGACTTGAAATAAGATGTTGTTGTTGCTCCGTTAGAAAACTTCTTGTTGAGTTTGTCTTAATGTCACTTCACAGTTCACTGATGACAGAGTTTTACTGTCCATCCACTGTTGGCTCTAATGTCTCAGACCTGTTTTCTTCTATAAAACACAATGACGTGGATTTGTTTACCACCTGTTCTGGAGACAGAGGTAATTATTGTATTATTACAATATTAATATTCGCTATGGAAAAGTCAGTAAGAGCTGACCTTTGAATAACAGGCCCATAATCACTCATATTATCCTCAAATATTAAATGAAAATGAATTTATTATGATGATATATACTATTAAATTACTTATTATGAGCCTGCCCCCTTCCAGCTATAATCATTTAACACCTGCTTAGTTATTTCTCAGAAATGTGCTGGACGTTGAAAACATACCAGAGCAGTTAGAGAGATGACTGTAGTGCTTGTAGTTTGTCATAGCTGTAAGAAAAACACTGTTACTCCTGATGTCAGTATTTCAGGCCACAGTTACTTTGTCTCTTTGTTTTCCTGCACTGGCTTGTTAGTGTTTGTGGAAACCACAGGATGGCATGATGAAAATGAATGTATGAACATTTTAATCAGTGTAAATAAAGTTCCTGCTGCACTAATGAAAAAGAACAATAGTTGTGTTTTTCTTGTATACACACAGTAATTTCCTGAGGTGATCATTATTTCCAACACAGCGGCGTTACAGGACGTGTGTTTCTATAAACCAGGTGAGGGATTCATCTGAATGAATCCCTCACCTGGTGTGCACAATGATCTAAGAACTTAGATTTAGTATCTCCCCATTATTGTTGGGTTCTTAGTTTCCTGTTTCCCCAAAGGTTTTACTATTTTTTACGCACTCACAGACCCTTTCCTTAGCTGGGAGCATCTAAAAACGTACATGATATGACACACTGACAATGAGGCTATATAGATACACAGTTACCATCAATACAGTATACAATGAACATCAGACTACATATATAATTTCTCAACAGAAACATCTACATCTAAAATCAATGCATTTTTCTCCCACAAAGTTTAACCAACTGATCGTTTCGTCTCGTGCACATGCGCCCAGTTCCACAATGAATGACATTTATGAAACAGAACCAGGCGGATGCACATGTTTATAAGTCAGCTGAAACGTAACTGTGTGTAACTCTGACCCCTGATGTCTGGAACAGAGTCCTGTTTCCAGAGGAGAGATCATGTGAAATTGTGGTGGATCTGCAGCCTTCAGCTCCTGACAGCAGGAGGCAGCAAAGAACAGCAGTCTGACAGAGTGGAGACACAAACCTGCAGGTCAATGACCAGAGGGACTCTGAGTATTATGGGATACACTCTAACAAAATGATTGAGTGTTTTTAAAGTGAAAATTAAGAAATCATTCATTCATATAGTGCTAAACAAGGGCATGAGTTTGGTCTCAACATTGGTCGGGACGCAACAACCTCTACTAACACATAAAATCTCAATGTACATTCAGGAATGCCCATACACAAATATATGTATGTATGTGTTGAATTTCCATGTATGAAATATATGTACATATGAAGTACAATCATATGTATTTAAGGTTTATCCTTTATATGTAAAAATGAAATATGAAACCTGTTAGTTAGTTAGTTAGTTAGTTAGTTAGTTAGATGTTTTAATGTCTTACTATACTATGACGTTTTATGCTTTACTAAACTAAAACATTTTTTGACATTTTTATGTCTTACTATATTATCACGTTTTTATGCCTTTTGACAATTTTTGACAAAACAAAGAGATTGTCTTTTCGATGTTGTCAACCACATGTTTTATTAACATGGAAGATCTGAATTTACATTCAGGAATACTCATACACAAATGTAATATATATGTGTGTGTGTGTGTGTGTGTGTGTGTGTGTGTGTGTGTGTGTGTGTGTGTGTGTGTGTGTGTTGAATTTCCATATATGATATATATGTACATATGAAGTAAAATTATATATGTATTTTAAGTATAGCCTATATTCTTTAAAATTACATATGGAACCTTTTTGAAATTGGAGCAATATCATATATGTCTAGATAAAAGAAAAATGTATTAATTATGCTTATTTCTATCATAGACATATGTTACATAAACACACATACATAGTGTACATAATATCCCTACCGTCCAAATGCAAACCTACACTCTTGTTGCTAAATCATAACTTACATAACATACTCAGGGCACTTCACAGAGTCAAGAGCTTACAGTAATATAGAGAGAAACCAACAGTTCCACCATGAGCAGCACCTGGTGACAGTGGAGATGACAAACTCTCTGATTGATATAATAAAATTCATATTATAATGATATCAGATGGACCTTTCAGTCATTGGCTTCATGTAGGAGTCACGCACATCACTGAGTCAGCTGTGTAATTCAGTGCGGTTTTAACATGATGGATCTACAGACAAGAGTTTCACCACAACACGTTGTGTGTACATTAGAGTGCGTTTGAGAACGTGGTTGTGCGTGGTGCCAGTGTAGGCACTCCCCTCCCATCTGACTGAGCAAATAATAATCACTGTTTTATAGAGCTCCTGATAAGCTGCACACAGATAAAGCACTTGTGTGACATTTCCTTTATGATGCTCATTATCTTCATTGACATGACAAGGGCAAATCATCCACTCGCCCCGCCCAAGTCAATTACAGTAAAACGATTTGCAGTGCTCCGACACAATGGAGTTTTTTCTGAAGTAATTACAATCTTCTAAACTGTGTGTAATCAGGCTGCGAAAATCTCAGCCTCATTTATTTATTTTGAACAAAAATCAATGCAGAGTCAGTGATTACAGGTTTGACTGAGCTATAATTAAACAGCTGTTTCGACTCAAAATAAAAACTTGCAGTAGAGGAAGAGCTCATGATGTTTTACTTCCACTGTCTGATAAGGGACCATTGAAACACACAGTCCATAACTTCTGCCTCTAGGGGTCTCTCAATCAAAACAATAACAAAAGACAGTTGTGTGACATCATGAAATAGCGTGGGATCATGGGAGTTGTTGTCTTCACCACCGTTGCCGTAAGCTCCTCCCGGTTTGGATTCCTTCAGTGTGAGTGGGTCAGGAAATCAAACAGACCCGCTGATTCTAACCGTTAAAAACACTGAATGAAGCAGTTTGACATTTAAAGTCAGAGTTTGAGCGACGCTGTGCGGAGGACAGAGACTCAGGGTCAGAGTCACAGCTGAGACTGATGCTAACCTTTGTTCTGACTGTTTCTTTAATAACTCATGAACCAGACGTTCAGCAGGTTTTTACCTGCAGCTGAATGAGAGAGGTTTCCTCCTCTCCACAACAAACACACCAGGGGATTTTATATCCACTAACACCTTGAGAGAAATTCTTCATATTTCGTATAAACGTTCACCTTGACTCAAGGATGAACTGATTAGATTTTGGTTGTAAAAGATCAAAGGTCAAAGGTCAAGGTCAGTGTGACCTCACAAAACACTTTTCAGCCATAACTCAAGACTTCACAGCAATTATGACAAAATTTCACACAAATGTTTAATATTTTCTCTGACTCTGGATAAACAGAGCTGGAACTAGTCTGAGTGGAGGAGGGATACGACCACGAGGAGGTGGTTCTAGTTTACTCGGTGGTTGTGTTGCTCCGGACAACAGGAGTCCCTGCAGTTTAAGGTGTATTTCATCGAGTGTCCACAGTGAACAAGCTTCCTCTGGCATGAATGTGCTCAGTATATTTTCTAATCTGCCTGATAGATTGTGATGTTTCGCGTGTACACAGGTGAGCAGTATCCAGATCTGAAAATAAAGCACGTGATGGACAGTCTCACCTTTCCAATGAGCCCAACCTCCTCCAGCATTACACCAACCTCATGCGTGTGTGTGTGTGTGTGTGTGTGCGTGCGTGTGTGTTTATTGTACATTGTTGTATTTGGTTACACCCTGCATTGTGTTGTTGCCTTTTCATTTTTGACCTTCTGTTTGTTCCATTCTGTCTAATGTTCTGCAGACAATGAAACAGAACATTAATCTTCCCATTAACGGCTGTGAGTCACAGCTGCTTTTCCTAAATGGAAGACAGAGTGTATACACAACACTCAGTGTGTAGCAATGTGATTTATACACTGATAAGCAACTGTGCTGTGAAAGAGTTGAGGGCTGAGTTGTCACCTGTGTGACCTGCCCAGTACTGTGGTACCACAATACCATTTACACAATAGTTATTAAGTGCCCTGCAGGTATGTGTTTACAGGCTGGCGTCACAGATCAGTATAATCCTGTGAAATGCATCAGTGGCAAATATTTATATTCTTCAAGCAGGATGCAATTTTTTACTTCACCTACATCGCTTTTTGCCAAAAGATTAGGTGAATACTGATAAATAAGCAGGTTCAGTTCGGGGCACCCACTGTGGTGAACCATGGGAAGAACAAGAGTGAATCAATGAGCAGTCAGGTGGTCAAAGGTTTTACCACTCCTCCATTTTTACAGTTAAATGCACAGTGTAATGTCTCTGCAGGCCCCTGTCAGTGTGGTGAAGTAACAGTACTAACAGTTTTCGTGATGCTGGTGTGCAAAGGTAAATCTACAACTGACTGTGTGAGAAACTGAAGACATATCACCTTCTGGATAAATGTGATGAAAGCCTCGCTTACCACTAACCCACCTGGACCAGAAATAGCAAGAAAAAAAGGTGCTTCACTATTTATAATGTTGGACTCTTTCAACTGTTGCACGGAGTAAAGTGCTAATCTGAATTTTGCGACAATCAATTTTGTTAGCTTTTGAAAATAGCAGATATTTTTGTTTTATGAGGATAGCATAGCACAAGTTAAGTTCAGTGAGTTCCTCTTGAAAAGCATTAACAGACAGTTCTATGGAATCAGCACAGCAATATAAAATCGTGTCATCTGCGTACGGATGAATACAATTATTTAACGATTGAACAATATCATTGATATAATTTGTATAAACTTCCCCGTCCAGCTGTGGCAACAGTTAGCGTGCCTCTCTGTTTGGACTGAGAGTGAGCTGCTGGTAAAACAGATCCACTGCATCTCATCTCCGGGTTTGTGCTCCGATTGGTAAATGTGTGTTTTTAAAACTTATTCATTGGTCCAACACTGCAGCTACAGCTAGTTAGCATGGCTGCAGCGCTTAAACCCCTTTCACACTGGACCGGGAGGCATGGTATGACATAACATGAGGTGGGCGTAACTGCAAGTCTGCAGACAGACCTCTCTCCTTCGAATAGAAAAACAAAAGCAATAGGTAAAAGCATTTTTCATTGTTTTATTAATTTCTCTTTCTATTTCCACATTTTTATTTTTATTCTTTTTTATGGCACTCCTATGACGGGTCTCTCAATCAAAACAATAACAAAAGACGGCGTTGGGTGACGTCATGAAGTAGCTTCTCCTGGTTTGGATTCCTTTAGTGTCGGTGGTTCAGGAGGTTTTTACCAGCAGCTGAATCATCCACAGAGGTTTCGTCCTCTCCAGGACAAACAGACCAGGAGATTAAAACCAGTAATAAAACTGTGAAGAACATCAACTCCTGTAGGAGTAATCTGTTGTTTCATCTTACTTGGTTTTGATATGTTGTAGT